AGTAAGCGAACAAAATAAGTTACCTCCATACACACTTCTGGTGCGCCAAAAGGGGGGGGGGGGGAGCGGGAGGTTGGGTTTTTCATGAGTCTTAAGGGACTGAAAAGCGTTTCAAGCTACGAAAAAAGGGTATGTATGATAACAAAAGATGCTTTTATATTTTGGGATATTTCAAAGGTGGGATGGTTCGACGCACAAAACCACCCCATGGCTACGCCCGTGTGTCCTTCTTACTTATGGTTATTAAGTTTGTTACGTTAAGCAGAACAATATAGTATCAGGTGTTGCATTAATTTACTTATTTGAAGCTAACCTGGGTAAACAAGATCACTTGAATTTTGAAGTACTTTATAATTTTAATTGCAGGCGGATATCGATTTTATATACGTATAACGGAAAGGACTAGTGAATTTAAAAGCCTAAACTCTTTCCTCACTATGTAACTAGTACTTTTTTAAATCTAGACATGGGAATTTCCCGGGGCAAAAATTCTCAGAAAGCCCAGGTAGCAATATCTTCAAACGCCGACAGACATTTAGTAATGAAAGACATCGCCATGGCGTGTTCCGAGTCTCATGGAATTCAGAATTAAGACATTTAGTCTACATAACTTACAATGATATCAGGTTCGATTTAGGTAAATGATGTATGTTACGAGTAGAGATTGTTATGTGATCCCATATCCTGATGTAAATGGCAACCGTATAGGTACAGAACTATGCGTACCAAGATGGCGGACACCGGAACGTACCAGGTTAGGGTTAAGTCATAATTTTAGGTACAAATACTACGGGAGTCACTTGGCTAGTCCCCGAGCTCGTAATAGAACTAAAATAAGAAAAATTCAAATACAATTATGACCTAACCCTAATCTGGTACACATACTACGTCCCGGTGCCCGCAATCTTGCTACGCATACTTCAATAGTACCCTCTATAGAAGCTGTAGGGTTGCCATGTTGACAGCACGTTTTCATGAGAAATTGTCCTTTTAAATTATTATGCCCTATTACGCACCATCAACTAATTATTATTGGTTCACAAAAGTTTATCTTTTATATCCTAATAATATACAGAATCGATTTAGCTTTCGGCTAAGTTTAATCGTTTCAAATATAAGCGAAAGAGCAACGTTCGAATATATGGGCACAAAAATCAAATGAAATAAAAGTGATTTAAACCACCTTCATGTACCGAATATTTTAAATAGATTGGTCCATTGGTTGCAACGTTTTCCCAACAGCAAAATTTAAAAAGAATAAAATATCAGCAGGTCCAAAAAAACTACACAGCAAATATGCTAAGCTACCCCACCCCATATGCGAATATATTTAAATAATTTGGTACTCCCGAAGTATGTGAACCAAGATGGCGGACACCGGAGCGCAGTATGTGTACCAGGTTAGGGTAAGTTCATAATTTCAGGTACAAATACTATAGGAGTCACTTGGCTAGTTTCCGAACTCGTAATATAACTAAAATGTTGAAAATTGGAATATAAATATGGCCTAACCCTAACCTGGTACACATACTACGTTCTGGTGTCCGCCATCTTGGTCCACATACTTCGGGAATACCAATAAACTTATAAAAACTTTGCTGGGCAACACTTAAGAATTTCGGGTTTGGCCGCAGAACAAATGTAAGATCAGATTGTAAACGACAGCTGTTGGTAGATGCAGTTGTTTCCGGTATCCACGGTCTTTACTTTGGGGATTCACCCGGTTTAGGATCCTGTCCCTCATCCGAAAAATAGAACCTAATTTAGATGCAAAGCAATGTCAAGCATACCGTTAGCAATATTTAATGTTCCCTTTGAATTTTTGAAAATATTACATCAATTTTGTGCCTGTCGTGCCAGTTTTCATATCTATACATCAAAATGCTCTGAGCGTATAATGTTATCAATTCTTCGGCATTCCACTTAGCTAAACGTTCTGAGCAACGGTAAAATTTTGAGATTGTCATCATCCAAACCCCCGATGGCTTGTATTTTGTTCATGAAAAGCTGACATGGACAAACTAATGCCCGTGGGCCAAATCAGGCCGTTGGGTAGTTTAATCTGGCCCGCCTGATGCTGCTGCTGTTTTGGCTTATAAATATATCAAGGAAGTTGTTAAGATTGCGATTGACTTGAGGTTTGACGCGAATCTTATTGTTTTCCATTTTTCCTTTTGTAACATTGTAAATATTGTTCATAAAATGTAACTTATTGCGTCACACTCACATGGCCCGCCAGTTTGGGTGGGCAAAATTTTTGGCCCCTGGTCCAAAAACTTTGTTCACCGCTGATGTGAAGTATCTGATTCTTGCTCGATTCCGAAATCTAACATGGCCAAAATGATGGATACATGTTGTGAATGTATCACTAAGCGTTAAAACCCGTGTTCACAAATACTGTATATATAAATAAAAATTGAGAAATGTATCTGCATAATTCATAGTTATGCAAGCAGGGTTGGACAATGCATAAACACGTTTGCCTTTTGTGCATACTTTTATATTTATAACATTTGTACGCATCCCAATATCACCAAATGAAACTCAATATTATAACTCAAAAAATATCACAATATTAGTTATTTTTCAGATAGGTTTACCTAATACGGAGGTCCCGATATCTTTGTTAATAATGTGAAGAGTACCACTGGCGAGTCAAGTGCTATTTTGCTGCATATTTTTCCCCACGCACGCTAATTTGTGATCGCGTAATTCTATTTTTGTACCGTAGTTCTCGCCTCGCTCTTTCTCGGGTTTTTTTAACCTCGTGTATGCACTTTTGTATGGAGGATTGACCTACCTATTGCGCCAATTTACCATACCGTGATAAATCAACTCATATAAGCAAAACCGCAAAAAATAGTATACAGCATATACAAGAGTATAACAAACAATTCTCACCCCAACGGACACTTATTTGTAATCGCACAATTTTTTTTGTCATAGAGAAGTTTTCTGCCTTGTGTATGCACTTTCGTACGGAAGATTATATCCTTGCAATTTGCATTTATTTAAATTTTAAAAATCGTATGTCCATGTGTGAATGCATAGCATCATATAAATGTAATTCCTTTTTTTCGAAACTAGTATAAGCAACTGTATAATATCATAAAAATTCCCATGAGTATCTCGCTTCAGGCGAGATAAATTTCCCTCTGAAAATGAGCCGAGGAAATACAAGGTTTAAGCTAACATCGGTAGCCCCGACGACACAAAAAATACGAGTGAGAAGCTTGGGCCGAGCTTAAAAGTGGCATAATGTTTTTTTTGAAACACTGTGGATTGCTGCCATGGAATAGTGATACCTGGTATATTTAGATAGGTTTACTTAATACAGAGGTCCCGATATCTTTGTTAAAAATGTGATGAGTACCACTGGCGGGTCAGGTGCTATTTTGCTGCATATTTTTCCCCACGCACTCTTATTTGTGAGCGCGTAATTTTATTTGTATTAGTTCTCGCCTCGCTCTTTCCCGTTTTGTTTTTTTAAACCTCGTGTACGCACATTTGTATGAAAGATTGACTTACCTATTGCGCCAATTTACTACACCATGATAAATCAACCCATATGAGTAAAACTGCAAAAAATGGTATACAGCATTGACAAAAGTATAACAAACAGTTCTTTTCCCAACGGACACATATTTGTGATCGAGCAATTTTTCTTGGCATATAGAGGTTTGCTACCTAGTGTATGCACATACGGAAGATTATATCCTTGCAATTTACATTTACCTAAATTTTAAAAATCATATGCCCATGTGTGAATGCGTAGCATTCTCCAAATGTAAGTCCTATTTTTGAAACCAGTATAAGCAACTGTATAACATTCATAAATATTCCCATGAGTATGTCGCTTTAGGCGAGGTAAATTTCCTCTTGGAATTTAACCAATCAAATACACGGTTAGTTATTGTATGGTCACAAAATTAAATTATTAATACAAAACTATCGTTAACATTTATTTTACCAGAATTTATTTCAAAGTGCCAAAGTCCCGCTTATTTGCTATCAGCGAGTTTTGGATTCGTAGCGTGGCTATATTTGAGCAAAATAAATGCTGCCAAGCTTTTACACTGCGATACTTCCCACATAAAGTATTGTACTACATTTAAATATGAAATGTAAATCAATTAAAAAAAATGCTATAAAATGAACTCAATAAATACAATTATCTGAAAAATAATCGGTACTTCCGTAGTATATGAACCAAGATGGCGGACACAGGAACGTAGTATGTGTACCAGGTTAGAGTTAGGCCATAATTTCAGGTACAAATATTACGGAAGTCACTTGGCTAGTTCCCGAATTTGTAATAGAACTAAAACAACGTAAATTAGAGGAAAATTATGGCCTTACCCTAAGCTGGTACATATACTACGTTCCGGTGTCCGCCATCTTGGTTCGCACACGACGGGAGTACAAAATAAGCGACCCAAGAAAATTTTCATGCGACCTAGTTTTGGATCGCACCCATTGGTTGTAAAACACTGAGCTATTCTACATAATTATTGATCTCTCTCTATTTCATTTGCACAAATCTTCAGTTTGATTAATTCTAACAAAGTTCACGACAATCGGGACTGGCCTATAGAATGGCGGGAGCCACTCCACGTCAATTAACAAATGTAATTCTTGGCTCTGAGTGAAACAATATATATACCATGGGTTTTCAACTGGGGGCCCATGGCCTTCCAAGCGGGCCACAGAGTAGTTGGAGGGGGGCCACAATTCTATGTGCAATTTTCTCTTTTAAAAAAAATCCGCTCTTCCTAGTTCCATTGCTTGATAAGGGTATTTCACGGTATGTTTTCACATTGTTGAGGTTGAATTGTTCAATGTTAGTAGTATTTGGAATCTACCAATCATAATAACACTAAAATGATAAACACGGGGCCCACGAGGGCTAAAAGCCTCCAGAAGGGGGCCACAAGCCATATAAGGTTGGGAACCACTGATATATACAATAAATATATTATACATTTCAAATATAACACTACCTTGATAATGACCTTTTGATGAGTATATTCAAACGACTCCAAGTTCAGGGCGAATCCGATTTCCCTCTGGTCCTTTGGTTGTGTTATTTAACAGGTCTGAACAAAATAGTGGTAAGAGGTATAAATATGACGGATTTGATTTTGATGGAAATTTCGACGCTCAAGACCAATACCAATGTACCAATATGGAGTTAACTAATTTCGTTCGCCTATATTACATCAAGTTTTGTAAAGAGACTAAAAACATATGGGCAGGTTGTATATTCACTTGGCTAACACAGACAGTCCCGAACTCGTAATAGAACTAAAATGAGGAAAATTGGAATGAAAGTATGCCCCAACCCTAACCTGGTACACATCTACGGGAGTACCGAAATTTCATTGGATGATAAAATACAGTTTTTCCAAACTTGACTGCATTAACTGCGACGCAAAAATATATTCGAATTAGTGTTTTGCTTCGAGATGTTTTCGCACGTCTCCACTCAGAACAAGGCTCTATAAAAGGGTTCTAGGAAAATTTGCCGCTGGAAATTCCGCCTTAGGAAATCTCGTCGCAGGAAATTTCACCGCGTAGGCGTACTGTTACGTTTTTTAAAAACTTTTTAATTTCAAAAAGATTCGTTATTCTTGAGAGCATACCCTAACCCTAACACTATAAACCTAACTGTTTTTATCACAAATACTTGTATTGCAGCAAAATGCTCTTGCGGCGATTTTCCTATGCGGCAAAATTTTCCTGTGGCGAAATTTCCGGACACGCTATAAAAGCAGTCACTGATACGTTGTTGCAAAATTGGCGCATTGAGCTTAGTTAAGTTCAGCGTAGGATGAATATATCAAGTTCAAGATCTCATTCGCAAAGAATCAGTGCTCGCCCGGTTTGCTATGAAATTAGTACTCTCGAAATGAAATAAATATGTGTACCAGGTTAGGGTAAGGCCATAATTTTATTCCGATTCTCCTTATTTTAGTTCTATTACGAGTTCGGAGACTGTCTGTGTTAGGCAAATAAATATACCGCCAATAGGCTTCAGTCACTTTACACAACTTGATGTGAAATAGGCGAACAAAATTAGTTTCATTCATATTGGTACACATACTTCTGGAGCGCCATAAATTGAGTAGAAGCAGGGCCAGAAATGGTCTCACCCTACATATCAGTCACGTTGTGCTAAAATCCTTGCTCGGAAGTGTTGAGCATCTCATTATGCATTATCACCCATTGTAAAGACAAAGATATGATATTTTGTCTCTTTTCATATTGTGCGATTAATTTTAAAAACGAAAAAAACCTCATGAACCCATTTTATCCACCATTAGCATACAAATTGTTAAATATGCGTATGGAAACGGCCGCCATAACACTTGCACTTGCAACGGCCGCGTCACTTTCCATTTTTTTCACAGTTATCGCCAATTTAAATCAGGGTGCACAGGTTCGAAGGTGAAATGTGCGGTCGTGCTGGTGTGTGCGTTTTACTGTAAAATAACGTATGTTTGTGTATTATGTTGGCGCTTGACTGTTACGTTTTTAATGGAAAATAAACTAGACTCGAGATTATAAAAAGAAACAGAAATGTAAACATCGCTTCATATCACTAAGTCGGAAGGAAAATTTGTCAAAATTTCTTACATTTTCACATCATTACAAACCCCAGAAGCGCAGCCAGCCAGAATCGGAATTAAAAATTTCCATACGGAAAGATGATATAGCGATGACGCTACTCGTTGAAAGAGTCAGCTTTTTCGGTGGATAATGATTTTTTACGTTACGCAAAATACTTAATCCACGACCAATGCGAGCATTTAAAATATCTCGCTATATAAATTTAATTGTGTTCGACAAAATTTACCATTTCATCAACCTACCTCAAAATAAAAGCATTATTTTTTACTGTAATATAGCAGGGCATTCAGCGGACATTGGTATACGTGGTAATTTTGTCCAATTACATTTAGTTTTGATTCGTTGACCTGAGATCTTGCGAATTCGTTATCGCCGTTAGAAAAATCCGAAGATCTGCGAAAAATCTCAAAGATTATATTTTAATTTAGTACAAAAAAAAAAATGATCGATCATACTTCACACTGAATAGCTTATATATCATCATAATACGATAAAAAAGAAGAGTGCAACGGTGTATGTCGTTCATGGTGTTAATATGTTATAACACAGTTTTAGAGTCTCAATATTCACTCCTTTATTTTCAGTCGAAAATTTTTAGTTGCAGATTCACCATTTTAATTATAAAGAGTTTCTATACCGATGATAGAAAACGAGTTTTTTTTAGATAATCCACCGCCATAATATCGATGTTAACGGCCTAAATAACCGCGTCAAGCTGACACAAAAAATCAGCGACTTGAATAACATTAGCCCTCTGAAAATAGCATGCGTCATTAGCAACTTTTTAGGTCTCCCGAAAATGTAAAAAAAGAAGCGGAGATTTAGGGCTGGTCCTCTCGCTGCGCCAATGACAACAGTGATTAAAGTAAGTGTCGGCCAGTTTTCTGGCTTCTCTTCAGACTGTAGATTAAACTATCTGAATATCTCGTAATCATTGAAAATTTTCGATTCGATATAAATATTCGGTCACCCTCAGACACTTTTATTCAGTATATTTGTTTAAATTTAACCATTTCATAAACGTTTTAGACGCACGCTAACGAGATATATCAATAAAAGCCATTTTTTTTGTGTAAATAGATATGACTTATGAGAGACCTCGATTTCACTGGCGGCCGTAGACCATTCATAAAAACGTAATGCTACCGTCTGAAGAAAAAAGGTTTTGCACCCCTGATTTAAATAATAATAATACAATAACTTCACTTTAATTGGCCTTCAATTTATTTATTCTCGTGTACAACAGCATTTATAATTTGTTTATTTGTAAAGTTGGTGATATGGGGAATTGTTCTCAGAAATTCTGTGCAAGTAACTTCTGCGATTAATTAATCACAGCAAAAAAAACCAAAATGTGACGTCATATTTCATTTTAGCACACGATAGAAGGATTGCTCAAATTCTATTTCCACTTTCTTAAATTTATTGTGTTTTTTAAGTGGTAATAACTAGAAATTATAGACAAAACTTAGTTCAGAGTTCTCGCACACTCGCAGACACACAACATCTGCTTATGTTAGAACAGGTGTGGGCACGGTTGTTTGATCAGGGGCCAAAAATTTTGCCCACCTAGACTGGCGGGCCATGTAAGTATGACGTGAAGAGTCACATGTTATGAACAATGTTTACAGTGTTACAAAAGCAACAGTGAAAAACAATAAACCTCGTACAAAAACTAAATTTAACCGCAATCTCAACAAATTCCTTGAGCTATTTTTAACTAAAACATCAAAATTTGGTTTCAGTTTGGTTGAGGCAGCATCATGCGGGCAAAATTGAATTACCTAGCGGACCGGATTTAGCCTGCGGACCGTACTTTGCAGATGTCTGTGTTGCATGCATGGCGAAGCAAAATTTTCGGCTTTGAATTTTTGAAGAGCATAGACTTTGTCGCCAAGGAGGAAATTATGCAGAGCATAAGACAAGCAAAATTTCATACCCTATTTTGATGGAGGCAATGATATGTTAACAACAAAAATGTTGAGATTATACATTAAGTGCAGGAGAAGCTATTTGAGTTAATTGTGTATTTTGTCGGCATTCCGATAATATAGGATATGCTACTATTGTAACTTTTCATAAAGTTTGCAAATAATTCAGGATTCTGCTCAGCCCTAAAATAGTCTTGCTCGGTAAAAACAACATTTGCGCAGTGTGAAATTTTCTTAGAGGAAACACTGTTCGCGAGTACCGTCTGACGTACACAAAAATAGACAGAGCGGCAATATGTTCAAGGTCAAACATATCTTCAATCCTATAGCATTGCATTGTTATTATATAACGTAAACACGCAGTTCAAATTATCAAAGTATAATTAACTTACTTGGTCAATTATCGTTCATGTACATTGCAGCGTACTCTTCATTTCAGTTTTCCAATTCTTTTCTCAACCAGCGTAATGAGGAACTGACACAGCACATAACTGCCGGAATGAAAATATTCAACCATAATATTGAATCCGGATTCTCACGTGTTGTTCGGCACCGTCACACGATTTTGCGGTACTTTTTCTTGATAACAACTTGCGAATATTTCTGACGAAAGGTATCGCTCAGGTCAAGTGTATCTACTTAGTGTGTATTTAAATTTATATCATTCTATGTAATTATAACAACATAAAAACATTACATATTAGTACCAGCACACTTCAACAGAAAACAAGGGAATGTAAATCAAGTTTGGAGCACTTATGGACATGGGTGGCATGATCAATAAATGGACTACAACAGGGTTGGATCATGACCTTTAGTTTCCCTAAGCACTCAAGTGTCATATATATATATATATATAAAATAATAGTAATAGGAATGTAACTAGTTTTCCGTGTTATCTGGAATTGAATTATAGGTTTCAGTATATATTTATTACTGGTTTAAGGTCAAATTGTGATTTAATAATTGATAGCACTTTTTACCATAAAATAGAAAAACCCATGCGGTTTCTAGCTTAATATTTCAACGCTTTCAACTATGTCATCTGATAAGTGCGAAAGTGTTTATATTCTTTACATTCTTATTATCACTAAACCTTCAGTCGTTACTCAATTGTTTGTCATTCATAGCTTGAGATTTTTACCTGTGAAATCACCTTTCTATCAGACATGGGCAAAGTACGGCCCGCGGGCTAAATCTGGCATGTTGGGTAATTTAATCTGGCCCGCCTGATGCTGCCACAACCAAACCGAAATCGAATTCTGATGTTTCAGCTAGAAATAGCTCAGGGAATTTGTTGGGATTGCGGTTAAATTTTGTTTTGTCACGGAACGAGTTTGTAATTCAATTTAATCTGGTACGTGCGAGTAATCTCAATACGTTACAATGCCCTAGCAGAAAGCTTTTGCCAAGCGAACAATGCATGTAATAAGAACAATAAACAAGTTTTCCATGCTTACAACTACTTTAAAGCTCATGTTAAATAAAGGTGCGGCCCGCGGTTCCACCCAGTTATTTGTATCTGGCTCTCCGGTATTAAAGGTTGCACACCCCTGCTCTATATTACACATTATTACTGGTTACAATATTTTCGAGATGCGGAGCTCAAAAACAACTTAGTTTTCAGTGGATGTTTTGTCAAATCTCAAACTGTTTCTAGCGTCAACTCCTCTCCAATTATGCAACATTAATTTTGACCTTTAGGCTAGTTGTTGGCTTGCTCGACACCTTCGTTAATGTCATGCCAATTGACATTTATTTATCAATTTTACATTTACATAAATAGTTCATCTGCTCCCAGTTGGTAAAATAAATGTTTTCAACAGCGTTTTGTCTCATCCAAGTGTCGAGCGCAAAATTTGAAAAAATAAACAGGGGTCGTGATCTTGAGTATAGTCAACACGAGAACTAAGTTAGTATCTAGCCTTAGCGAACAACAATTAATCAACTAAATTAACTTGTAAGAATACTGATACAATTTTTCGCGAGTTTTCCTTTGCCGCAAAACAAAGCCAGACAGACGACTGGGCTGGCATGGCCGAAACGAAATTGGAATATAAGAGATAGAACAGCCCATTATCGCTCTCTAGTGGTAGGCGCAAAATTCAAATTTTTCAGGAATTTTTAAAACACAAAACACATCCTTACAACAAGAACAAAGTTACTACACAAATCAAAATCAAATTGTTTTATGAGCCACCCAGACAAATGTGCACAAAAATAAAAACGACAGAAAGGAGAAGGGGAATGCCTTTGCCTGTGATGATAAGAAGACCGCAACTCACCATAAGATATAATTGTTGCTGGATATCATACAGGAGCTGTATGCATACAGCTTTCTGTAAAATTGTCAAAATTACCTCAGTATTAGTGAATGAGGCAGAACTGCTTTCACATATATGCTTACTAAAATTAGAATTAGGGACCCCTGATACGCTTACGGTGGAATGCTATTTAAACGTTCAACGACTGGCTCCTTTTAAAAGTATTAAAGTTACGATGAAATGATATTTAGGCGTCCATCGACTGACGCTATTAATAGTATTGAAGTTACGGTGAAATGATATTAATCGTTCACCGAATGACGCTTTTTAACAGTATTGAATTTACGGTGAAATGCTATTCAAACTTTCAACAACTGACGCTTTTCAACAGTATTAAAGTTACGGCTAAATGCTATTCAAACGTTTAACGACTGACGTTTTTTAACAGTTTTGAAATTACAATAGAATGCTATTCAAACGTTTAACGACTGACGCTTCTTAACAGTATTGTAGTTACGGAGGAATGCTATTTAAACGTTTAACGTATGACGCTTTTTACCAGTATTGTAATTACGGTTGAATGCTATTTAAATGTTTAACTTCTAATGCTTTTTAACATTATTGTAGTTACGGTGGAATGCTAATTTAACGCTTAACGATGGCGATTTTTAACAGTATTGAAACTACGGTGAAATGCTATTTAAACGTATAATGACTGGCGATTTTTAACATTTTTGAAATTACGGTGAAATGCTATTCAAACGTTTAACGACTGGCGCTTTTTAACAGGATTGAAATTAGGGGTGCAATGCTATTTAAACGTTTAACGACTGGCGCTTTTCAACAGAATTGAAGTTACGATGGAATGCTATTTTAACGTTAAACGACAGAGGGTTTTTAACAGTATGGAAGTTACGATGAAATGCAACTTTTATCAGGTCCATAGCCAAGTGTAAACCTTGAAGTTGTAAGAAGACATGCAAATAAGACAAGTGAAATAACAACCAAAGAAATCTTAATCATGCAATTTGGAATAACAACAAAACTCAGAAAATCAATTTAATGGGAAACTTGAAAGTGGCTTTGACTTTGAATAGACTTTTGGAAGCGGGGCGCAACCGTGAAGTATGCATGGCGCAAAGGTACTCGGAATGATCTCCAGTTAAACGGTTGCGATATTGGTTCCGATCATTTTGCTAAAAAGCACTTCACGTGCGTAAGTTGATCCAAAACTAAAGTTTCGTTCTGTGCGTTTGTTATCAGGTTAGGATATTGTGCTGAATCAGTAACCGATTCTTTGTCGCCAAGCTGTGGGATTCCTTCATTCCTCCGAGGAATGTTTTAATTCTGGAATGAGGCCATAAAATTGTTTGAGGCATGCAATTCGAGCAGAATTTGAAACTGCAATATACATGCCCAACGACTAAGTTACAAGACTTTCTTGGTGCAAAATGCAATGTCACTGGATTAACAGCATTTTCTTCAAGTTACTTGTTAATGAGCCTTTGTTTTGCCCCGAGCAGGGTCGTGGCAAAATTTTCATCTGCCCGGGGCGACTTTCTTGTAATGATGCTGATGCCCCTTATAATTTATCTACGCTTTTGTTGCTTTTACGAGACAAATAAACATACATACATACGTGGCTATTATTCGAAAATCAGCCGAAAAAGTATTCGAATACTTTGATATATTCGAATTTGATATATATGAATATTCGATTCGTTTTAGGCAACCCTGCTTGTGATTACTGAAAACATAAAGTAATAGGGGAGAAGCTTTTTCAATCTAAGTGGACAAATAACATTGACAATAGCTGTTCTGTGTTTCGTTCACAGGCAGACAGATATAAAATGACAGACTGGAAAACTAAACGGACAGAATAGGATTTTTACTTTTCTCCCGGATAAGAGGAAAGTTGGTAAGACGAATGAATCATATGGCGAGCCACAGTCTATTGTCGGGTATCCCGGTTACAGTTAATGTCGGGTATGGAAATGATTAATCAGACACAGATTTCAGATACATGGACTCGATGATGGACAAAGCTGTATCCGACCAGCGATTACGTGAACCATAGCAGGGTAATTATTAGGGTGGTAAGGGCACTTGCAAGCCTTAGGACTGAACTGCGTCAGGTTCACCTGGAAAAATATATAGCGAACTTGGATATCGTAATAAGAGGTTAATTCGAAGCCTGGGTTAGGAGTGAAATAGCGAATTTGAAGCAAAGCTTAGGTCATCGAAGGTGATGATGTAATTTGGGAATGTGTTCGTTTTTAGGCTATTTTACTACATTTCTTCGTCCTAACTTCTAGTCGATGGAAATCCCAATTACAGCTGCGCTCCCTCAAGGAAATCAAATTTTGACAATAAAAACGTTGACGTATGCAAGTCTTTTTAATAGACTGTTAGGCGCTGAGTAATCCCACTTTTCGCTTTTTCGGCTGCGATTTATCGCGAATGCGCTCCATCAAATTTTGCAAGATTCAGAAACCTAAAAATCGGCAGGCGTTCTTTTTCTGTTCTGCATGCTTTTCCTGATTAATATGACAATCCATAAAAAAGTTATGCATATTTCTTTGTTTGAACCAAAAAACAGGAAAGAACAGTATAATATCCCAGTAAGATATATATATATATATATATGAACTTGTTGCGACCCTGCAGGTGGTCACGAGACGCGCAAAAAATCATGGGCCGCTGAGATCTTTTCCAGTATTTTGAGCAGGCACAGTAGGATTGAGTCTGGTGCCAAGTTACCGACGACTTTGTCATTGTAATGTAAATTTATTTCGCTTGAGGCGTCGGTCAACTGCAGAGGGATTAATATTATAAACCATTAAACCCGATGAAAAAGAAAAAGCCTGTTTATAAATTGGGATTCTAATTTACAGTTCAGATTTAAAAAAGAATCATTGTCACAATTTTGGATATATATCTCTTGATAACGAATACCAATGAGCATATATACACATTGCGAATACCCATCGCTAAGTAATAGAGCAACCAAACTGCTGTCCGTATTTTCAACCAGTTATTTATGCGCCATGCGAAAACACATTTTCACCTCTAGTTTTAATACAAACGTAGAAAAGAAATAAGCCACACGCCGCTGCAGAGCCACGCGTTGCAGAAACTTCATTGCGGCCTCGTTTGCAATCCTGTATTGAAAACGAAACAGCAGCAAAATTCTCACTAGAGTTAATTGTGTTTTACATGATTTGGCATGTACATGTTTTTTATGTGAGCTATTTTGTGTATGCCTTTCTTACGCATAATGGGTGCCCCAGCACTGCATTTCATTACGGAAATATATGATATTATTTTATGTTTAACACATTTCAATTTTTGGCCGGCACATTATTTGATATTTTTTTTTCGTGTGAAATGTTTTCAAGTGTGCCTTTTTTGTCTAGAAGCATATTGAGTGCCCGACATTGCATTATATTAAGCACATATATGTTATTCATTTCTGTTCCGGTCATTCCAATTTTTGCCGGTCCGCGAGTACATTTAATTTAATTTTAACGGTCCGCCAGGGTAAAAAGGTTGAGAACCATAGGCGTAGCCAGGGGGGGGGGGGGGGGCAGAGGGGCCATGCCCCCCCCCCCAAAAAAATTTTCAAGAATTCCATTCCTAATCCACCAGTTTTGTGGCATCTTGTCTCGTCACGCTTGCTGATTGTCATTGTTACGTCACAAAGACTTGACCGTTCGCTCTTATGAGCAGTATGGGAAAGACTGTTTCGCAAGCTTTCGGTCAGTTACTCGGTCTTGATTTGTTCTCGCCGGATTTTTATTCGAAAGCTTGGATTTTGATGACCAAATTACTTCGATGGCTAAATTTAAACAGGCGAAATTCGATAGTTTTTTTCAGCGAAATAAAGACTCGCTTTCCTCAAATACATCAATAAGCGCTTCTCAGGCTGTGGATGCATTACGTCAGTTACGTCTATCACTTCTATTCCCGAAGATGAACTAATAATCAACGAAGGGAAAACAAACGATCTTGGATTTATTCTTAAGAAACATACACAGCTTACCGATGCGGAGAGATACAGGCTTCTAACTTCGGATGGTCCGAAAAACGTGACGATTCTGGATACTGTTAGACAAAGTCGTCGTAAATTTCTCAAAAAATGGCTTGACGATTTTGCAGTTGGTTAGTTTACACCCAACTCTCTGATGGGGGTGGTTTGTGTAAGATATGCATAGTCATGCAAGCACGTTTGAAGCATGGAACTCTCAGGGACACTGCCTTTGTTACAAGACCATGCATTGACTAAAAATTTATGAAAAGGCTGTAGCACACCGAGACACAAATTACCACCGAGAATCAAATATAGCTGCGAAAAATTTTGTCAAAAGCATGGAAACTGGTCAAAATGTGCGTGCAAACATGGAGGCCCAATATGCTACGCAAACAAAAGAAAACAGACGAATAATGACTTCCATTGTCAAGACTGTCATGTTCTGTGCTTCGGGTAACATACCCTTGCGCGGACATTCCGGGGATAGTGGAAATTTTGTGAACCTTCTTCTATTTCGTATCGACGCAGGGGATGAAGATTTGAAAAGGCATTTCGCTCGAATGCTAAGTATACAAGCCCGATGATACAAAATGAAATTCTCAAGGTAGTAAGCACATGATAGTGCAAGATATCGTTATGGAGGCTAATAAATCGTTTGTGTCCGTAATAGCGACGAATCATGTGATATTTCTGGGAAAGAACAACTAAGCATCGTTTTGAGGTATGTGAAAGGTGGTGAAGTGTGCGAGCGCTTCACAGGATTAGTGGAAATGGATTCTGTTTCTGCCGAATCAATTTCCTCAAATATTTTGACCCACCTCTCTGGTATAAGAGTGGATTTGCAAAAACTTGTGGGACAAGGCTATGATGGTGCAACGACAATGGCAGGTCACGTCAGCGGTGTGCAAAAACGCATTTGTGATAAATACCCGCGCGCAATATTTGTGCACTGCGCTTCTCATTGTTTGAATTTGGTCATAAATGACCAAAGTAAAGTTGCAATCATCAGAAGCACCTGTTATATCATTCGTGAGACTATTCGTTTTTTCAGGGAGAGCCCTAAAATGCGCGCGGGTTTAGGAATTAACATCCCTTTGTTCTGCCCCACCAGATGGTCTGAGAAGTACAAGAGCATCCGAATCTTCAAATGCAACTTCAAACGAGTACTTGAGGCTCTTGATTCTTTGGCGAGAGATGCTAACAGTGAGACGCGGGCGAAGGCTTTTTCTCTGAAATCTGCTCTAGAAAAGTCGTCGGTTATCTACGCCGTATGTTTGATTGGTCGATATTCGGCACTAATGGAGCCACTAGCGCGCACTTCAGGCGGTCGGAGTCAGTGTGCGGTCAGTAAAGAAACTCACATCCTCTCTTCAGAGCGTTATCGCTAAAGAACGCAATGACTGTGGGATCGCATTGAATATTTACAAAGAAGCTTGTGAAACAGCTGGCTTGAAAGAGTTGACAATACCCAGAGTAGTCGAAGTACAAGTTTATCGCGATAATGTCTGTGCTGATTCAGCATCCCTGTATTTTAAACGTTCCGTATATCTCCCATACGTCGACGGCTTGAGCTGCTCTATTCGGGAACGCTTCATTGACAACCCTTCATTTTTTTCATTGCTATCAATTCTTCCACCGAACAAACCAGTTCACGTGGATGAGGTAGAGCGTCTGTATTTATTGGATAACCTCCAGAATGAAGTGAGACTGTGGAGAACTTCTTTAAGTTCCGACGTTAACGACGAATGTTTGGAGGGGCTTCTTCTGAGCGCTCGAGATTATCCAAGCGTGTACACCGCAATACAGATCGTTATGACGCTACCAGCAACCACCGTTGAGGCTGAGCGGTGTTTCTCATGCATGAAACGGGTAAAGACATGGCTGCGCTCATCAATGACGTCCAATCGCCTTTCTGATTTGTGTGTGCTTCACTGTCACCGTGAAATGGTCACCGAGGAGAAAACTAATCGAGTTGTGTCGAGCATAGTTGGCGGGAAGCGAAGGATGGACTTTTAATCGGGGCGATGTATTTTACTTATTCAAATTGCGTTGTTAATATTTGTTGTTTCAAATAAAAAATTGTTTATTAATGGATTTTGTATTCACAAAAATCCAGCTGAGTAATTGAATCAGTTTGCTTGTTGACCAACTGTTGTTGTTTTGCGCTTGAAGAACGGGTGTTTTAAACCCAATATAATTTCTAAAATTTTCAAATTTGGCCCCCCCCCCAAAATTTTGGGCTGGCTACGCCACTGTTGAGAACCACTGGATTAGACCACCCTGATTTAAAATGAGGTCAAAATCGAATATATAAGCACCTACCCACCAACAACAACAAAAATGCAATCACCAAAAGGATTGAACATGATTCAAAATTGGGCAATAGTTCAGAAGCAATTTAAAATGAGAAAACACGAAACAATTAAAAATAAAAAACGGGGGAAATATTTACAATCGAAAATATATCGCAGTAACTTGACATCATTTTCGTCATGTTTCACTCCATCTTTTAAGAGGAAAATCTTTGACGTTCAATCGTTAACAAATACTAATAAATTTCGATTCTCATAGGGCCTTGCGGTTGCGTTACATAACGGCTGAGTTCGAGAATACGGCGGATAGGACGCTGGCCGTAAATAATGAAGGTATTTATGTACATTGCCGTCAAGTAGGTGTAGGACCGATTACGCAACTACGGACTCATCTAGCTGTATTATGATAATCTTCTTGACTCGATGGTGCTCATGAATAATGCTTGAGTATCGACAGCAAATTTCATTTTACCTAATATTTCACCATACCGTTGAAAATAGGTAATTGCCGTTCTCCCGATGGGCAATCGGCGTGACTTGCAGATTTTCAACCCAGTGCCTTTAGTCACGTACGCACAATGACAATACAGTATATTCCTATCACGCCAGATTTTTTTGGGCAAAAATGAGTATATAAACTGCTGAAATGTCCGAACTTTCACATTCTTATCAATTTCGCTAATGTTCGGACAAAGAATTGCAGTATATGATGGATATATCCTCGCCCGCACGCGTTTGATTTGAAATGTGCTCGAAACACGTGTTATCGCTGCCGAGTCACAGTTTTTGTTTCGCTTATTATGCCGCTTCAAGTCCTTTGTAAGGCCTCCGTTATATCTTTACTGTGCGGCGGTCGACGGTATTATCAAATACTGAAATAACTGTTTGGTCTGTATGTTGGTCGGCAAACTATTATTTTGTGATATTTTCAAGCTCAGTATAGAAATTTGTTAACAGACTGATCGCCATCTGTATTCGACTAGTCTATACAGCTATAAGGCGTTCATTATATAATATTGAAGACCAAAAATTCGAACCAACTTCTGACAGTTTGATGACAGAAAATCAATCAGAACAAATTTCAGAATTTGTCGCATTTTTAAATTCATTTTCTATGACATTAGCCTATAAAGTTACCTTTATCTGCAGATCTGTGCAGATTTATCTAAACATGACCCAGTCAAAATAATATTGAAACCTTTTGAAAAATTTTCCTATTTATTGTTGATTCAATATGGAATGTTTCTTATAGACTAGTAAATTATAATACTATTCTGCTATTACTTTGACGTCCTTCGTTTTATAACTTACTTCTAGTCCGTGGATGTGAATACTAATTTGAGTGCAGAATCTAGAAGTGAACTCTGAAACTGAAGCACAAGTCAGATATTTTTGATAATACAAATACTACTGTCTGACTGTACTAAAGTATACAGCATTGACATTACTGCATTAGTAGCTTTATTTCAGTATTTAGTCATTATTGAAAAAAATCATTTTTTTTTCATAGCACAAAACTCCTATTGCATATACTTGCCGTAGTAAAATAGGTTACACTGTCTGACAATTGCACAAAGGATTTTTTTTATTTCTATCAATCATTGAAAAAACTGAAATACACAATATGTCTTCATGCTCGCTTCGTATCCAATCTCCTGCTCCGGAATTCACTGCAACCGCCTTAGACGATGGAGATTTCAAAGACATCAGTCTTAAAAGTTATAGAGGTTTGTTGATTTTAAATAATATGTATTGCAATTATGCAACTTATGTAGCCTCTTATTCTACATTCTCTTCAGAGAAGTAGCCAGAAATTTTCAAAGTAGGTGTTTTCAATTTTTTTTTTTTTCAAGTCAGATTGAAAGATTTACCCTCGAAACCAACTGCCTGGCTACCCCCCTGATTCTCTTCAATACAGCAATAAGATATTGGTTTCTTATGTTCTTGAATATTTTACTTTTCATTTCTATCCGGATATCTGAGGGGTTTTTGAGGTTATATGATATGATAATTCTGATTTTCTGTTACTTACACAACCCCTTAACTTCTCTAGAACAAATTTTTGAATTTCCGAAGTTTCAATAAGATGGGGTAATGAATATTTCATGTCCTATACTTCAATTTTGTGTCATAGGGCAGTATAGAACATGCCACTGGTTATCTATATGACGTAGAGGGTATCAGTAGCATGGGAGTGAATACATTTTTCTGTTAAGACAGTAAGACATTTACAGTACTGCAATAGAAGAGTATATTAAAAAATGATGATTGCCTGTTGAGTGAATCAAAGTCATGTTGTATGCTTATTTTCTGTCTTCAATATTCAATATTTTTTTTTGAAACAGAGTTCAATTTCATAGTGAAAGTAAAAATAATACCTTTCAAATATGCTAATTCATAAAACAGTCTACTTTGTTACCCTGGTAATCATGGAAGTGTGGCTGGTTATAGCAGACTTAATTTGACTACTTGCTTTCATGCATATCAGATTTTAAATCGAATGTAACGACAGTGGGCTTGTTCCTGTATATTGTTAGACTAATTCTGACTTTTTTAAAAACATAGTCGAAAAACTCAAAAGTTCTTCCATTTTTTAGGCAAATACGTTGTGCTGTTTTTCTACCCATTGGACTTCACATTTGTTTGTCCGACAGAGATAATTGCTTTTAGTGACAGAGTTCAAGAATTCCGAAATATTGGTTGCGAAGTCTTAGCTTGTTCCACTGATTCAGAGTTCTCCCATTTAGCATGGTATGTGATTATTTTAATCATTTTTGTTAGGACTGAAGTTTTTTTTTATTTGTTCTATATGAGAGCAAACCGATTACATGTCCAGTCATAAGGTGAACCACTCTTTCACCCAGTTACCAGCCCAAGTCTTGTATGACATTAAGTTACCAGATAGTCATAAGGTGAACCACTCTTTCACCCAGTTACCAGCCCAAGTCTTGTATGACATTAAGTTACCAGATAGTCATAAGGTGAACCACTCTTTCACCCAGTTACCAGCCCAAGTCTTGTATGACATTAAGTTACCAGATAGTCATAAGGTGAACCACTCTTTCACCCAGTTACCAGCCCAAGTCTTGTATGACATTAAGTTACCAGATAGTCATAAGGTGAACCACTCTTTCACCCAGTTACCAGCCCAAGTCTTGTATGACATTAAGTTACCAGATAGTCATAAGGTGAACCACTCTTTCACCCAGTTACCAGCCCAAGTCTTGTATGACATTAAGTTACCAGATAGTCATAAGGTGAACCACTCTTTCACCCAGTTACCAGCCCAAGTCTTGTATGACATTAAGTTACCAGATGTTTGAAATTGGACAAAGGAGAATTTGGAACCGGCCAGTCTTTATGTAAACAACTTTGCTACTGTCCATTATTTTTTTTACACATAATTATCACTCATTGGATTTAAACTTATGAAATCAGGCAGGGTAATCAGGAGTCGTTATGGCCTGCCTGTATCTGACGCTTAGCTAGATGCAGTTGTCATAATTTTTATCTTTCAATAGCTCAACCTTTTTTTTTATTATTGCCGACTAGTCGACTACTAAAAATAAGTAATGATAGATTTTGTTTAATGATAGTTACAATTTTTTTTCGAAATGAAATGCTACTGTACATGTTGTGTATTATTATGTCTGATATACTGAGTATTGAATTTTTCAAATGGACATTCCAGGCCAGGCCACAAGCAACTACCGGTAATTACAACTTGAACGCTTAATTCATTATATTTTATGCTTAAGTTGTTTTATTTTCTAGGGTGAATACACCTAGGAAGCTTGGTGGAATCGGACAAATGAATATTCCAATAATTGCCGACAGAAATCATGAAATATCTAGAAAATATGGAGTTCTTAAAGAGGATGAGGGAATTGCATTCAGGTTAGTTCATTTATCTTTCCTGCGGCACGTTAAGTCCAACCTCGCAACACTTGCTCTATTTATCTCACACTTTTCCAACTGATATGGTTGTTAAGGTAGATATATATTGTGAAGCAAATTGTTGAAATAAGGGTCTTTCTGTAGTATGCGAGCCAATGGCGTACAGTCGGACACTGGAACGTAGTATGTGTACCAGGTTAGGGTTAGGCCATAATTTTATTCCAATTTTCTGTATTTTAGTTTAGTTACTACTTTGGGAACTAGCCAAGTGATTCCCGTAGTATTTGTACCTGAAATTATGGACTAACCCTAACCTGGTACACATACCACATTACGGTGTCCGCCATCTTGGTTCGCATACTACAGGAGTACCAAAATGAGCATATGAAATGGTGGGATTCATGCTATGATCTGGGTTAGGATAGATGTAAAATTGTTTTGCAGAAAGTTAAGATATTTCTATGATGTGAAATCATAATAAGAGTGAGAAAAAATTGAAACTCTGGATTAAAACGGAGCTGAAAAATATTCTCACATTAAATTGTTATAAATATGGACACTTGGAAAATACTGTAGTCTGTAATACTGAAATTCTTCAATTGAAAGTTCTCAAGTCTACTATTTAGGTATCTAATGCATCTGTTTTTGCGAATGCTACTGTGGAAAGGTGATTAGTTCAATGCCATTGAATTTTTATAAATTAGTGTCTTGTAAACTCAATAATCATATAAAAATGGTTAGTAATTAGCCCCGTCTTTTCTTTTGCAAAACCTCTGTGTTTTAAGTTTTTGCGAATAAAGAACCATACTTTTCGATATATATAGCTGAATGAATAGCCTCTCAAAGCTTAAAACTACGATTCTATGACTAAGATATGAAATTGATCAAAATTTCGTATTATTTAGAATAAAATAATATATTTTTGTCATCCGTATCTATGATTTATTGGATGTTGTGTAATAGATATGAATTATGTAACAATTTTGTCACTCTGAAAGAAGAAAGAATCAAATTCAAATTAAGCTAAATTGAGTATTTCCTTGATAGACTTGCTAATGGGTGCCGCTACTCGACAACCAAACTTGGTTACTCGCGCCTTCCCTCACCCTGAAATGCTTTTTAATTATTTATTGCAATTTGTATATCAAGTGTGCTTTCAGTATGGTGAATAAACTACTGATTGACTGCACTCTGAATTAGAAACTATGCAATAAATATTCAGCTTGAAATTGTCTTGCATCTTTGAAACTCTCAGCGCAAAATGAAATTTGGTCGTGGTCGAGTAGACATGAGCAAAATACGGCCCTGCGGGCTAAATCCGGCCCGTTAGGTAATTCAATCTGACCCGCTTGATGCTGCCACAACCAAAAAGAAACCAAATTTTGATGTTTTAGTTAAAAATAGCTCAAGGAATTTGTTGAGATTGCGTTAAATTTAGTTTTGGCACATGGTTTATTGTTTTCAATTGTTGCTTTTGTAACACTGTAAACATTGTTCATAAAAAGTGACTCTTTACGTCATACTTACATGGCCCGCCAGTCTAGGTGGGCAAAATTTTTGGCCTTTGATCCTAAAACCGTGCCCAGCCCACCCCTGCTCATGACCATCAGAAGAAAACTGCAGTTTTCTGAGTTTGTTTTGCTTTTAAATATGTGGTTAATAAGGATATGACATAAAAGTTGAATGTGATCAATTACAAATGACAATCGGTAGTTTATTTTTTCACCACGCTGAAAAAGCACTCTCCACATACAAATTACATATAAAAATATGGTACTACCATAGTATGTGGACCAAGATGGCAGACATCGGAACGTAGTATGTGTACCAGGTTAGGGTTGGGCCATAATTTTATTCCAATTTTCCCTTTTTTTATTTCTATTACCAGTTCAGAAACCAGCCAAATGACTTCTATAGTATTTGTACCTGAAATTATGGTCTAACCCTTAACCTGGTACTCATACTGCATTCCGGTGTCCGACATCTTGGTTCACATAGTATGAGAGTACCGTACTGCATTTCAAGCTGAAGGAGCAATAGAATGATATGGTTACATATGAAAACCTAGTTTCCAATACAAATTACCGTAATATAGCTTCTAGGGGGGGGGGGGGGGGGGTTCTATCTTGGGGAATGAGAACTTAATATTATTTCTTAATCATATAGCTCAAGGTTGACACGTTTCGAGCAGTCGGTCGCGTCTGATGTTGAGTGAATTTATTAACATGCTTCCAAAAATTGTCTGGAACCGGTTGTGTGTTTTGCAACAGGAAGTATACAGTAGCCTACTTTACATGCACAAAATACAATATACACATACAGTATTTGAGTCTGGGCAAGTCCGATAAAACATATTATCACATAACAAATGCAAGTTTTTTCTCTGCCAAGGTTTAAAAAATGATATGACGAATATCGCGTGTCTAGACTGACAAACAATCCTTCAATAACTTCCGCAGTATGCAAAATTTATTGTCTCACTCCAAGAGTAGTGTGATAACTATTATTCGCAATGGTAGCAGTGGCATCAAAATACCCAATTTGTTCTAATTCTAAGCAAGCGAAGAATCGCGTTTTGAGGAAATTGTAAATTAGATACTGAAGTTTGAGCAGTCATGTAACATTCATGGTTTGAGTATATTCATTTTTCGCTGTTTGGATAATGAAACATTTACTCCAGGTACAATTAAATATTCAAATCAACAACTTATAGAACATGAAAAATACAAATTTGTGTCGATTTTCATAATAATGTGCCCACAAAGCCTTCTTATTAGCAGCATTGGAATTTTTTGTATGCATTTGTGCATCTATCTGCACATTCAGTGCCCATTCTTTTTTTTGTGGGACCCTATTACCGATCAGTCGATCGCGATATATTTTGAAGATTTTTAAGTCGATCGTGGTCAAAAGCATGTTGGCCACCCCCAATATAGCTAACCACAGCCTATCTTGCCAGTTACCAGTCCATGTAAGGTATGGAGATAGTTAATCACTTATTTGTTTCTGATGAATGCACTTGGTTTCCAATAAACCAAATAATTCATTGAAAATGTTTAATTCCAAGCTCAAGAAATGTCCATCATTTCATCCACACTATGCCATATTTCCAACTTGTATGATTTGTAATTAAATATTTCAAAGAACCATTGGCTCTCAGTGTGTACTACAGTGTTAATTCCATAAAAACACTATTCTTGGCTGAGGAAGTGAAACAAGCTCTTGCTATAATATGTACAATTGTGGGGATTACCAGGTTTTGTTGAAATCAATATGAAACATATGGCCTTGTTGTCGGTTCTCTCAATTTCACAAATACAGAAACAGAAAGCAATGAAAATTACAACTCTGCTTTTGATACAGAATGCAATCTGGAACATGGTTTAATGACAGATTTATACCATTATTAAATTGATTGGAAATTTTATGTGAGGGATTAATATATCTGAATAGATTGAAATTATACAATTCAGCCTTATCAATATCTTATCAAATGTATAATGAACTATTTTTCTGTTAAATAGAATTTGTTTGGGACATATTTGATGGGCTATTTTTTCATTTTATTTGGAATTAGAAGTATTTATCCTTTTCCACAATTTGAAATGATAAATTACAGTTTGATTATTGGCTATTACTATTACTTTGTTTGCAATTTTAATCGGGAAAATATGTATTGACAAAATAATACAGTTAGATCTGTAATGCTATCTCATATATACATGTGCAACATCATTAAATGGAGTATTTTGTTATTCTATAACAAGGTACCTTATCACAGAACCAGACACGATAGATTCCAGGTTTCTAAAATGTCACATTGGTATGGTGATACTCTTTGTTATATTTGTAAAGGTTGTTTGGGTGGTCTGTGGGATTTGAAAATACAATGATTGATGTTTTTGTTTCTGATGAAACTTTTGTTCGACCTCATTGTGAGTGTGGGTTCTTGTTTGTCAGGGTTTTTCTAGCAACATATTTATAAAGGCTAGAATATCAAGTTCTCTTTCAATTGCCATGTTATCTGGACTCCCGTAGTGTGTGTACCAGGTAAGGTTGGGCCATAATTTTATTCTGCATTTCCCTATTTTAGTTCTATTACGAGTTTGGCTGTGTTAGCCAAGTGAATACACCCCCTGCCCATAGGCTTCAGTCCCTTTACACAACTTGATGTAAAGCAGGCGAACAAAATTAGTTTCGGTACCTCTGTATTGGTACACGTACTTCTGGAGCGCCTGATATCTGGCACAATCAATAAAAATCAGATTTATCAAGCATTCTATGCCACTTGATTCATGTTTTCTCATTTTATTTTCTGCAGATTACTCTCCATAAATTATCCAAATTGAATTTTTCAGTATAAATTTGCTTCTGTAAAATATTATTTATCCGTATCACTCAGCGAATCACTGGGATGTTAGTAGCTACTGACAAATTATCTAGGTCCATCATAGAACAATAAATTTAGAATTCAATTATAGGCAATATGATAAGGAAGGATATATTGTAGGAATTCCATCTGACCAATGTTAAATACAGTGATATCATCTTCAAATTCTATTGCATGAAATAAATTCATCAGAGCACTGTTTTTCATTGAAGTTTAACATTTTTGTATATTATATATAATTTTTTTGTATGGCGTTTTTACAAACCAACATTGAGCAAGCATCTTGTTTACTTGGTCATCTTAGAAGTATCTCTAGTGTCCATGTCCGCCCAGACGTTACGTTATTGGTTCTCAGTTAGAGACCCAGGGCCCCCCCAAGGGAGGGTGCAGCGCGGCTGGATGGGGGCCACATTGCTAGGCGCAAATCTGAATTCTTTGACAAGACAAATCCCCATTCTTCCAAGTTTCATTGCTTGATAAGGTTATTTCACAGGGTATTTTCACTTTGTTGAGCATGAATTGTTTTGATAGCCTATAACGGGATTTGGAATACACCAATCAAAATAACACTAATAATACAACTGGAATGATAAACAGGAGGCCATGACTCCATGAGTACTAAATGCCTTCCGGAAGAGGGCCATGGCCCACGAGCCATAAACGATTGTGAACCACTGTGTTTTGTTAAGTTTCCTCAAGTCTTATCAACATTTTCTTTGCATTCCAGGGGTTTGTTTATCATCAATGAGAAAGGCATTTTACGACAAATCACAATCAATGATCTTCCAGTTGGTCGTTCTGTAGATGAAACGTTAAGACTTGTGCAAGCATTCAAGTTTACTGATGAACATGGGGAAGGTACTTAAGCCAGTTGCTAATTTAATTATTCACTTTTTTGATACATTCAATAATCGGTACTCCCGAAGTATGTGGCCAATACTATCCAAAGATTATTGGGTGCTCCGTAAATATGTGAACCAAGATGGGGGACCCTGGAACGTAGTATGTGTACCAGAACCAGTTTGGGGCTAGGCCATAATTTTGTTTCAATTTTCCTTATTTTAGTTCTATTACAATTCCTTTGACTAACCAAGTGACTCCCATAGTATTTTACTTGAAATTATGGCTTATCCCTTACCTGGTACACATACTACGTTCCGACGTCCGCAATCTTGGTTCACATACTACGGGAGTACCCAATGATCTTTTTATAGATTGGTATTGTACAGTTCAGCATAATTGTAAAAACACTAAAATTTGAAAAGTGAGATAACACTCGCGTAGTGTGTGTACCAGGTTAGGGTTAGGCCATAATTTTATTCCGATTTTCTTTATTTTGGTTCTATTACGAGTTGGGAGAATGTCTGTGTTAGCTAAGTGAATATACACCCTGCTTTACACAACTTTATGTAAAGTAGGCGAACAAAATTAGTTACCTCCATATTGGTACACACACTTCTAGAGCGCCGATAACAGTGCTCAAATACAAGGACACGAAGGCCAAAGCGAAATGGTATCAAATTCAATTTGGGTAATTTTGTATTCTAAGTAATTTGGACACCACATACTGTTTCAAATATAAATTCCAGATTTCGTTATGTTATATCCATTAAGTGTTTTTGTGAATAGCGGTTATCAATTTGTAAACCCAACAGTAAGAATTTGTTTTCCAACACTTCAAGTTCGCAGATGACTCTTTGAGTCTCTCACGGCCCCTCGTCAAATCAACAAGTCGATATCCGCTTTTGTAATTTGTTACATGCTTTTTATTTATCTCATATTTGATATTGGTTTTGCATGACAAAAATTAATTGTCATGCAATAGACAATCTGATAGATAGATTTATGTCTTTGTCAACTAAAACAAATATAAATATGAAGGCATACAAACAAATATATAGGCACAGTTTTTTGGTAAAGACAGGAGGAAGCTATTATGACCAGCTTTAGCAACTTCTTGAAGAGAGTTACTCGAAGCAAATTTTCTGCACTTACTCAAAGTAAAGGGGATTGATATTTGAGGGAAGTAACAAGTGGCGTTGAAGTGCTTATAGCTACTCATATGGATTTGTTTTGCATGATGCTAATAAGCACACCATGAATCCTTGTTATTCTTGTCAACATATGTTTATATAATGGACCATGTTGTAATCATTCGCTTGTAACAAGAGGCCTGCTTGTTATATTCATGTATTCATTTATAGCCAAGGCTGAATAACCTAATTCACTATCCTGAACCATATTGCGGTCTAAAAACATTCTTATATTATCTTCTATTATTCAAATAGTGTTACATTATAGCATGCATAAATAAGGAATTTTCCAAATTTATATTTCCATGTGGGAGCTATATTTAAAATCGTCACAATCAGTGGCGCAACCAGGCCGTTTTCAACGGGGGGGTCCAACCGGAATTTACACAGTGCAACCACGACGTAAGTCGCAACTCCACTAGGTGTCGCCCCGCTGAAACACGATAAATTGCTCGTGGTTAAAAGGGAAACGCCATCGATTAAATCCCAGCCTTTCGCTTACCTTGCCCTCGTTCATTAACGGCGCTTCGCTATGACTTGCACCTCGTTGGTAGCAAAACGCCGTTCATTACATTCCAGCGAATTGCTAACAAAAAGCTGTTAATTATTTTCAACGTTTCCCTCGCTTTGCGCCTGGTGGATAGTGAAACACAGTTTATTGAAAACCTTTCACGACGACTGTTAGTTATTGCCGTGCCACACATGACTCCTTACGATTGCGATAAAAAATGGAATAATTGTGAAATGTTTTTAAATCAGAACGTGGACGGGGCGGTAGGATGTGTACGGCGTTTTCGGTTCTCGGCCTTTCATATGTAGAAAATCTTAGGTTAATCGAAGCAACATTTTTCCGAAAATAATTTTCGTATTCAGATTTTCAGAGTTTCTACTGCATTATTATAACACGAAGACGGGCGGCGTTACATTGCGTCAAGATGATGAAGCACGAGAGTATTCGGCACAAGAGAGAGAGAGAGTTAGCATTATGCTATTGTCGATTTCAATTCGCATCGACAGCGCGCGATTTCGACTTCTTTGACAGTGGTTCTTAAACTTTTTCGAGCGCGACCCAAATCTGAGTTTTATGAATACTCGCGACCCAATCCTAAAAAACGCAAAATGTGTTTTTAATGTTAGTACAGTTTGACTCAAATACAGACAACTATTTATTAGAAACAGTCCATTGACTCAGTGAGATTGATGAAACTGAAATTTCTTTTTTCATTATATCTTCAATACACAGCTCTATTTTACTTAACGCAATACGCAAGTTGTCACGGGTATCGGAGCGATTGCGAGCTTAGTTTTTTTGATAACCGTCAGTGCCAAATATCCTCGCTCGCACAAGTGCCTTGTCGCAAATTGTAGCAGAAAAGGCGTCCGCTATCCGTCGCAAACACGACATCCTAGCTGGCCTTCGGTATCTCTCGCAATATACAACTTTTTACTCGTCACATGTGCACGCACTGCTTCGTTCGCGGTAAATGGTGCCTCGAGATGAAGTCACATTTTCTCTAGATATTGAATAATCTAATGTCGAGAAGGGAGCTTTTTCATTGCGTCGTCTATTACAATTTTCATTACCAAAAAGACACCCATTTTTGGTTATTTTAATCCACTAAGACGACATTCCATGCGGTCAACACAACGACAAGCGACGTGCATGGTTACCGATACCATAAAAATATTACACGTGACTGGCATATCAGAATTGTGATGTAACAATGAGCTCAAGACAGTTCTTTCCGTGAATGAAATTTTTTATTTCATTATTTTTAAATACCAGAGTTTAGAAGCTAAATTGAAACATTGGGAAAGCTGAAAATTCGTCCTTCTCCTCTTAGATTGCCCTTGCATTGACGACCTTGTCGCGACCCATTTTTAAACCTTCCGCGACCCATGTTTGGGTCGCGACCCATACTTTAAGAACCACTGTCTTTGAGATAACATATCTCATTTTCGAATACAAACATATACGCGGGGATAGCGATTATTACGTAACTAACAGCAAAAAGGTATGATTGAAATCGGGCGGTGTTAAATTCCGTCGAGGTGATAAAGCTCTGGAAAAAAATTTGGAAAGTTAGTTTTCACCGGATTGTTATGATCGTAGAACGACGTTGTTTAAACATAGAACAATATGAAAATCAAACGAATTTCAAACGGGGGGACACGACCCCCGTAACCCCCCCCCACCCCCCCCCCCCCCCCCGGCTAGTTGCGCATGTGACTCACAATGGCCAATAAGTACATTATGCTTAGATTACTTATGCTTGACAAAGCTCTCATTATTTATTACACTTGATGCCTTCTCTTTGATAAATGTGTGGGGTTGTTGATTAAAATAAAAATAAATACAGGATGCACTGATTTTAAATTTATTTCACCATTTTACTCTCTTTGCAAAGCCCTGTGATTATTAAACATAAATTGCAGTTTTTAATTTTGAATCTAAAAAGTCAATTTCAATTGAAAATGATTGGGCGATATCTAAAATATTAACCAGATCAATTTTTTTGCCATTTTTATTGTAAAAAAAATCCAAGCGGCAATATATCTAACCTGTATCTTACACATTCCCGACCTCCTTTTTTCTCCACAACATGTGTATCTATATAACTGGTCACATTTACTATAAAATTCTATTTTAGGTAAGATCTTTCAGATTCTAATTTAACTAATTCTCATATTCCTAACTTGTAATCTACTGTTTTGTTATCACTGGTTCTCACAGCCATGTTAAGGAGGTTGTTTTATATCATGTATTGATATAGCCATGTATTTTTCTATGAAGGTTATTTACACCAGACCCAAACAATGTCCTGTATAGTTAGCCACTGATGTGTAGGGGGTAAGACCATGCATCTAAAACAGTAGTTCCCAAACTTTTTAGAGTTGGGAGTTGGGACCCACTATTTATTACCACAGCTTATGGCGACCCATTTAACTTTTTTAACTATTTATCCATTATATTAAAGGCTAAGTAATATAAAAGTAAAGTTACAACTGCTTCTGAGTAAAGTCAAAACTGCAAATGCCAGTTGCAGCGTACCTGCACAACAAAATATCTTTGTTGGTTCTATTTTCTTTTATTTTTTTATGACATAACTCAGAACATAGCAATGACTAATCATCGCAAAACTAACGTGTTTCCTCAAAAATAGGACCTGGCCTTAAAAAAGGGCCGATTTGAATTTCAAAAATGATTGTAATTAAACCCTACCCTTAAAATAAATTTAAAATGTGTGGGAGATGAAACGTTCAATGACCTGAGGTAAGGTGAAGATCACACCACTATTTAAGATTGTGTGATGTCACAATCACAATTATGTTATTTGTCAGTTGATTTTGGTATAGAAAACACAAATAAAAACAATGAATGTCGGTTTTTATATAAAGTTTATTAAAAAATCTTGTGACTTTCTACAATGTTTTTTTTTTTGAAGATTTACGTATTCAAGTCGCCACCGATCCTAATAGCCAGTATATTTAATCAAAGCTTTCTACATCTTTTCATGGCCCACTGAGATTGCTTTTGCGACCCACCAGTGTGTCGTGACCCATAGTTTGGGAACCGCTGATCTAAAACAAATAACTGGCTCACATATCCGACATAAATTGGTAATTGGACAACAGGCCATGGTGTGCAATATGATTAAGCTGTCTTATCGTCATTTTTCTTCCCTTAGGAAAAAACATGAAAATCCTATTCCATTTTTATTTTTGAACAGAACAGAGTTTTTTGAGATTTGTATTTCTCCAAGTTCATTGGCTTGCTTTCTAGTTAACTTACAGTCAAACTGGTGCATTATTTCTCCTGAAGTGATTACTAATTACAGTTTTAATAGGAAATACATCATATGCAGTAATGTATGGATATCTGGGTATTTCAAAAGCCTAGTTGCCTAAATGTGCTTATTTCATATGGGGGAGTGGTTACACATTTATTCTGGTGGAGAGGCAAGCCAATTAGATAGCTGAGCCATATCAGCATGCTGACCAAATGAGGGCTTGTTAATTATGTTTTAGAAAACCTCCATAAAAAGGACAGGATAGGATTTACATGTTTAATCCAGGGGAGAGGAAAGGCGATAAGCTAGCTTAATCACATGACGAACCACAGCCTCTAGTCCGGTTACCAGTCCATGTCGGGTATGGGATTAGTTAGCCATCTATTTGTTTTCAGATGCATGGACTAGATGGTGGAGGCAGCCGTAAACGAGTGAGCGTATTTCTAGCACTCAGTACGATGGGCCACACCACCGAGCCAAAAAATCAAAATGAATTATTTTACATTTTTACAAATTCAATTTTGTAACATGTGACTAATTGGAAATTGATTGCCTTTTGGAGAAATTTGTTATTCTGCAATCAAAATTGAATTAAAGAGAGGATGATAGACAACTATTGGAACTTTAAAGTGTGTAAACTGTAAAGGCCGGTTGAATCCCATCTATTTGTACTAGGTTTGTATATAAATCAACTATTTTTTTCTATATATTTTCATTAGTTTGCCCAGCTGGATGGAAGCCTGGAGCAGAAACAATAGAGCCAGATATAAAGAGAAGCAAAGAGTATTTTAAAAATCAATGATAATGAAACGTTGATAAATTAAATATCCACTGAAACTCAGTAAACTTGTGAAAAGTCTTTGATTTCATATTTTTCTCTGTACTGTATATGCACATTAGCGCGGTGGGAAAAACCAAGTCATTGTGTGGTGATCCTAATTTAGCGAATTAAATTGTTTTTGAATGTTAAATCATACAAAAGCATGTGTTCCATTCATTTTCAATTTTGCTGGACATACTGTGACGTGGCCCATTAAAAGTATTCATTTATGCACTGGGGTTTATAATCCCAATTTACAATAACACATGACAAACATAGATTTCATATTGCAAAAAAATTTGTTTAATCTTTGAATGAAAGTTTGAACAATAAAAAAAATGAAGGAAGTTTTTTACTAGCTATCATTTCTTCATTTCATTATTTATGCCAATCTTGTTACTGTGTTTTTCTTCAAATCACTATATCAGAAATTTTTGGAATAATTTTAATAATTTGATAGAATTCTGAGACTTTCAAGCGATCATGATTGCGATTGGCTTGATGGACAAAAAACATTCCTTCAACAGAAGGGTAATTAGGTTTACCAGAGAAAACTTATCGCATCGAAAAAGTGAGTTTCTACAATGCTAATATGGCTAATTTTCAAGATTTGCTTGGATTCATTCACCATCTTTGGTTGCAACCAGGAATGTAGTCGAATGGGGAGTTTACATCCTCTGAGGTGAGCCTGTCTATTTAAAAAAAGCATCAGATTCCACGTTGACAATATTTTTTGCAATTCGGTTGCGACTCTGGGTTGTATAAGTTCCGAATGCATCTCACTTCGCAGAAAACTAGCTTTGTTTCGTTATCTGTTGTGAATACCTGATTAACTTTTTTGGTTTCCTCACATATATCGACTTCATTTACTTAGAATTAGATTTTCGAACTTCTACTGTGGCATGGATTCCCCTACACCCCCTCCCCTTCCTCTAAAATTTCAATAACCCCGTAATTTAAAGGTGTGACACCACACTTTGATTCCCAACTTAAATATATTCCAGTGCAGATCGTCAGTCAAACACATTTTTACAACTTGCATGAAGTTTATTCTTTAGCGTAAAATATCTGCCACCCCCGCTAAATTTGGAAACCCCCCTCAACAATGAAAAGCTAGGAAGCATACTGTAACTTTAGGGACTCTGAAAATATGACTCAAGGTCCGGTCTCGAGCGGCCCCATAGCCCTGGTTGCAACTTAGGCAATAGTCAGCAATTTTTGCTCCAAATTTATCATTGGTATCTAATTTCCGTGGGTTTTGAGTGTCTGTATCTCCGGTCTATCATTATTCACAATTGATTCTGTGAATTTGTCGGTACTCCTGAGGTATGCGCACCAAGATTGCGGACACCGGATTGTAGTATGTGTATCTGGTTGTACAACTACTACGGGAGTCACTTGGATTGTCCCCGAACTTGAAATAGAACTAAAATTGGAATAAAATTATGGCCTAACCCTAACCTGGTACACATACTACATTCCGGTGTCCGCCATCTTGGTACGCACACTTTGGGAGCACCAATTTGTCTAAGTTTTCTTGTACATGTCTCACTGTTAGCCAGCATTTCTTGCGTTCACTTGTACCATTTTGTGTTGTAGTGTAGTATTTATTTTTCTCTCTGACTAGTTATTAGACTGTGTATTGTGGATACATTTAGACTTTTTTGTCTCAAAGCATTTTTTCTTTGTTTTCTTATAATTTGGGCTGGGCTTTTTGGAGTACCTGATGATTTCAGAATCGAATATTTTTTCCTCGAATCGAATCTTGAATACTTGGAAGATATATAATTGATTAATTGTATGCGGTTTTTCTATTGTAATTGGTCCTTTCAACGAAGGAATTACTGAAAACGCAGAATACATCACTCAGACAGATTGCTGAGCGTTCACGCACAATAAGAAACACGTTTTATCAATAACTCACTACAGAAAATAGTCATATGTCAGAATTGCATCGAAAAAATATGGCTTCGATGAAAAATTAAGGAATTCACGCCGACCATTGGCGGTAAGAAAAAAATAGATCGCAGCAATTCAAGATTTTGCTCTGAACCTTTTCGAATAATTCACTATTCGATTCGAAATGTCCAGCCCTACTTATGATTGGCCATCATGTATTCAATGTCTCGCAACTACTACAAATGTGAATAATGCTGCAAACATTTTGGATGAATGTTGCCTTGCCGTGGTCTCTTCTGGCTCGTTGCAATTACGGAGAAGTACTTTCGGCAAAAAGAAACCTTGTGTGCGTGCGGACCATTAATTCGAGTGTAGGCAAATTAGACTACTAATATTATCTTACCCGAAATAGGAAAATTTGTGTTTGTGTGAAATGTTTATGTGGCCAAATTAATGGTTGGCGCGTAAGGCTTTATTTTAAAAGGCATAACTTGTTTGGAGAATATGCGGATAGCGTGAAAATAATGACTTTGAAGTAGGATGAAATACGATTATTCTGCAATGTACATCCTAATATTACTTGAAACATTCTTCTAGATACTTCATTTTGATAACTCCCCAATGCTACTATGTCTCTAAATTTAATATTTAAAAACACTAGTGCTCCCATTGTGGTGAGTCCAATTTCGTTTGTTCTTCATTTTTAATGTTAATAGATTGGTGAGAATACAGGTTACTGTGTTTCGTATCGTTTTGTCTTTTTACTATTTTATTTTGTGAAAATGAGAAAGCGGTAAGGTTAATTATTTGGCGCTCCAGAAGTTTGTGTACCAATGTGGAGGTAACTTTTGTTCGCCTACTTCACACCAAGTTGTGTAAAAGGACGGAAGCCTGTGGGCAGTGGGTGTATTCCCTTAGTCTACACAAACAGTCCGCGAACTCGTAATAGCACTAAAAGAAGGAAAATGGGAATCAAATTATGGCCTAATTCTAACATGCTACAAATACTATTGGAGCCCCAATTATTTATATAGGAATACTTAACCAGCTAATTGGTCTGTGTGGATTGGTGGAAAAAGCCGTGGTCGTGCTGCGTAAAGATGTCTTTAGCGGTGTAAGGGCGTGGTTCTAAGTGTTAGGAATAGACTCGCCACCGCACCTGTGATTACTCTACGTGGCTCTAATAACCGCTGGTCGGTTACGGCCCTACGGCCGTTTCCTTCACCGCAAAGTCCATGTACCTGGAAACAAATAACTTGCTTACTAATCCTATACCCGACACGGGGTAGTAACCAGACGAGAGACTATCGTTGGTCATATTATTGAGTTGGCTTTCCTATCCTAGGTATGTTATCACTTATGGTGAATGTAAGTTCCGTACAATGTTGGAATTCAAATTTTTAGGAACGATTTCCTTTTGTATCGAACCCACTAGCAATGGTCTGCTTATTTCGGAAATTGTATGTAGGTCTCTATATGTAAGCTACAAGAACCTTGCACGCTTTATATGAATCTAATACATAACTTTTGAAACGCCGAATACAACGCTCATCGTCAGCAACGGTGCACGTGCCTCTTTTTAGAAGCCTGTGCGCCTAATATATAGACCATGTGGTGCGTTATTGCTTATACCTGCACATTGGAATAAAATTATGGCCGGAATTTATTTTAAGTTTATGTTCACTTTCCAGAATCTTCGTTTTTATCTTTACTGTATATTGTTTAATTTTGGGAGTGAATCGAAATTAAAACTAATGCCGGCATCGACAGTTGTTCACAAACATAAAGCTTCACTTTCGTCTACTTAAAATTATAAAAACAAACACAATATCATATATTTCCAATATAATTTTAAAAACTTGAGTAAATACATAAGTATTTTATAATCTGTATGTAAAGATTTCTGTGATTCTTCGTGCGATTACATTAATAATAAAAATCATAGAATTACCATGAAATGATGACAAAAATACGAAAAAATTGTTACATTTGATTTCAGAAAACGTCCCCTCTCAAATTTAATTACATCTGGTATTGAATTGGTCTGGCATGTTGGCCAGATGGGACACGGGACACTCAGACTCATAAAAAATGCCTGGCGAAAAAAAAACGGAAAATTCTTATTTAAGTAAAATAAACAATTTTTCTGTTCAAAATAATACGAGATATTTTGTACAAAGTCCCCGCCAACGCTTAAAATAAGAAAAGAAGTAGTTATCCGGTAGGGTTAGGAATGCAGATTGCGCTGAAAATTCAAATTTTTAAATCATTCCTAACCCGAACTCTCTCCCCGACTGGATAATTACAATTTTGTTTTTTAAAGACGTTTCGGGGGAGTTTTTTTCGAACCTCACATTTTTGCACTGGGGCTGGGCGTAGTATACAAAAGATCCATAATATGCAGCAAGGGAAGCATCCAATTATTGGCTGACGTGTGTTTGCAATGATTGTCATACCCCGCAACTGTCGGGTAAATTATAAATTCACTTATAGTGGTTTCATACCGATATCAACTGTTACATTTAATTTTGAAATATGTAGGTAAAATTCAATATATATATTAGTTAAAACGTTTTATAATATCGAAACATAAATTCTATAACCGAAGTGGAGCTGTGTTAGTAAACATCAACGGCAGAGTTCTTTTATCTTTTACATGTTTGTTGGACTAAATTTTGTGGCAACGCATGGCTATGTTGCGTTTGCATGTTTCTAATATGTGCTGTTTCTGTTGTAGATAATTGCCTCTGAGTACCATATTCGAATGCCTTGGTTATGCATGTAAAACGCGTCTTTAAATGTATTCCACGCCGTAATAAAATTTCATACATTAACGTTTAGGCAATATGACAAACAGAATGTCTATAATTAGGGATGGACATTTCGAATCGAATAGTAGATTATTCAGATCGGTTCAGAGCAAAATTCCGAATCGCCGCCATCTTTTTTTTTTTCTGCCAATGGTCGAGATAAATTTCTTAGATTTTATTTATTGAAGTCATATTTTTTCAAAGCAATTCTGACATAATTTTCTTTTCTGTAGTGAGTGATTGATGAAAATGTTTTTTTTTGTGTGTGTGAACGCTCAGCAATACGCCTGAGTGATGTATTCAATGTTTTCAGTAATTTATGTGTCTGGAGGACCTAATACAAGAAGAAAGTTACATAGGTTACATTTTTATATCTCCCAAGTATTTGAGATTCGATTCGAAAAAATATTCGATTTGATTCTGAAATCATCAGCTATTCGAAGATGTCCAACTCTACCTGTTATGTGTATTCATCCAATTTGTGCTTAAAGAAGTCTTTATTTGCAAATCAAGGTGTCTGTATACTTAGTTTTATATCATATATTGAATACTGAGTAACACTCATAAACGTTAATTATAACAGCCAATCCGGTTATCTCATGAATATCCATTATGGGGTCGACAATACAGTGTGCAATTTCGACACAACATCATTGATAGCGTCGTAAATGGTTCCAAGATAATTCACGCAAGAACTGTCGGCAAAAGCTGATAAACAGGCGAGTTTGTAAACACCTGTAAAAAACATTTAATATTCATGATTAATAAGAGCAGTATCTCAGCATAAAAGTTGAAGCGTATAGGTTCAAGCGAAGATACTCTAGCACATAGGTTCTCAAAGTGCTCCGTACGGAGCCCCAGGGCTCCGCGAGAGAAACCTAGGGGCTCCGCGAGATATTCGATCAAAATACGGACTTGGTTATTCTGTAACTGTTAATAAGCAAAAACACCGATAATGAAATTTAACGACAGTAGAGTCGAAATATGGCAACGAGGTGGTAATTCAAATTTGACAGCATCTAGATGCAGAAGCGCAGTCAGAATTTTTTAAGAGAGGGGAGAGGGTTCAAAATTGAAATTGGAAATTCCCGGGCAACATTATTCGCGATTAGGCCACTCGTTTAAAATAAACTTTTTCAGTGGATAAGTCAGAAGTAAGATCGGACCCAAAAATTCCAGCAACCAGGCCCGTGGGTATCAAGCCCGACTGGATTTGCAGGCCCGAGACCGAAGCAAACCCGAAATTTTCATATCTTATTTAGGAGTTATTTGACGTGTCATTGCAAGAGTTTAGTACAGTATGTGTCGTGTTGATAAGGCAACTTGTGTTTTTTTGCAGACCGTGGCCAAAACACGGCCGAAACGCCTCATTTAAAAAAAAAAGTCAGCGATAGAGAAGCCCGACCCGAACGTAATGATTGACATTTCAGGCCCGACCTAAAATAACATAAAATAGGTGCTAAACTGCCAATTATAAATAGATTGGAATCGTGTTTTTGCTATCTTGGGATTCATCAAATTTGAGTTGTTCTCACATCTCAATGAATACAATTCACAATTGCGGAATCCTTGACCAATGCGCGCATGTTCAAATGCCTTGTTTGTCTGTTCACTGTGTTCAATTCAACCTGTGGATGAGTCGACTTACGACAATATAAAATCATTATCACCCACAATTACCACGCCAATTCGCGGACCTCAAAGGAGAAACAATAAAGTCAAGTAAACGAAAAAAGAAAGCATGAAAATTTATTTTGTTTTCAATACCAAATTAATTGATATAATCTTTATGATTATCTTGTATATCGTCACATATCGAAAAAAGTCGCATTTTGCTCCGTCGGTAGTCGGCAGAATGGATAAAAAGGTACATCGAGCGCACAATTATTGTATTGATTTCAGTAACTACGGTACAACACCCATTGATAACCTAACATAACATCAAAGTTTGTGATTCACAATGTCTAAAAAAGCGTTTTTAATCTGTCGCGAGTCCGCTAAAGTAAAAATTATCATGTTTTCTTCCGTTTTAGTATTTTATAATACCGCTTTCCAATCAAGAAATTTGGGTTGCTGATTCACCCCCTTATTAATTATTTTTAGCATCTCGTCGCCGATGATTATATTGTATTAACTTGTTTTCCATACTAAACTCACAATTACGCACAAAGACAAAAACGTAATTATCGCATTCGCGGAACAAGCAAGAAAAATGTGTGATTAGGGAGAATAAACACCACTTATAGATGTTAGGGTCTAACTAAAAAACACGCATCGCTACGAAAACAATCGGTGATTGCAGCAAAATGCTATCGCGCATGTTATGAGCGACTTCTTCATTCTTCCAAAATATCAAAAAAGAGTTCATTAATATGTGTGTCAAATTTACAGGCCTAATATGTATAATTTATCCGTGCAATTTAGAATAAAAAGTTTTAGCATTTAAATTAGGTAAGGTATTTTTAACTTACTCAGGAATATTGATCACTAAATATCAGCATGTATTTTTTGTCTGCTTTATTTTCAAAATTTATTTGTGGGGCTCCGTGAAGAATGGTCAACCTCTTCAAGGGCTCCTTAACATCAAAAGTTTGAGAACCCCTGCTCTAGCAAATCTGGGTCTGACGAGAACCCGGACTGTTCTTGAATTCGATCCGGGTTACATTTGTTTTTTTATTAATATTGTTTTGAAGCAATAGCTCCAATAAGTTTATACATATGGTTTCTTAAGTATTCCTATTTGTAATATTTTTGTATTTGACATATCACATGACTATATTTATAAAAGAATTGTTACGCTATTATGATATCAGTATTAATTGCCCTGTCTTTATTAGCGAATATTCATTTTCCATGGAACTACATTGGATAGGAAAACTGTGAAAAATATACTGACATCGGAAAGTTAAACAAATTTAGGCAGTGCCGGGACAGAAAGATTCCGGTGCTTTGAAAATCTATTACATCCTTACGCATCAGTTGTTTCTTGCACAGAGCTAGATAGTGAAAATAATATCAGTTTTATTTACTTACTGCAAATATCGGATTTTCATAAGTGTTCAGACTTTAGGAACACTCTATATAATATTAATCACATTCACAATATTTCAGATTCGCTCAAATTAAAAAAAAAAGTACGGTTCTCTATATTAGTCAATCAAAAACGGTGACTAACTTTCTAAGTTTGTGTTCGTCACCGAAACCGCAGCTACAACTGTGTCAGCTCCTATTCGCCCTCGTAAAATCCCTGCCATCAAATCGGTGGTCATCGTTCCTAAAACAAAAAAGTTTTAAATATGTAAGACAGTTAAACTTAAGTAAATTTCCGTCTTTCGCACGTGTCATCGTTTGACAACTCCTGGGTGTCGCTTCTTCGTGGATTGATTTTGGTTCCACTCAGTCTCACTTTCAAATATAATTGCATTTGAAAAGTGTAGCCCATGCTACATGTTTAATTGTGAGCTAACGCAATAACTATGGCCCAAATCCCAATTTCATTGATTGTTCTCATTTAAGCGTTGCCGATATCTAACCACAGGGACTAGAGAGATATTTATTAAAGATTTTGAAGACCACTCGGGGCGCTCCAGAAGTGTGCGTACCAATATGAAGGTAACTAATTTTGTTCGACTCTTTTACATCAATTGAACATGGGGCACTATTGAAAACTCGTCTATGAAAATTTCTCTGCTGCCCTCTTTTTCTTGGTGCACGTGCTTAATGCCCAATTCAGTTCTGCCTATTGTGTGTGACAACTCAGCGAACTGATCGAGTAATGGATTCTATGTTTTCAGTAATTTATGTGTCTAGCCATATACAAAAATGTCGTTTATTAAATTTAAATATCTTTATTTTTTCATTACAAGTATTCGAGATTCGATCCTAAACAAATATCCGATTTGAAATATTGAACCAGCTACCAGCCTAGTTACAATGTGTAGGGTTGAGCCGACGATGAGTCGTTTTTTTTGTGGGTTAGTTACCATTTGACAATGATAGTAAACGCTTTATTGTACACACACTTACAAGATATATTTTATCTGTCTAATTCACCCCACGTATCAGTGTACCAGAAAAGACCATAGCCAGGGCTGACATCGATATGAACCAAAAAATAAGGAAATCAAGGAAACATAATAAGATAACAAAAAACGAAATGTAACAGACAAAATATATTCATGCCAGTGCGACCCGTGTCTGATCATACTTTGAACTAGGAAGGATTTGCTCCAGCAGTTCTTTATTCTTAGAAACTATCTGTTCCATCTTACTTCGGAGTTCACTTTTACTTACGCCATGAATGTGCGTAGCAATCGATGAGGTTTTAATATCATTTCTAGCAGAGCTATCATCAATCTAAGTGACTGGTATAAGAACCTCTACCTCTCGAATGAAACAAAAATTAGAGCATAGTCAAAATAAGGAAGTTTCTTAGAAATAGGGACAGAAAAAGTGTCTGAGACAAATCCCTTCAAAATAAGGACAAATCTCAGAAATAAGGACGTTGTTGCAGCCCCGACTTTAACCATCAATAAAACACAAATTAACAAGATTACAAACCTATATCGTTTTCAATAAGAGGTGTCACTTCAGGTACAACAAGAATAATGATATCAAGAACTCCGTCACGACCAGTCCCTAGAGTTGTTGCGCCACATGCCAATGCCGTAAAATACGACATTGCAGAAGCACACGAAGTACCCACTGTAGACATCTGAAAAATATCAATTAATGTTACATTTCAATTTGACTGTTTACGATGATCTTCAACGACAAAAAGACAAAAAAAAATTGGTATTCCCGAAGTAAATAGAACAAAGATGTCGGACATCGAAACGTAGTATATGTAGCAGGTTTGGATTAGGCCATCATTTTGTTTCAATTTAAGTTCTATTACGAGTTCGGAGACTAGCCAAGTGATTCCCGCAGTATTTGTGCCTGAAATTATGGCCTAACCCTAACCTGACACACATACTACGTTCCGGTGTCCGCCATCTTGGTTCACATACTTCGGGAGTCACCATTGGCTCCCGGGGTTTTTGTACATTGGAACTGTACAAAAGCGGGGTTGAGACTTGCTCTTACGATAAGTAGCTAAAACTTGTTCAGGATTGAACCAAATATTACTTTTTATGCATAGTGAGGGAAAATTGATGGTTCGAAAATAGGCAAAATGAGAAATGCGACGAAAGGCTTGGAATCCATGACCTATAGAAGGGATGGCGACCCTTTTTCAGTGAGTGGGTCAAAAATTATATTTTTATCGCGGAACAGAAGAGAGTGGGTCACATATATTTAATCAATATTCTATCTATAAGAAACTTCTGAAACAAATCTTATCTTATCTTAGCTTCTGTTGATGATGTTGCAGTTTTGGACTTTACCTCTATTAGGAATTTATTATGGCACTCGATTTTATGAAATTAGAGTACGAAAACACGCATATGCATTACCAAAAACGTTTAGGATGATGCGGCAAATTATTTTACGGTTCCAAGAAGTTTGGAGGGAATTCCACTCTGATAGTGGTATATTTTTCGATCAGTTTTCAACCACATTAAGGCACTTTTATACTGCCCCATTGTTATTTCAGATTTCTGGGTTTTTATTTCAAATCTGAAAGATTTTTTTCACAACGGCATTGTAGGCGGGAAACTAATAAAATGCAATGTAGCACCCAGTTCTCGTATAATTCCTAAAACAGTCTGCAGATGCATTTCCGAAAGAGTCGAGACGTTGCGAGAAATGAATAGATCAATTGCATTGTTATGTCATAAACCAGGGTGGTCCAAGGTTGGGAGGTTGAAGGACCGCAAAAACTTTTGAAAAGGTCTCGCGGGCCGCAGTCCGAGAAAACCCCAAAGTGATCAAAACGTCGCGAGTTTACTCACTTTAAATATATTTAAGAATACGAGTTTATCGTTCTACTCAGTTGTTCAGAAAAACTATATAAATCTTTCAGTTATGTTAAAACTGCTTCCCGAGAAATATCGTGGTGTTTTTGGTATCATTTCACTTGTTTGTTTTTATGATGTCGCCTAAAATTATATTCTTTCGTGACGGATATAACTTGAAAACACACCAAATAAAGAGGTTTAACGTTGTTGTGGGTAAGAAAATACGTTTCCTCTCAGTTTACTTCGGTCACCCTTTTTCCACACTCATTGTATGATGAATTGTTATATTTGAAACAAATTATTACTTGTAGCGTGAGTAGGCCTAGTGCTACCGTCAGGAAACAACCAAAATAATAAAAAAATGAATATTACGGCGCTAAGTCAGCTCAGCGGTTTGTCACTGCTGCCACATGACCAACGCTTGAAAATAGAGGAGCGTTTTGACTCGAATAAAGGCACAAAACGTCTCTTCAAATGAGGAGTTACTTGACGCGAGCTCATCTCATCGGCTTGTTCTTGTCTGCACAAGACAATTCATTCTCCCTTCACCGATCACATTTCCATATAGCAGTGCTGGTCCTCAACCTCTTACTAATTGCGCAACAGTATGTTTTTTTACTCTGATCGCGTACCCCCGACAAAACTCTCTTCTGAGGTTGGGACGAATGACGAATGAAACGCGGTATGGGAGTATTTAACATGGCACTACATCCATTTTAGACCTACGTGCAAACTTTTCTCTTATTAATTTTATGTAGTAAATAGTACTAGCGTATTAATTGAGTGCAAAATCGCGAGAGTATTTGCGTCATCTGCCGTCAGAGCTAAAAGGCTTTACCCATCAAGTAGCGGTCGAGGGCGATCTCAAAACAAGAACTGATACCCATTCAGCGAATACATACAATATGAAAGTGAATGCGCTAACGCCATATTTCAGCCAACTCAAAAGTTGAATTTTGCAAAAATTCAAAGCTGCCCGCGTACCACTCGAAAAGCGTCCGTGTAAAACTAGTGGTTTAGAACCACAGCCATATAGGCACCGTCTTGGCGTTTATATGTACAACAATGAAATGTCGTGATGTTAACAAACATCAATCCCGACATGGAGATCGGGAAAGGACAGTTGGAGTAGTTTAAAAATAAATCAAAATTGTTCTCCTGATAAATACAAATATCTGCCAATGGTTTAGTAGTGTATGCTAAAATTGTTCTGCGGGCCGCACGGAATGTGTTAGCTGGGCGCAGTTTGGACCACCCTGTGACATAAACGATGTCAGAGCAAATGTATAGCTGAATAACAGTACACATCGGTGCAGACATGCGTCCAAGATTAGGGGTTTTGGAAATTACCATATCGGTCCGGAAATTATCAGTTTGAATATGAGCGATCGCAGCCCTGACTGCCCAACGTTACATTATGATAGTTTAGTTATTGTTAGATTAATTTAAGGCCGGCTTTATAAATTTTTATCACTGATATTTTAGCATTTTTCTTTTTCTTTTTATTCGTGCCTTCGCGGGCCACGCGGTGGGTCACTTTGTGACCCACGGGTCAGTGGTTCGCCATCCCTGACCTATAGGGTGCTAGTCAGGGGCGGGCAAGGTTTTTGAACCAGGGGCCAAAAATATTGCCCACCTAATCTGGCTGGCCATGTGAGTGTGACGTAAAACGTTACATTTTATGAACAATATTTACTGTGTTACAAAGAAAAGGTGGAAAACAATATGCCTCATGCGAAAACTAAATTTAACCGCAATCACAACAAATTCATTGGAGTATTTTTAGCTAAAACATCAAAATTTGGTTTCAGTTTGGTTGTGGCAGCATCAGGCGGGCCAGATTCAATTACCCAACAGGCCGGATTTGGCACGCGGGCCGTACTTTGCCCAAGTTTGTGCTAGATCAAAATAATTTCGATTCATATATATTCAATATTTTTCAAATTAGTATTGCACCCTGGAATATTTCTGGAAACAGAATTTTTTGCCACTTTTTATTTCAAAAGTCACATTATTAACGAATCGTTCCAACTCAGTCATGAGCGATCTACATCCCGCGGGCCAAATCTCGCCCTCGGGTAATTCAATCTGGCCCGCCTGATGCCACAACCAAAATGAAACCAAATTTTGAGATTTTAGCTAAAACTAGCTCAAGGAATTTGTTGAGATTGCGCCATTAATTTAGTTTTGGAATGAGGCATATTGTTTTCCACTTTTGCTTTTGTAACACAGTTCATGAAATTTAACTTTTCACTTCACACTCAAATGGCCCGCCCGTCTACATAGGCAAAATGTTTGGCTCCGGGTCAAAATCTTGCCTACCACTGTTCTAACCAGACCTGGAAGTGGAGGAAAACAATCGTCTGTATACAACTAGCAATAAAAAAAACTTTTTCTGGAATCCTGCTTTCGAGTAGAGAGAAAAAAAGCATTAATCGTGTATAAAACAAATATCAATTCCTGGGTATCAAACGAACCAGACGAAAACTGCAGATGCAGAATCGATATGAAAAAAATTCAGAAATTTAGTTTGACCGGATGGGCCGGGTGGGCAAGGTTTTCGGATCAGGGGCCAAAATTTTGCCCACCTGGACTGGCGGGCCATGTGAGGGTAAAGAGTTACATTTTATGAACAATGTTTACAGTGCTACAAAAGCAACAATGGAAAACAATAAACCTCTTGTCAAAACTAAATTTAACCGCAATCTCAACAAATTCCATGGGTTGTTTTTTTCTAAAACATCAAAACTTGGTTTCAGTTTGGTTGTGACGGCATCGGGCGACCAGATTGAATTACCCAGCGGGCAGGATTTGGCCCGTGCGCCGTAGTTTGTCCATGTCAGGTCTACACTTATAAAAAATAATATCTGAAAGTTAACTTTCTTGTGGACGTGATAACAACTGTCTGATATCATTCCAACGGGTACCGTGAGATCTCTTTGAGTCTTATAATAAAATACAAGAGACCAATGACCAAATGTGTGAACAAAAATCCAAAACGAAGTAATATCACATCTTTTACAGTATCAGTTGTCTGACCACCAGATCGCTGAGATGTAATCACGAAACCACGACGTGAAATTTCCAGTTTTGATGGCGTAATCACACGAAAGTAAAAAACGAATCCCATAGATATTTTTGAAATAAATGAAAATAATAGCTTTATAGCGAAAACAACAAGCCCCTCAACCACAAAAAATTTCAGAGCAATTGGTCAAGTTGTTGAAGGGAAATTATAGTAACAAAACTAGATAGCGATCGGAGAACGCCGACTTATCGATTTTTATTTTTTTCCGCATGTTCAATATTTTACTCGACAATTGACTCAATAGCGACACCACGTGTCTCATCACTAATTAATTGTTAACTCGCTTATTATACCACATAATTCATTCAAAATCAATAGGCTTCTGGTCCGAAATATGATAAATCCACATGCAAAATTTGGATCGGATTCAACCCCGAACGAGATAAAAACAATCTATGGTTTATTATAGTAACTTACTACGCTTTCGACAGCATCTGCACTAATTCCTTCAGCGAATGTCATATGCAAGTAATCACTTGGAATGCCGCAGACTGGAGTTCTGTGTCCCTGTACAGCAAATGTAGTCTTAGTGCCTGAAATATACGGCCAGGCACAAGCAAAGCTGAAAAAATAGAACCATTAGCTTAGCAACCCAACATAGTTCTTGTATGAAGGCCAATAACTCCGAGCATACAAACGGCCAAGTACAAATATTGGTACTCTTAACATATTTAAACCATGATGGCGGACACCGAAACGTAGTATGTGTACCAGGTCAGGCTTAGGCCATAATTTTGTTCCAATTTCCCCTTTTTTAGTTCTATTACGAGTTCGGGGACTAGCCAAGTGATTCCCGTAGTATTTGTACCTGAAATTATAGCCTAACCCTAACCTGGTACACATGCTACATTCCGGTGTCCGCCATCTTGGTTCACATACTTCGAAAATACCAGAATATGAATACGAAAATCGTAGGTCAAAAAGGCATACCGGTACATTTAATTTGAACGATGTGTTCGAATCAGATTGGTTTTTAACAGTGAAAGATCTTGTTGGATCCAATATAGTGTGCCCTAGAGCTAAGATCGGGCCCAAGAATTCCAGCCCGGCCCGACCCAGGCCCGTGGGTATTAAACCCGACCTAGCCCGAGCCCGACTAATTAACTGAATTTGCAGGCCCGTGCCCGAAGCAAACCCAAAATTTTATTCAAGAGTTCTTTGAATTGTCATTTATTTTATAACAAGTATTTCTTAGTTTAATATTCACACATAGCTTTAGTATATATTTTTCTAAACATATATTTATTTAAAAAATAAGTCAGCGATAGACCCGGCCCGACCCGATCGTAATGATTGACATTTCAGGCCCGACCCGACCCGATTTTGGGTCGCCCTTGGGCTTCAGATATTAGCTCTAATTTATGGGTCACGTTGCACACTAACAGAGTACAGTAAGACTCATGAATCACCTAAAATAGTATTCTTCACATTAGCCACAGCATCCTTGCATTATACTGTGTTTCCCCAAAAATGTGATCTAGCCTGAATTTTGAAAATTATTTTAATATAAATTTTCTTCTAAAATAAAATCTAGACAATAGCGCAAAGTCTTTTCTGCTCGTTTTAAATGATTAATATTTAATTTATGTTTAGCAGTTGATTTAAATAAAAGCGTGTTATTTATAGGTGAATGAATATCGGTTTTTATATTTTGTTTATTTAAAAATCTCGTAATACTCTATACTTTGGATTTTTGTTTTTGATAAATGAAAAAAAGACATCCTCCCTAGTGTTATTTTTCAAAAGAAAATTGGAAGGACACAGTCTTATTTTCAGAGAATCACGGTATAAATACGGATCACCCGGCACTAAAGCATGGAGGAAGGATAAGTACTTCGTCCCGTAGAAACCCACTCGATAGCCCAAATTAGACTTTATAGTCAGCCTTTCAGACACTATTTCAAGTTTACGGCTTTTCCCACAATCCAACTTCAAACATCTTGAATAACGACTATTCTGTAGTTTATTCCTTTCACCAGACTAAATATGGGGGCGCTCCAAGAGTTTTGTTTGCCTATTTTACATCGAGTTGGGAAAAGGGACTGAAACCGATAAGCAGGGCAATATTTATTTGGCTAACACAGACAGTCCCCGAACTTATAATAGAACTAAAATAAAGGAAATTGGAATTGAAATTATGGCCTAACCCTAACCTGGTGCACACACTATGGAAGTACCAAAATAGCAAAATAGGCACAAGACATACAAACGTCAATGAGTTATAATAAAAAAATCGCTTTTAAAGGTGGGTGGGAACGTGGTAAACTCCTTTATTATTTGCATGAACACCATGAAATGGTGACGAGCGAGTGACCTGTTTAACCCTTCTTATCGGCTTTCCCCTCGCCCGGATAAAAAAGTCTGTTACCACTTAAAACAGACTCTCTTTCTCGCGGCGGTGGGGCTCATCGTGTTTAGCGTTAGGAATACGCTCGCCACCGCACCTCTGATTACTCTGCGTGGGTTTGCAGGTTCCAATCCCATGCAGGAGATGATTATGTGCAAGAGGATTTCCGGACTCTTCGTCGCCGAAGGGTGGTTCACGTATGCGCTGGTCGGTTATGGCTTCCTCCACTATCAAGTCCATGATTCCGATAACAAATAACCAACTAATCCCATACCCGACATGGATTGATAACCGTGCGATAGGCCGTGGTTCGCCATATGGTTAAGTCGTCTTATAGGCTTTCCTCTCCCTTCGGATTAATATGTAAATCCTATCCTATCCTATATATATCGGGATGCAGTACTTACTCTTCTATGAATTTCTTCTGCTGTATAAAGTTTGGCGATACGGCTGGGTCAGTCAACGTCGGATCGTCGGCAGGAAGTGGGACGTCTGGCGAACAAGTGTTTGGATCCAGAGAGTTCGTGTTATCGATGATAAATAATATATTAGCGTCGGTTTCTGTAACGAAATAATATTTCAGTTTTTTTTAAATACACTAGTGATCTTGGGTGCTCCCGTAGTATGTGCACCAAGATGGCGCACAACCTGAACACAGTCTTGCACCCGGTTAAGGTTCAGGTAGTGCGCCATCTTGATGCACATACTACGGGAGCGCCAGTTGTCTCCCAAAGAAAACAGAAGAGGAATTCACTGGGACATTTCGTCAATAGTAACCTTTTTGCCCTTCCGGCTGGGGGTGGGCCTAGGACAGCACGTCGCAGAAGGCAGCAAATCTGGGATGTGAAGTGTGCGTTATTACAAAAATTGATAAAACTAGGAGCTAACGGTTTAGTATGTGGTATTGAAATTACTCAATGGTCTAAATAAGTCGGAGGCAGCGCACCGGACGAATTACCGTCATTCGTCCGGCTTAACTACTCTCGTGAATCCATCGATCTTCCAACGATCGCCCGCTTTTACTTTCCTCAAAACTTTCCTATACCTACCCTTTGGATGGCGACCTTATCTTGGATTTGTAAAATATGACATTACTTATATAGTCTTGTATGACTGATTGTGGTAATAGTGAGTCAGCAATGGCTGATTGCCCTTTCCCGCCAATGTGCTCGTCTGGCTCGTGATTTAGCGCAATAACACTAACATTTCACTCTTACTTCACCTTTGACTTATTCACTCTCATGTATAACAACATCTATAATATGTTTATCCTCCGTACTATTGTCCCGCTGGATGCTATATTACACATTCAAATTCCAACTTTATATCTATCATAGTCCTATGCTTTTATTTTTCTTCTCTGAGTTCTTCTCGCTGACGTGTTACGTACGAATTAGGCTGGGCATAGGGTCTTTGTATTATTTAAACTCTCCAAGTATTCGGTTTTCGATACGAAAAAAATATTCGATTCGATTCTGAAATCATCAGGTATTTAAAAATGCCCAGCCCTAGTAGCGAATGTAAACCAAATTTTGCAATCAAAAAAAAATTAAGCAACAAAATTAGAAATTCTCTACGACTTATTGTCTCATTGCCGGATTTTACGGATCGTAGGGTTATAACTCACACAGTCAATAAATTGCTTAGTTGTAGCCACACATAAGGTGCATCGAGTATAAGACGCAATGGACACTGATTTTGACTTCAGGCAATAAAGCATTACTTGGTTCATACATTAGGTCAGGGTTGTCCAACTTTTTTAGCCAAAGGGTCACATTTAGTTTACGAATGATTGCACGGGCCACTTGACATGATTGTTAGGTTCTCCTTTCACTACACCGACCACAGATTAATGGAAAAACAAACAAAACCCAATGAGAATACGAAGATACTGTCAAGTCAAAAGTTCCTACCATACATACCTATTTTATTGTCGAGTATGACACCGCGTCTATCCAATAAGTTTGTCAATATTCGGTGAGATGGACGATGTAGCAATGCATAGCGAATTTTTCATATGACTGTCAAAAATTAGTGATCTCACGGGGGATTTGACATGGTTCATCCGCGAAAAAACTTTTTTCAATAGAGGTTTCAATAATGGCCCAGGTTTGAGAAAGACATTGGGATTCGTATAATAACGCGAGGGCCACTCGGAAACCTTCGGCGGGCCACATGTAGCCCGCGGGCCACTCGGAAACCTTCAGCGGGCCACGGGTTGGACGACCCTGCATTAGGCGCACTGGCTGATAAGGCGTATGATCGATTTTCGAGTAAAAAACTAGGTAATTAAAGTACGCTTCATGATCCGTAAAATGTGGTAAATCAATGAACTTTTTGTTCTTACCCGGACCAGAATAGGTACAGTCAGCGTATGTCGTAGCACATTCGGCCAGAGCAGTTCCAGTACCAGTACACGATTGAATTGAAGCAATAGATGGGGTTTGACAGTATCCTGGATACAGAAGGCATTGATTATTTGAATTTGCTGGTCCGTATTCACTGCACAAATCTTCGTTACAGTCTAGAGATTCAGTCTGTAAATAAAGGGTGTTGGAAAAGTTACGTAAAATTAAGGTAAAACTTTTTCGTCGTGGTGACAATAAAAAAGTAACTGTTAAAAAATTCAGTCGTAAAATGTTCAAATGGCATTTTACCGTAATTCAATACTGTTGAAAGGTGTCAGTCGTCAAAATGTTTTAAGTAGCATTTCATCTAAACTTCTGTTAATTATTGCTTAATTTTTTTAATACCCTGTACATATATTTGTGACGCTAGTCACTAGTGGAGGGGTCTCAACTTGGGGTTCACGGGAATGTTTTCAGGGGTACTTTGATTGCAGTTGAGTTTTCATGTGTTGCCTTTTTTTTAATATTCTTTACTACCAGAAGAAAATGCGTGTCGATTGAAACGCAGCGTAGATATTCCCTGATCTTGCGTAATTGTGACGCAACAATGAAAAATCCACGGCTTTGCAGTCAAACTGTGAAATCTCAGAAGATCATGTGCTGTCAGCATTGCAGAAAGTGATATGCTAATGGCACTTAAAAAGAAATCTTAGGAATTCTTTAGTTAGGCGGAGAACAAGGGCAGTTAATATATTACACCTTTATTTGGTGTCTGATTACTGGGGTCCAGGTTGATTGTTTCGTGACTTGGGGGTACTTGAAAGGGAAAAGGTCGAGAACCTCTGCGCTAGTGTATTTGACTATGTCGGGTTCAAATTCCATGCCCCACCCCGCTCACCATGCCACAACGAATTGGATATAGGCAAGCCGAATCGGAAAACCACTCCTCACATAAAATGAGTTATCAGTGACGACTTGTAAACGGATTTGTTTGGAACGAAAGTCGTGAATAATGCTTTAAGAGTTCAATAGTTTCCAAAGTTGATTGACTGTAAGGATATTCGAGGGTCGGGAGAGGGGAGCGCCCACAAGGTACCGGCCGAACCCTATGCATAATTAAGATACTGATCAAATTGAATTGTTACGAATATACACGTGCTTAAACTGTGATGATGGCGTAACAATTGGCGGGATCTAGAACGCAAAAAGATAAAAACATAACGGATTAAACTATTTCCCTTCAGTTGGGCGGACCCTATTGATTTGTTACGCGGGCTGTGCTTGGCCCACGTGCCACGGTTCCGGAACCACTAAAATTGAGATCATCTTTAACTTACAAGAGGTTCCGTACATCCCGTAGCAGGCTCATTAGTCTCCGCGTCCAGACATGGTCTCTCTCTCGTCATCAGTCCTGGTGAGCAAGTACTGCTGCAAAGACCATATTCACCCCAATCTCCGACAGTTACTACAAGGGCAAATAAAAGTGAATTAATAAATTTTTCAGACTCAACCAATCGTAGTTCACTGGAGGAATTTGATTACTTACATTTTAATGCTATTGTTGTAAATATTACTATATCTTATTTTAGAATATAGGCAAGTCGCAGACTGGGATGTGTGTAGCGCTACTGGAAAATTGCGCCCTAGGGTTTATAGACAGGAAGTTTCTAGAAGGGATAAATATAAAAACCCTATCCTGGCCTATTACTTTATTTCCGAATCCACAGAAAAACTTCAGTAAATGAACAAAAAGTTATAAATACACTCACGACATAGGCCATCGTTGCAAGGAACATTGGACTTGCTAATAAATGCAGTTGGTAGTAAGTAATTACATTATGTTGACGACTTACACGAGAAATTGGAAAGGTGCCGAATATGACCGCGATTCAATACTGACAACTAATTCTCTTAATTATTGTCTCATATTGCTCGAAAACGCTGACTTGAAAGAGATTTTTTGTCACAAATCCATAGAAAAATATCAGAAAACTGACAAGAAGTTATAAATACACTCACAACATTGGCCATCGTTGCAAGGAACATTAGACTGGCTAATACATTCAGTTGGTAGATTCGGAGTTGGATCGGTTCCTGCTGTGACGCAATGTCGTATCTGATCGACGACACCGTCGCCACAAGTCTGACTACAGGCCGTGTTATCTTGCCATGCACTGTATTCTACGCACAAATCCAAATTACAATCTTCTTCCTGAAAAGTTCCAAAATAACACTCCAGTTAAATTTATGCAGAAAGCTTAGTGTCCGGGGACACATTTATCACCACAGATTCGAGTGCACAAGGAATCAATATGTTCGCAAAAAATTCCAGCATGTGGAGATTTTGAGCATTATAAAAGCAGGATTATGACCTCTTGTAAGTCTATTGTGTTGGTTTCAAAACTATGAGTGATGGTGCTTTGACGCATTTCAATTTTAGGTAGGTTGGAAAATATCAATTCACGCCCTGCAAAATTATATTTTATCCGCCATAGATTATTAGCTTGTTGAAATTAATGCTGCCTTGCTGCGTCACAAGGTGCTGCTTCCCCAATACGTTGCGTTTTGTTTGTAACAGAGATAGTGACTGAGTTTGAAAACCCATCATCTGACGGTTAGCACTTTTTTTCAATAAATTCCCTAATATTTTTTGTAACTATTTATTCTTCCCTTCTTATGTATAAAACCTATCACATCTACTGTTCAATCTGTAATGGCTACTTCACAAGCTTTATGAAAAAGCCGCGAGTCGCACTCCCGTTCGTTCAAGTAGTTTGTTATAAATGAGTTCATGAATTCATTATTCTAGTTTGATAAAATATTAAAAATATTAGTAATACCACAGCAAATACAGAATAAAAATTCCCCCCCAAACGACAAAATTTCTTCCAATGTCGGGAAACGTTGTGTTGCCTATTTCCATTCTCAATCTGGATTGGTAATGGGACATGAACCCGAGGGCCGTGAGCATATTATCAAGCCGCATTTCCTTACTATTGTCGAATTTCCTTTCCGCGGATTGAACGTGAAAAAATCTTAATTTGAATTCTACATATAGTTTCAATGATTAGTCCGCTTGCATCGTAAGCATTCAGCTGGGGAGTGTTCTTATTGTACGTCCTGATCGCACGGCTTATTCATCTGGCTGAGTTGCCGGTAGAGTCCAGTTGCGCGTTTACCTTGTTTGTTAAAATGAGGTAAAAGGTTGAACAATCTGCATTGAGATATGGACATGAACTAAGCCGAATTATCGTGAACTCATTTACGCCCATTAAATTACGCCCCTTTGAACTGCGCCAACTTTGTCGTAAGGAATGAAATGCATAAACAACATTGAAGAGTTCAATTGTTACTGATGCTTATTTGAATAAAATATCAGAACTTCGCTTCGCCCAATTTTTCTATGGGCGTTGTCATTGCTTTCTACTCAGAACAAGGCTTTAGTTGAGTAACCACTGGTACGCTCGGAGCTAATAATTTGCAGGGATAACATAAACATACTGATAGTGGTATGCAAGCATAGGGTTCCCAACCGATGGGGGTCCACAATGTTAGGCACAAAACTGATTTCACTTTATCTTTGACAACAAAATTCCCCGTTCTTCTTAGTTTCATTGCTGATAATGTTATTTCACAGGGTGTTTTCACTTTGTTGAGCATGAATTGTTTAAACATTATGGGATTTAGAATCTACCAATCAAAATAACACTATAAATAGCACTGGAGTGATAAACAGGGGGGCCATGAGCGCTAAAAGCCTTCGTGAGGTGACCACGGGCCCTCGAGGTTGGGAACCACTGGCAGGTTAAATACTATCAATACATGTGAGAGTTAGGTAAGTGATCGTTGCCAATTATCAAAAAATATTTGATTAAGATGTTTCAATTCTTTATTTCAAACAAGTCTATGTAGCAGCAACACGTTTCTGCAAACATCTACAGATTATGTTAGTACTAAACGGCAGCATTTACTCCCAGAAATAATTTATCTTATTTTTACATGAGGCGCTCTGAGGCTCTGCGAAAATACCTGGTATGTATTTGTATTGATTATTAATTTTATTTTTTTTTTTCAATATTGTATAATACGATAAATTACTTGTGTACCTATGTTGATATCGGTTAATAATGTTTATTACAATATTGTTTTATTTTATAGAAATCCAATAAAAAAAAAATTTAAAAAAAAAAAGATCGCTATCCATCCGCTTCGGACATGAAATATGAAATATACATTCTCCGACACGGACAGACTTATGATAATTTCGATAGATGCCGATCATTACACTTACTTCAGTAGTGGTTGAACCATCAATACATTGGTCAGATAACTGGCCGGTAGTGATATCTTTACAGGTTCCAGTTCTTGTCCATTTACCCGGCCCGCATGTGTTGTCGCAGGGACCCCATTCAGTCCAATCCCCATATTGATAATTTGCTGAAATAGAAATCAAGTGTGAAGCCATAAATTGTGTTTTGTATTTGTCTGGAAGACTCTAAGGCAGTGATAGGCAAACTTTATATACCACTGTGCCAAATATACACATTTCCGGTAGCATGCGGGCCATCTTAATTTCTGTCTATAACAATAGTCACATTAAAATTCAAGTTATGACGCTCCTAATTCGGTACTCCCATAGTATATATGTGAACCAAGATGGCGGACACCGAAACGTAGTATGTGGACCAGGTTTCAGGATTAGGCAATAATTTCAGGTACAAATACTACAGGAGTCACATGGCTAGTCCCCGAACTCTTAATAGAACTAAAATAAAGGAAATTGAAAAATAAATTATGGCCTAACCCCAATCTGATACACATACTACGTTCTGTGTCCGCCATCTTGGTTCACATACTACGAGAGTACCCCTATTTCTATGTTTTTTACAACTAACGATAGGCCCGATATTGTAATTTTCATGTATCAGAAATGAGGTAAAAGTCATTTTGTGGGTTGCATTTGGCCCGCGGGCCGCAGTTTGCGAGTACATTACGCTTCCCATATCAGGAATGCGGTCTAGATTTTATTTTTAATATCCAGGAATAGATTTATCAGTTATCGATTCAATATTACAATAGCACGATTGAAACAGTGTTCTCTTGATAACTTTTTGGGGGCATAAGTCAAGTGGCGTACATCGGGTATGAAAGCCACAGCCCGAGTCATGTACGCTGGGGGCGCCCGAGGGGGCGCAAAAACGGTAAAAGTTCCAACCATAAAAGTTTCGATAAAATAATTTTAAATTCGAAATAATGGACTTTCGTGTTTTTACTCAATAATAATAACGTACGAGGATGTCATTTCAACAATAACCGCCGTAAAAAAATGTTAATCAAAGGATTGCATTGTTAAATTTTGCCACGGCCACAGATACGCCATTGCATAATTCCAAGCAGTAACAGATGACCAACTTTTATACAATGACAGAATTCTACATCAAATTTTCCCAGAAATATGAGATTACAAAAGCAACCAAGTATCAAATATTGTTTGCAACTTGGGCATTCTTGCGCGTCTATCAGGGTAGATATATTACTTAAGCAAAAGGCTAGAGCTGACAGAGGAAAACTACGGACTTGATCCGAAAACCTTGCCCACCTGTGCTAGAGCAAGCATATGAAGTGGAATTCATTCTATGCTTTGGGTTAGTATATAATACTTTGGCTATTTGTATGAAGTGAGTTTCATACAATTTGGGACAAGTGGGATACCACATTTTTGAGACATCTCTTTTTCCACCTTTAGTTCAATGCTTAACGCCTCACTTTAAGTCGCAGACCTCACTTTAAATTAGTAGCTGCAAATTTAATATATAAATATTGATAATAAAAATATATATAATTATAATGCTAAATTTTATGTACTTAGGGTTTTCAATTTGCGCGTAATTTATGTATATGTTATCTGGTGACTTTACAATTTTTAAATTTGAATTAATTGCTTTAGAATACTTACGACAAGCCCCTTCGTTGCAGGACCGCATTTCTTCATCACATCCATCTGGAACTTCAAGAGAATTAACTACGCATGTCCTAGTGTATCTTTGAGTTCCATCTCCACATGTAGCAGAGCAATCTTCGTCCGGAGCAAATTCGTGATATTGGTGGCAAATATGTTCGTCACATTCTTCAAACTGTCAGATAAAACGCGAGTTAAAACAAAGACTCTAGGGTCAACATACTTTCGATCCGACTTTTGTCTAAGAGCATTGGTTCTCAAACTTTTTACACCGCCCCCCCCCCCCCCCCATTTACAGTTTGTCAAGTCTCGCGCCCCACTCTAAACTACCTAGCTAACAATAAGCTACAAGTACCAGATAATAAGGCGAAAGTATGTTTTATTCAAAAAAACGTTAAAAATACGTGTACATGATAAAGAAATGTAAGTATTTAAAATAAGTCGGGCAAAATCAACTCTAACAAACAGTTAGAGATAAATTTTTAATTATCTTAATGTCCATTCAAAAAATTGCCTACGCCCGTCCCCTCGTAGGGCGCGCCCCACGTTTGAGAACCCCTGATCTAGACTCTGGGTCATATGCAGTGGTTGGATGGGATTTAAAATTTTGGGAACGAGTTATCTTCAGATTTCCTAAATTCAGAATACCATTCCGTACTTATATTCATATAACTGTACGCATATTTACTAAAGTATGTCACTACGTAAGCTACGTTAACATCTCACACTTTTCATAAATCGAAGAAATACTTTTCGAAAGACAAATAAATATAACGCTAGTCAGATCACCACGCTAGTCAGTCACCAAGAACGGGTTTGCCGAAATCAATAATTTTACGAATGGGTTCTTCGATTATCAAAAGCAAAAAAAACCAAGAACGGGTTTGCAGATTATCAAAAGATTTTTAGAAGATTTTCGCCGAATATCAAAAGATTCCAAAAACGGAGTTCACTGATTATCAAAACATTTTCGCCGGTTAGCAAAATATTCCAAGAACGGGTTCGCCGGTTACCGAAAGATTCTAAGAATAGGTTAGCCGAGTGAAAAAGGTTCCAAGAACGGGTTCGAAGATATCAAATGGTTATAAGAACAGGTTCGCCGACGTCAACATACTTTAAGAATAGGTTCGCCGGTATCAACATAGCCAAAAAAGGGGTTGATATGAAAAGGTTTTAGGGAAGGGTTCGCCAATAAGAAAAAATTTTGAGAACGGGTTCGCCGATTAGTAGAAAATTCTAAGAAATGAGTTCATTGACTATCAAAAGGTTCTAAGAACGGGTTCGTCAATTATCAAAAGATTCAAAGAAATGAGTTCATTGATTATCAAAAAGATTCTAATAACGGGTTCGTCGATTATCAGAAGATTCTAAGAAATGAGTTCATTGATTATCAAAAGGGTCTAAGAACGGGTTCGTCGGAATGAAAAGATTTTGAGAACGGGTTCGCCGATTATTAGACGATTCCAAGAAATGAGTTCATTGATTATCAAAAGGGTCTAAGAACGGGTTCGTCGATTATCAAAATATTCAAAGGAATGAGTTCATTGATTATCAAAAAGATTCTAAGAACGGGTTCGTCGATTATCATTGATTCGAAGAAATGAGTTCATTGATTATCAAAAAGATTCTAAGAACGGGTTCGTCGATTATCATTGATTCAAAGAAATGAGTTCATTGATTATCAAAAAGATTCTAAGAACGGGTTCGTCGATTATCAGAAGATTCTAAGAAATGAGTTCATTGATTATCAAAAAGATTCTAAGAACGGGTTCGTCGATTATCATTGATTCAAAGAAATGAGTTCATTGATTATCAAAAAGATTCTAAGAACGGGTTCGTCGATTATCATTGATTCAAAGAAATGAGTTCATTGATTATCAAAAAGATTCTAATAACGGGTTCGTCGATTATCAGAAGATTCTAAGAAATGAGTTCATTGATTATCAAAAGGGCCTAAGAACGGGTTCGTCGAAATGAAAAGATTTTGAGAACGGGTTCGCCGATTATTAGACGATTCCAAGAAATGAGTTCATTGATTATCAAAAGGGTCTAAGAACGGGTTCGTCGATTATCAAAATATTCAAAGGAATGAGTTCATTGATTATCAAAAAGATTCTAAGAACGGGTTCGTCGATTATCATTGATTCGAAGAAATGAGTTCATTGATTATCAAAAAGATTCTAAGAACGGGTTCGTCGATTATCATTGATTCAAAGAAATGAGTTCATTGATTATCAAAAAAATTCTAAGAACGGGTTCGTCGATTATCAGAAGATTCTAAGAAATGAGTTCATTGATTATCAAAAAGATTCTAAGAACGGGTTCGTCGATTATCATTGATTCAAAGAAATGAGTTCATTGATTATCAAAAAGATTCTAAGAACGGGTTCGTCGATTATCATTGATTCAAAGAAATGAGTTCATTGATTATCAAAAAGATTCTAATAACGGGTTCGTCGATTATCAGAAGATTCTAAGAAATGAGTTCATTGAATATCAAAAGGGTCTAAGAACGGGTCCGTCGATATGAAAAGATTTTGAGAACGGGTTCGCCGACTATTAGACGATTCCAAGAAATGAGTTCATTGATTATCATAAGGTTCTAAGGACAGGTTCGCCGATATGAAAAGATTTTGAAAACGAGTTCGCCGATTATTAGACGATTCCAAGAAATGAGTTCATTGATTATCATAAGGTTCTAAGGACAGGTTCGCCGATATGAAAAGATTTTGAAAACGGGTTCGCCGATTATTAGAAGATTTCAAGAAATGAGTACATTGATTATTGAAAGGTTCTAAGAACAAGTTCGCCGGTTATCAAAAGATGCCAAGATCTGGTTCGTGCGAAGCCCTCGAAAACCGCCACGGGTTGAACGTCCCGGTTCTGCAGTCAACCAACGTATCTTAAAATGTTTCGTGTAAGCATCGATTATTATTACACCCATGGGCCTCGGGCAGGGACGTAGCCAGGGGGTGGTACCCCCCCCCTCCCCCTCCCACCCTCCTTTTGAAATGAAAAAAATTAAAAGCATCTTTCTGTATCATACATGGCAATTTTTCGTAACGTGACACGTTTTCTAGACACTCATGAAAACACACTTTTCCGGCGTTCGACTGGACCCGCTTGCTGTTCCGATCTATCTTGGCAAATAGAAATTTCAGAACCCCCCCCCCCCCCCCCCCTTGAAATTATTGGCTACGCCCTTGGCCTCGAGATATATTGAGTGTCTTAAGCCATCAAGCCTTAATACATTGAAAACCTAGAAATCTTCATTTCGCATCATTATCGTTTTGCTTTCCCTGCAAAATGAATCGTAAAATATAAACCATAATGTTTACCTCAATATCAGTCAGTGGATCACAGTCCGTTGAGGGTGAATCATCAATAGCAAATACACAAGTTGCGGTTCTCGAATGCCAACCGGACGTGCAAGTCGAGTTACAGTCACCCCACTCCCCCCATTTCAACCCGGAAACGCCAGATAAATCTGAAATGCAAAGTATAATCAAATATAGCGAAAATAAATATCTTTCTCTTAATGATTTTAAATATAGGGATGAGGAGCAACGCGTGATCTGCACTTGAGTTAAACAGGTTTCCCCAATTGGAGGTCATGTCAACTAAAAACGAAATACAAAAATGAAACTATTGCTATGCTATTTTGGTATATCTAGCGTAAAACAAGTCAGGACTACTCTTTAAACCAGTAATCAGTAATTTATTTTTTCATCATACTGAAAATGCACACTTACAAAGTATCATAAATTACCGGTATATATGAAAAAATAGCATTCCAGCGTGAAGGCACACGGAATACCCAAAAATGATTATCGAGCAGTGGTACTCAGGCTCCTAGGTTACATAAAAAATTGCTCAAATGAACGAGCATGCATATTCAATTTGTCATTAGATCATGTTCAATGGTTTTTGACGCTAGTGCATGTTATAGGTCTATTCTGGTCATCTCTATAGAGCAGACATTGGCAAAGTACGGCCCGCGGGCCAAATCCGGCCAGTTGGGTATTTCAATCTGGCCCGCCTAATGCTGCCACAACCAAGCTGAAATCACATTTGGATGTTTCAGCTAAAATAGCTCAATGAATTTGTTGAGAATGCGGTTAAGTTTAGTTTTGGCACGAGGCTTATTGTTTTCCACCTCTGCTTTGTAACACTGTAAATATTGTTCATTAAATGTAACTTTTCACGTCACACTTACATGGCCCGCCAGTCTAAGTGGGCAATATTTTTGGCCCCTGGTTCAAAAACCTTGTCCACCCGTGCTATAGGGTCTATTCAACAATAGCTTCATCTACAATTATCACTGTTGTTTTCTCGTCGCCTTGAAATGACCCCACTTTTTCGATTATAATATATAGTCGGACAATACTTCGAACGACGCTTTGTGCAAGCACTTACTTGATGAGAAAAATAAAGAAAGTCAAGTCATTTGCCCTTTGAATTATGAACTCCCGTTGAACAAAATATTGTCAAGTAAACCAAAATCAAACGATATAAAATGCTAATGGACTCATTTCTATAACAATGTGTCGCATGCAAATGAGCAGTATTTTGCCAGTCTACTCGAATACACTTTGTGTGGGATTGGGGTATGATCTCTTGTGAATTGGATACTGCCGAAGTTTTGCACCAAGATGGCGCCCAACCTGAACTTATTATGTATACCAGGTTGGGGTTCAGGTTGTGCGCCATCTTGGTGCACATACTTCGGGAGCGCCTTGAATTGTTATATAATCAACACGCAAAGCAATGCTCAATATTTAACAAGCTCGCATAATTTAAATTTGCACCGTCTTTTTGCCGTGTTTTGTAAGGTAATCTTGTAGTGTGTGTACCAGGTTATGATTAGGCCATAATTATATTACGATTTTCTTTATTTTTCAGTTTCCGTAGTTATATTACGAGTCGGGTACTGTCTGTGTTAACCAAGTTAATATACTCCCTGCCGATAGATTTCAGTCTCTTTACACAACTTTAGTAGGCGAACAAAATTAGTTACCTCTATATAGGTACATACACTTCTGTAGCGTTTTTTGTTTATTAAAATTTTTCTCACCGCATTCATCTGTTGGGCAGTCAATCGTTTGTTCAGCGCACTCTTCGGTTAGTGCTGGATCTCCGTCTCCTACAGAAAGACAAGTTCTTGTCTGTCTGAGTTTACATTCAACGCCGTCCACAAAGCAAGCTTCATCGTCCTCCCATTCACCAACATCGCTGCATAGTACGGTGTTGCAAGGTACGAACTGAGATTTGTGTATAAATTAGTATTTTTGATGACGTTCGCTCAGAACAAGGAAACTAGAAACTGAATGGAAACTAGTGGAACACCTGGACTCTAATTGCGCATTCCCCTAGATTGTACTGGCGGAATCCTAGAGTGCTGCGAAACCCCGACTGAAAGTTCTAGAGTCCTATAGACTGGAAATACACAAACTCAGCCTTTTGAATTACTGTGACTTTCCAAACAAGCGGAACATTCCCAGAAATTTGTTTTTGTGCGAAGCGTTGCGGTTGGAGTGAAAAAATGTTACAATGGTTCTTTTTCTGGCTGCGATAGTTTGTATAGAATTTTCAAGATTGCGTAGAAAAGTGGTTCCCAAACTTTTTGAAAAAAAAATGCATGACGGACCCCTTGCAATTTTTTTAATGATTCCCGGCCTTGTGCACTAGAACAAAACATTAAAGGATCACAACAAAAAATCAATGCGCCGTATAGTAAAACGAACAAAAGAATATAAAGCACAACATTAATGACATGAGTGCAAAAGGGCAGCGTAATCTACAGATCTGCAATTAGTAAACTTGTGGTGGCATGAATTGAACTCTCTCTGTGATATCACAGGCCCAAAGCTCTGTGACATCACAATGGGGCAGAGCAATCGGTGAAGAATCAGTGTCTCCAGCGGTGATTGCGAAGCAGCAAAAGGCGACAAATGTGTATTTGCAAATTTAAGCACTTCCTTTATAGCTTGTATAATATCGTGTATTATCAAGCTATTAGCTATATTATAGATTTGTTTCGCGGACCCTCCGAAATTGCTTCACGGACCCAAAAAGGTCCGCGGACCCCAGTTCGGGAACCAATAGCGTAGATGTTTCGTGCTATTTTTTTTCTTTTCACAAATCCACTCTCTGCATTCTAAAATACGGGTGGAAAAATATCCTATCGTTAACGGTGCAGCCTATGAGTGTTTCTTCCGGACACTGAAAACCACACAGTTCTATATTAGAGAATTTCGGGTAAGAATATCATGCTCGTCGAGCTTTCTATTTTAGCATAGTGCTGATAAGGGATGAAATAGGTTGCCGAGTTTTTGGTTAAGGTAAATGTAAAAACGTAGACAAACGACAAGAGTGAGAATGCGAAGTTTAAGTTTTATGGCAAAACATGGATCGAAGGGCGACTCCCCAAGTGGAAATTTAAAAAACTTGTTTGGAAAATTCGCCGCAGAAAATTCCGCCGCATAGGAAAATTCGCCGCATGAAAAATTGCCGCAAGAGCATTCTGCTGTAAAATAGGTATTTGTGATAAAAACAGTTAGATTTATAGAGTTAGGTTATGCTCCTAAATAACGATTCTTTTTTAAATAAAAAGGTTCATTCAAAAACCTGACTGTTTTTATCACAAATACTTGTTTTACAGTAAAATGCTCTTGCGGCGATTTTTCCTATGCGGCGAAATTTCCTGCGGAGAATTTTCCTAAATACCCCCAAAAAATTTTCAGTTGACTCACTCTATGTGACTGCTCTTCTCCACCGGGGCAGTCATCTTTATCAATTTCGTTCCCATCTAGATCGAAACAATCTCGAACTTCAGAAATGACTCCCCCGTGACATGAGGTTGAACACTCGCCAATCACCTGCCATGCACCCCACTCTCCCGTCTCTCGTGGGCGACATTCCGATCTCTGTACTTGGCATCTGAAATAATATTTAATGAAATATTTAATGAAACTTTCCAATTTCACGTATTTTTAAGCATCTGAAATAATAATAAATGAAATAGTTAAGAAAATTTTTCAATTTGAAGTATTTTTGAGGAAATTTAAAAAACAAAACTGGAATTTTGTGTGTGTTTCCAAATTTAGCGATGGTAAATATTTTGCCATCTGCCATAAAACTATTTGTAACGTATAAAATTTGTTACGTATTTGACTGACTAGGAGGAATTTTGCATAGTATTTGCTGTAGTACCACTACTAAACTTCTTTACTTTATTATTACTGCTATATTGGTTATTTAATTAAGCGCACTCAAACTGTATAAAAGCGTGAGTGCGACTCTCGCATAATACTATCTAAGAACTTAATAGGAATTGAACAAATAAAGAAATTTGATGTGTAGTGAGGAAGGAATAAGAAGTTCTAAAATGGACAAAGGGAAGAATTTAACAAAAAAGGTTGGAACCCGCTGTGTTAGTGAATCAGTAGGGACTGACTGCAAAAGATACTGTAGCAAGAATCAAACGAAATAGCGATCGGAGACCGCCGACTTATCGATTTAGCGGCGTGTATTCTTGGCTTTGACTCAATAGCGACACCACGTATCCCATCACTAATTAATAATTAACTTTCTAATTATACGACATAATTCATCCAATATCAATGAGCTTCTGGTCCGAGATATGATAAATGCACATGCAAAATTTGAAGCAGATTCAACCTCGCTTTCGTGAGATATCGCGTGTATCTAACAGACAGACAGACAAACAAACAGACAAAAAAATTATTTTCAATACGACACTTAATCGCGCTTCCGCTCCTAAAAAAACCAGGTACAAGCGGCCACTGATATCCAAAGAAACTTCAAAGAAGCTCCCCATAACTTTAATTCGTTGTCGAAGTTATCCGAGCTATATGCAAGGGCACCCGCAATTTTTTTTTATTAGGGTCAGTTTGTTTTGACGAAGTATTTGTAGTAAGTCAAAGCCTATGACAACGAATTCATGATGCAAGCTATTTGAATCGCTCTTTAAAAATACTTTTTATTTTTGTTATTAGCCACCTGTGATGCTCTGGAATCCATGCATTGTTATGATTAGGCAATCCTATCATTTCTTCGGGTGTAATGGCGCGTCTTCGTCTACGTTCATCTACCGGAATCGGTTCTGTTACCTCTCCGGTTTCTTCCTCAGACTCCGAATCCGGTCGAACCAGCTGAGCAACATCTTCGTATTTGATTCTACATTCCTGTGTTTCGTCACAAAGCTCATTTCCGGCCGGACAGAGAAGCCAAGGTGACCATTCTAGAAACGAGAACTTTTATGATATTGTGTTCCACTTTACGAAACTTTTTTGGGTACACACGAAGTATGTGAACCAAGATGGCAAACACCGCAACGTGGTTTGTGTACCAGGCTAGGGTTAGACCATAAACTTGGGTACAAATACTACGCGAGTCACTTGGAATGAAATTGGAATAAAATTATGGCCTAACCTTAACCTGGTACACATACTACGTTCGTGTGTTCGCCATCTTGTTGCACATACTACGGAAGCGCCTCATGTTGTGTAAAGGGACTGAAACCTATGGGCAGGGGGTATGTTCACTTGCCTAACACAGACAGTACCCGAACTCGTAATAGAACTAAAATAAGGAAAATCGAAAAAAAATTATGGCCTAACCCTAACCTGGTGCACACTACGGGAGTGTCAAAAAATTGCATTACAGTGATATATGGTAGCGTAATGCTATTTCAGATGCGATTACACAGAAGATAGAGACTGAATATTTTCACCTCCCATCACGATTAGACGCTTTCAGTTTGGTAGTTCAAATAAATTTCCTTTCTATACTGTGATACTTCTTCAGATCGAATGAATTAGATTCATACTCACTAAAGAAAGATGGCAGATAGCAATCCCCTGTTTCGAAGTCTCTGCAGCAAGGAGAGTAGTAATCGCCTTCGCTGTAAATTAAAATATCAGATAGTGTATTCAGATCAGCTGCTAAAAGCCGAGAGTAAACAAATATACAAAAATGCTTAAAACCTGAATGAAGTACGAGTAAAAATCAAGCACATACTATTATGGTATATCAAAGAATTTCCAGGAATAAAATATGGTGTTGGCTCCGACCTTGTCCTCAGACGAGACGCTGAGAGCAGTAAACCTGCCTTGACTTTGCAATCGTGGTTTTCAATTTACTATACCGTCACACTATTAGAACAATTAACTGGGGCATGTTGGTGAGCGATCTTTAAGATCTTAAGACTTTTCTTGCAATAAACTTCTGAAGACGTATTAGTTATACAATGACGTAGCAGGGACGTCACCAATACGTTTCGTCACTTTGATTTGAGAATGTTGATTATATAGGTTTGTGATAATGATGGCATCGTCCAATGCATAACCTTAACCGTGCCTCTAATTGAATACCCGATTATGGATTATTTACCGTAAAACGAATTTTAACTTGCTGAAATTTTTTTATATTTATAAGATTTGCAACCTGCCTACTGACACAACACCAAATAAAGTAATAAATCTTCAGTAATAAGACATGATACAAGAATCGATGATAAGGTTTTTTCTAAAACATTTCCATTAAATTATTTGGTATTAATTGTCTCTGATTGTCTCTCTGGGACAAAAATGTTAATGTTGCCTGCATTGGAAGATATACGGTGTTAATTAAATTTTTTCAACGCGCCCGCAAGCCTATGATGAATTTGAAAGCTAGGTCTCTTTTGTAACGACGGGTCAAAAAAATGTCGAATAGCCTGATGAGCGTTTTGGTTTATCAAGCAACTCAAAATGACATTAGTCAAAACAGCAGAATATATATCTTACCAGTTGCAAGCGAGTCGCAATCCAACAGGAAAACATGCGAGTCCATAAAGTTGATAAGATCCTGAAAACAAAATATAACTTTTTTTATTAAGGAAACTTGAAATTATAACCCAAAGCAGCGTGGGCAACTGACTGATGGTAGTCAATGAATAGTGGCAATATGAGTTAACAGAAATAGGCACTAGTTCATATTCCAACTGAAATATGTGACGTAATATATATATTGATGAAGTTATTTGTCAAACCTCTTCTGGGATATTACGTAGCATTTTACCAATCCATTGCAGCATATATAACAAAATTTATCAAACTGTCATTAGTTTCTCAGAATTTTTTTGCGCGCTATGATCAATTCAAGGGCGACGATTTGTACCGAATTTTTAAACGCTTGTGGGTGTTCACGGCTAAAGTTTGCTGATCTCTTGTATGCAAAGGTCGGCTGTTAACAATAATCTGCATACATCTCCGCAGTATATAGCTTGTCGAATAGCTTCGGTAACTGTCAGACTGGTTACTGTATTTTGTTGTTTTTTTAATAAATTTGCCAAACTGGGTTGCAAGTCATTCTAAAGCAGATAATCTACTGATAGAGAAATTATGATTTATCACTCCCATTGCGTGGTATCGCCAGATAAAGATATGTAAATTATTCTCTTTTGCAAATGCGATCAGATGCTATCGATTAAAACTCGAGATTGAGATAATAAATTGAACTCAGATATAGGCTTCGCAACGCAAAGAGGTTGGAATTACTCGCACGTCAAATTAAGTTAAAAACTCGTTTCGCGGGCCGCACACCATTCAAAATTGGCACCGCGGGCCGCACAATTTTTCTTTGGGGCCCCATTTGGCCCGCGGGTCGTAGGTCGCACACCTCTGCATTAGAGTATTTAAGTTAAAACATACTTTGTGAATGAGCCGGTATATCCACCTCTGCTCCTTCATCTACGTCTCCCCCGCCTTCAACGAATGTTATAATATTTTCGCCAAAAACCATCAACAACAAAATTGTGAGGAATGATCGCCTAAGTGACGCCATAATAGATCCAAAGTATATTAAAACAATCTAGAACTATCTGTATGATTGAAAATAGCAATATTAAAAGAGCTGTAAAATCACTATTTATACTTTACATATAAAATCGAGAAGGCAGAAATTAAACATGTGTACCAATATGAGGGTAACTAATTTTGTTCGCCAACTTTACATCAAGTTATGTAAGACAGTCAGACAGTCTCCAAACTCGTAACTAAAATAAGGAAAATCGGAATAAATTTGTGGCCAAACCCTAACCTGGTACACATATTACGGGAGTGTCGAAATTTCTACGTTTCTAAATCTATGTTCATTCAATTTATTGCGTAGAGTAGGAAAACGAACAAGTCTCCAAACTAACTAAATATGAGCGAGTAAGGTCCGGTGGTTCACATGTATCCAAATTTTTTGGCTGAGAATTTTCTGAAATATATTGTAAGTACGATATTTATGGGGTTAGATTTATGATAACCATATATATGAAACAACAAAAAAACGGAAGATTGCCGATTGGACAACCTCGTTTCGATTCCTATTCTTTGTAATATTAACTCTGTGTCTGTCTCGGTTCAACCGCGACGCAAGGTAAGCCTAGATATATTTAAACATAAACATGAAAAGTTACCCTTGCAGTAGTCCCGAAGAAGCAGTGGCCGAAAGAGAGCGCAAAAACAAGGCTGCCTAATTGATGCTGAGAAAGCAAAATGCGATAAAATGCGAAACTACGCGAACAAGGGCGTATCTTGGAGTCACTGTTTTCGTTAAATTCATGTTCCCGAATTCATGTTTCTTGGGAGAATTTTGTCATTTTTTGGAAGGAATTTGCTGTACTATTACTATAATTATTTAAAATATGTTTTATAATTGTGATACTTATTTATGCATTTACTATAAGCTATTTAAACTGCTTCAAAGCTGGAGTGCGACTTGCGCATATAACCAGTTAAACCTCATTAAAGGTTGAATAAATAAAGTAAGTTTTTAATCATAAAAAGTTCCAAAATAGACGAAGGGAAAGAGAAATTTAAGAAAGAAGACTTTTGTTATTTGAAGCCATAGGCGATTGCTAAAGGTATGCCATCTTTCAAGACTTGAGAAGTCTACATATTGTTAATCAACGGAATGAACAAAAAATGGGAGTCGTTGGTATTTGTGATGTTGGGAAAAGGAAATATATTAAATGAGCCGATTACACAAACAAAGTGTACGTCCACCTAGCGGATCTATGATCAAATTCATGAACCGTCATTCAGTTTTGCATATCTGTATCTGAGCATGTTTATTTTTGCTTCAACAAACTGTATTTGAACTTTACATATCGATGCAACTACTTCTGAAGTACACATTTGTGCAATTTTACGCTCTTTCTGAATTCAGAAACCCAACATTAGAAATTGAAAGCCAGGATCTAAACCTGCAACTCCGATACAAGCATGGTCCATGCACCTGAAACAAATAACTGACTAACCAAAATCCCCTACCCGACATGGACTGGTAAGCGGACGAGAGGACTTTGTTCGCCATATGCTCAAGCCGACTTATAGGCTTTACTCTCTGAATAAAGGCAATGTCAACAAAACAAACAACCTAACGTCATGACATTCACACTTATTTATCTAATGATATGTGTGCGGCTGCTGCTATGAACACCTCTTTTCAAATATTTGACTATATAGTAGTTATGTTTAACACAATTCTGGTAATTGTGGGCGCGGCGCACTAAGATTCCTTCTGGAACAGCTGCACTAGTGCAACCACCCAAATAAGTCTTTATTCAAACTTTCAATTTTTTCATCCTTTTTGTACTGACGACGCCCACTATATATTCTTATTCAAGAAGAGTGAAAACAATTGCAACAAAAGCGATTTTATAAACAAAAATTCCAACCAATATCCGTCAGAAATTTACCTGTAGAATTTCACTAAAGTACTTTTTGGGATATTTCAGCTATTTTCAGAAATCTACAAATGAAGATTTTCAATCTATAATAAAATAGGCTCCTCATCCATAAAAAATACGAGTTCTATTTGGTACGTGTGAATTGTCATCAGATAAGTAAGGAGATATACGTTACCTAACGTTTCAGGATATGATTTATAACTTTCCGATCCTGGTATTACTTATTTGTAATGTTTACTCAAGCACAGAACGGAAACAAATAAATTTATTTATTAAAAGAGTACAAGTATTGCAACGTATTAACGAAGTAAAAACCTCTTTTGATTTAATGAATTTCAAGCCAGAAACGAGACTATGAACTCAAAAATGTGCCCCTGGTATCGTTAAGCGGATAATCGCGCTTTGAAGGAAATGGATTTCGCCGTATATTTCATTTTATATTTGATTTTGTTCAAAGTAACTGTACGCAAAAACACAAAAGCTACAAATAAAAATTATCACTCCAAGGATTACATACACAGTATATATTTTTTTGCTGTGATACTTTGAAACAGGATAAAAAAATGTATAAATATTGTAAATGTGGCATGTACTGTTGTATATTTCGATCCAGCTTATAGAAATATCTTCCCTATTTACTGAGTTTTGATTTGAATTTAACAACAACATAAAATCGAATATTATTTATTTCAAAAACACTATACTTAGCCTTTATTTAGAAGCTAATAGAGCTCAATGGCATTCTCTGTGTTATGATGGGGAAATATTAAAAGTGCACATATAAAATAGGATTCATGCTATAAATAACGTTCCACAATAGAAAGAAATCAAGCGCCCCCTTTTTAGTTATTTCTACCGGGCAAATTGAATTCAATATATCCTTCATCATAATGTAAAGTTACACTACTATTACCTATCGAAGTAAGTTTGTCTGGCATCTTACAATCGAGTATGGCCGAGTAAATGGACCACGTCATAGATACCATTTCACCTATGGCTTTTCCTCGATGTAAACAAGTAATAATTGCTCCATATTGGTTCTTACACACGAGATTGCTATATGCATCCGGATGTAGCATATCCCCCGATAATGTATACTTACTCATCGACGCTGCTGTACGATAGTTTTAATTATTGTTATGTAACTGATAGCTCGTATGTGCGCAATCACAGTACAGAATCAATTCAGTACAACAGCATGTACGTGTCTAAAAACGACAACCAACATCTTACATTAGATATCAGGGCCTTATTCCCAGCGAAAGACGTTAATAAGCGTCGCATTGAATTGAATATATCTTAACGATGTGAAGATTAAAACTTATTTTATGTCTGATTGCTATACAGTTTGTACCCCCCCCCCAAAAAAACTTTTGTCGTTCGCGGGCCACAATTAAAGGTTGCAAGTCATTGGCGGTGCGCACATATTTTTAGAAACTTAAAAACCGAAGGAATGGCCAATGAATCACATTTTTTTCACACAGATTTCACTTGAATTTCAAGCAGTGCGCAAAGCAGTGATCATTTGAATATTTTCTGCGTCATTAAACCATTTGCACTGAGCATCAACTTTTTTACGTTCTGTTGCCATTTGTCTAATTATAATCAATTATAGACTCATTAAACGAGTGATTGTGAATTATATACTTGTTAAGTTATAATATAATTTAGTGTCTCAAAACAAATTTTGTTACGTAAAGAATATAATCTTCAATACAGTTGTTTTGTTGATGTAATTCAGTGAAGCGTCGCGGGCCGGATTATATTACTCCGCGGCCCTCCGAGTTTGCCGAGCCCTGGCTTCAGATGATTAAATATTATACATGCGCACTCATCATTTAGTAATGGTGGAATGCATGGCGATTACTGTTTCTTGGATGTAGGTTTGCAAATTCGCAAATATATGACTAAAAAATACACAAAAAATATTGCACAGCGATGAATTTATCGCATGTATTGTTTTGTATAGTGTCATATTTCTTCGCAAGTATCCAATTTGATGTTACAATAGGCCTATATATCAGATTACATATCAAACAATACACATAGGAAGTAACGCATTATCAGCGAAAGCCCTTATAGAGTTTCCATGCATATATGATTATTATACTTTGGTATATCTGCTCAAGTATGTTTAATGTATGGTCGATGTATTAGAAACGTGTGATCTACGAACCATACAACGGCGGTTGCGTGTTGCAAATGTCTTCCTCTTAACCGGTTCGTGTTATGAGCTCCATATGGTAGGTGAAGCTTATATTTTCGAAAGTTGCTGTATACATGCTGGTCCATTGAGTGATGTATTGATGAAAGTAGATATTTTTATTAGTCAGTTTGAGAACATGAAATATTAGTGCAAAAGCAGTAGAAAAAATGATACCATAGATTTTATCTAACCTCTCAGATTGAAATGCATTTATTGGATATTTAGCGAAATAGTTTTTCAGGTGTGTCTAGAATACCTGTAAACCTGCTATATGCAATTAACTAAACGCTGTTTATAGTATGATTGAAACTCATTATTATGAAGGCAGAGCAGAACAAGACCATAAACACATGAAAACCAACTTGAAAATAAAGTGGCAGATTTGTTGTCTAAATATGGATGTATGGTGTGTTAATGATCTCGATGTAGCGCAGTGGATTGGACGCAACCAGATATAATAAAATGGCAAAGCAATTTCGATCTAAAAAACTTCTATATATATATTTCCAAAATATTTTTAAAAAGTGCCCCCCATTTAATTATAGATCTAGGCGTAATTATTAAATTCTTCTGTACATATTTGTAAATACGCTTGTCTTGTCTACGTCCCTTCTCATTTGTATTGACATGCGTTTTATTTGACGGGCAAGGCTGCGAAACGATCTATTTTTTTGAGTGGAATTACTTCAATCTCAGGATCCCTTCATAACATCAATTATCTGTCTAACAAATTTTAAACAATGAGCGATCCGACTGGAATTGCATATTTGAAGACATTCCAAGCTTTGTATCAGCTGGGAGAGTTGGTCGTTGGTTTAGTGACTTGGGCAATGCTTGCTTCACAGCCTTCATATGTTTTTCATGGACCTCTACAATTTGCTCTCGGAGTTCTGATTTTGGCTTGGATAATGACATTGTGAGTTTGTTGTGTTTTTTGTTTTTACACCCATAACCAAGATCTTTTACATTTCGTGAAGAAGCTCACTTGGGATATAGAGAAAGTTGGGAGTATGGTATTTGGATCATAATACAATCAAATATACTTCCAAATCATTTGGTGTTCTTTGTTAATTGATAAAATAACTCTGGCTTATATTCCATATAGCGGGTGAACATAATCAAAAATATAGCAAAGTTTTTTTTTGTATGAGATTACATGTAGTTTCATTTATAGTTTTACCAAGTGACTAAATTTTCCTCGTTCCGAAAAATTGCTTTCTGCGACTTGAATTACCCGCGGCTTATCCAATATGAAACACACGTATTTTTTTTTGTAGTTTTATTCAACGAAACATTTCATATCGAATTTTGGGGTCTGGTATAGTTTAGTACCACACGCACTCCTAGTACGTTATCGGCGGCACAGATGCCGTTTCGGGCAATCGTAGCTATACTTTGACAAGCTCTGTGATGTGATTGTGACGGCGTAGTGACGTAATTTTAATATGACATAGTCAAGTTGGGGTTAGGCATAACATATGTCAAATTCGTTATGCTACGCCCATCGGAAGTACTTGTTGTACTAAACTATACTAGACCCAAACTTTGTGGTCTACTTGGCTGTAAAATAAGTTGGTTATCCGAATAAGGAAATTAACCTTCTTTTGCTTCAACTATTTGATGTTTATAAATACATTATTCTTTTTAGATTATTTTTCGTTACTTATATCACCGGATTTCACGTCCGACTCAATGCATTCTTTTCATCTCGCTCATCAGCCAGTAACGTCGAAAGCGGTGAAACCACAGCCGGATCTCTAGCGCCACTCTCCGGATCCACTGTTCCACAAATTCGATGGTTCGTCATGGAATATTTCGTGTATCTTGTAATGAGCTTATTCCTGTTTGTGGCATTGATATGTATGACGTCACAAACCCATCACAATGGAGTATGGATCGGTGCGTGCGTCATTGGCTGGGCATTGGCTATCATGTACGAAATACACTTTTGTCTACTGTTTCGTAACGTCGAAGCTTCGTGGCCTCATGAATGGTGTTTCTCTTGCTTCCGTAATTGCAATACTGGGCAAACCACTAAATCTGAAAAAGAATCACTCGTAGCTTCTGAAGCCGGTACATCGGCAACCCAGCCCTAATGGAATATCTTCAATAGAAAGACTTATCAGCTGTGAGAGGCAATTCAATTCTAAAAAATCATGTAGTTAATAATTACATTAATTGCCTTGCATTGGCTAATAGGACCTCAGCGCCGCAGATAGAGTTGGAATAAGGTCGAAAAAGGCTAAAAATATTTATTGCACCCATTCAAAAAAACTACAAATGTTTAAATAAAATGTGCACATGAAAACTGTGATGCAATTCTGCAAATTTGTTTTACTCTTTGCCATTTCATAAGCGCTTGTATAAGGTCATATCAATGACGTAGCCGTTGACGGTTGGAACACTCCCCATTTAAATGTAAAAAAAAAGGTTAGAGAAACTTTCAGTAGCTTGAAACGTTTTTCCAAAATTACTGAAAAGCCACGTTTTCCGGTCGGGCCCGCTAGCTACTATGGCCTGACTTGGAGATTAAAAATTTCAGACCTCTTACTTTGAGAATTCCTGGCTACGACCCTGGGTTATATAGCCATTATGCATGCCTAAAAATTTGGAGTTTCCGGATACATGCACATCCATCTTCTTATTCAATTTAGTGTTTTAATCTGAGAATAGTAATTTGAGCTGTGGAATTGTGGATGTCGTAGCTTAAATATTTCTTAAATATATGTGCAAATGTATAGGTCAGTCGTTTCCAACATTTCGAGGCTTGGTGAACATCTATAAAATAGTTGATCTCTTATAGTCCGAATTGTATAAACTACAAATATACATGAAACTAACTTAATTCTGGCAAAACAGAATTATCTTCAGAGAGTAGCAAGTTTAATAATGTGAACCTGCCGAACCTATGGTCTATGATGGCGGTACTCAGGTTGTAAACCACTGGCACAGGCAGTTGAAACGGTGACCATTCCTGAACTGATAACCAAGTCCGATAATAGCGACTGAGTTTTTGAACATACAGGGTTTCAATAAAGTCTCTTCACAATTTTAATTTTGTCATGAAGTCAGTTCTCTTAACCCGGTTTGTTGTTTTATATTCAGTAATTGTTTAAGTATTTTTACTTCTTCTAATTATCTGTGAGAGCCAAAACAATATATGGTATCGAAAATTCCGTTTGCAATTTTAAAATTTTTTAAGACTTTATGGACAAACTGTACATTACTATTTATCGACTAAAGAGTATTTAGCAACGATTTATTTAGCTCGCTACGATTTTTGCAATCATTGAGAATTATAAGAAATTTGTGTTAATTTATTATTATTGAAGTATTGCGAAGCATAGATGTGACGTAAGGAGGCAAGCAAATAAATCGCTTTTCATATCTGGTTATCACTGTGCAACGTAGAAGTATGCGTACCAATATGGAGGTAACTAATTTTGTTCGCCCACTTTATATTAAGTTGTGTAAAGGGGCTGAAACATATGGGCAGGTGTATGAACTTGACTAACACAGAAAGTCCCCGAACTCGTAATAGAACTGAAATAAGGAGAATCGGAATAAAATTATGGCCTAACCCTAACATGGTACACATAATACAGGAGTACCGACTTTTGGATTTGAATGTAAACTTGCGGAACCCTTCATTTGTAATGGCGGAATCCAGGTTGAAACCCACTGGCACAGGCAGACTATTTTTGACTTGGTAACAAAGTCTCCCAAAAGCAACTGAATTTATGAAAACGTATTACCATTAATCGACTAAATGCAAAAAAATTACTTAGCTTGTTATGTTTTTTGCAATCATTGAGAATTATTGAAAATTCATAAGCATACAATTCTACTGTGAAAGGGAAGTCGCGGGGAAACAGAGCTGGTTATCGACCAGCCACACCAAGTTTCTGATATTTAGTTAAAAAGATCGGGTAATTTAATTATAGAACTACTGTTATTGGTGGTGAGCACCGTATAATTTTGCCGAATTATACAACTAAAATATCTCAATTAAAATATAATTATTAGTGATTAGATACGAAAGCCATCAGACCACAGACGAACAGAGGATTCTCTGTTTGGACTGGATGAAACTGCTTATAAATGGCAATTCACGTGTAACGCATGCAAAATATTTGGAATCAGACAGCGATAATTTCCGTGCTTTGATATATATATCTGCATTATCATATATATTGCTTTCAAAATAAATATTTCTCTTTTTTAGTGATAAAATCGTTGGATTTTAGGGAATTTGCTGGAATTTATTACCCGGAATTTGGCATTTCCATTTTGATATTTCTTACATATGAGAAGAACGACCTGGTCATAACGTTAACCACGGACCCTCGTCGGGTTACCAGGCCGATTACTAGGCCAGGTCAAGCAAAGAAATATATTGCAGTTAGTCCAGATACTCGCACTTAGAAGACGGGCTTGCTTGGTAAAACACATAATACAAATAAAAACAACGTCACATAATATCTTTATTCATCCTGTACAAAAATTAATATATATAATAAATATATCACATTACAATAATAAAATGTATGAATTTTATAGAATGTTAACAACAAGTAAAATGAAAAGCGAAAATGATAAAGTGTGAATTCATCCAGTGGTTTTAAAGAAATATTTATAGTCGATAAACAGATGTCATATCTATATAACGTAACTATTACAAAATGCGTTTCCCCGTAGCATGTGTACCAGGTTAGAGTTAAGTCATAATTGTCTACCTTTTTCCCTTATTTTAGTTCTATTACGAGTTTGGGAACTGTTTGTGTAAGCCAAGTGGATATATTCCTTGCCCCTAGTCTTTTCCCCTTTTAGTTTATTCATATTGGTGCACATACTTCTGAAGCGCCACAAAAAGATGCCAATGCGCCGTTTTCATAAATGTATAAACAAATTATTGTATAAGAAAATGTCAGCCAAGCTGGTAACTAGCTATGTAAAATTCGTATAATTTTTCTAGATTTAGAATTTGAATCCGAGCGTCGCGATTCCTATATTTCCGAATCTTGTTCATTCAATTATAGAATTTTTGAGATTTTTACTTTCAACTTTAAAACAGGCCGCTTTGTTTCACTGCTGAAAAAGTAATATTAGATATAATATATCGCTATAGCAATAAATTAACTTACGAAATGCTAACGGAACATATAAATTGGTCATAATGCAGCACTTGAGAAAGTTTTCGACTTCAGTTAAATTTTGACTACCAAACTAGGAAGGGTAGATTCGCGTACGTACCGCTCTAAATATTGGAAATGCCAGATTTTTCTCGTTCCATGTACCATGACTATATCATGATTTTAAGGGAAGAAAATAGTTTCAATGGGCGGGCCAAGGAATTCGAAAGTAGGTTGCCGGCATACTATGCCAAGTTTTTTTCTATATTTCATTTACCATAAGTGCATGACGGAAAATACATGAAGAAAATAGTTTTTGATGAGCAGGACAAGTAGGCATACCCATGTTATTCGCTGACGTAATAATTTTAATGCCGTCATAAATGTGCATTTAAAGTGCAATAGTCATAGGTATATTGATTATAATGAACTTAAAGAGTGCTGCAAATTCATGATGTCATATGATTGTTGACGTATCGTCCGTTCCTGAATGGAAACGTTGTGCAAGATGATGTCATGCCAGTTCTGCAATACTATTGATTTTTAAAATGTTGCTGTATCTCATCAGATGTCTTGTTTTTTGTGTTGGGAACCATTACAGCAATGTAGATTGTAAACAGAATTGTAAAGCCCATCCACACTAGGAAACTGTAGGCGCCCATCCATTTCTACAACAAAATGTGAAAGTTATGCGAAATAAAAGTAAGATCGACAAATAAGCATATAGATATGAATGTGCATAAATATGACTAACTGCGTTCATGTTTACTTCAAAATACGATAAGATTTCATATTTATTCCCGAATATATGGAATTACACGGGACGTCTAAAATTACAGGCAAGTTACAGTCCCTCCTCTTGTCCGGATAGAATATTCAAAAAGTGGGTAACAATTAGTTTCTTATTTTAGTGATGGTGATAAACTACTTGGGTTGGACGAGCAAAAACTTTGTGGTGGTTTCATTTCCAACCAATGCTTGTGGAACCACCCGAGTGTGTGTGCGAGGTTAGGGTTTGACCATAATTTTATTCCGATTTTTCTTAGTTTAGTTCTATTGTGTTAGCCAAGTGAATATCCCCCTGCGGCGAACAAAATTAGTTACCTTCATTTTGGCACACACACTTCTGGAGCGCCAATTTTTGTGATTATTTAGAATTCTACTTTAAAAGGATTATATAAATAAACGATTCATACCTGAAAATATGTTGCCATAAATCCGACCAACCATCCAGTAAACCATAGCATTGCGCAACCAAAGTTAACGCAGATTGGTCTCGTAACTTCAGTTGTTAATTCACTGACAAGTGGAAATAAACCGATATTTTCTCCACCAGCGAATCTGCAAATATAAAAAGTTAATGAATTGTAATTTTAATGAAAATTTCGACAAAAAAGTTCAATTTCAAATCCACTTTAGCCTATGCTTTCGGGACTTTCTTTAGTTGTGATATGCTTTCTTTAGTTGTGATATCCAGGGGCTTCGCTCGAAAACGTTTTTTTTTTTAGAAATATGATAACCGAAGCAAATGGGTTGGTTACGTTGACCACAGCTGACAACTAGAGTTATGTAATAACTTGTGGATGTAAATCAATGTAGCTATTTTTTGTTTATATAGTTGCAGTCCAGCGATTATTGTTGTACCACGTTTGAAATCAGACGGCAATAATTGCTGTGCTGTAGTGCGTTTTTACTTCATTAAACTCATTTTACTATCGACCTGCTTACTGCTGAGATCGGCTATTTGATGCGTATTTGTTTTTATTTATTGGTAACATTTACTTGTGTTGTATTTTACTTTGGATTCATTCTAAGTGTGCTTTAGATTTAAGGATAAAGCGTTATATCAAGGCACTCAGTTCCAATTCATTACACGTTATATTTGGCGTTTCCAAGTTTATAGATTAGATTTGTGTACAGCGTGTCATGTTAATATAGCTTACATAGTGACATACATGCATTTTCCGAAATGGGAGAATCTCTTGTCAGCGAGTTTGAAAGAGAACCACGATCGGTATTTGCTAACGTGCAATCCCGCATTATAATTATTCATAATATCAGGATCAGCTTCGCTCAGGGATCATTCTTTATAATTTCGGAGTAAGTAAACCAAGATCACTGCGCGCATACTGAAGAAATTCCGATAGATACCGAAAGCATATAGAACTATTAACTGTCCGAGTTTATAAAGCCAGTAGCTCTTGACTTTTAAGCGGTTGTAGCTTTGCTCAAGAATCATTCTTTTTAATTTCTGAGTTAGTTCTCGTGACCGTGCTTTGAGCAAACCAAGATCACTGCGCACATACATAAAGAAGACCCAATTCTGAGCAAGGCCACAGAAGAAATTCCGAGAGATACGAAACCATGTAGAATTATTAACTGTTCTCGCACTAAACTTCACTCGCCGCAGTAGGTTCACGACGACAACAGCAATCATTAATATTCCTATATATTAAATTATTTTAGGGGAATTTGTTCAAACCAAGATCGCGCGCGAAAACTTAGAAGCAAAAGAGTCTCACATTTGAGCAAAGTTACACTAGAAGGCACCGCAATACTTACCCTAGTAAGTATACGGCGACTCCAACAATAGCCAAATACGACATTCCTGGCACTGTTTCATACGTTGCCAGACTTGCTACTACGAGGATATGTCCAACTATCATAATAATGTTTCCAATGATGCATAGCTTCCAAGAACCCATGTGGTGGAGAATGTAAGACTGTAATAATGTAAATAAATTATTATTTTAATATTTATACTTAATTAAACAACAATTTATTAAACGACGATTAATAATATTTCAATATTTGAAGTTCATTTGCACAACTCGATTTAGGGCAAAATTTCGAATAATGTATCATAAATGTAAGACTGCAATTATATAAACAAAAAATTACTAATATCTCAATATTTATACTCTATTAAAGCTAATTGAATAACCCAATTTATGGCAATGTGGGTGTATAAAAATGCCGAGTCCCGCTTGTTTAATTAGGTTGTATGAATCTCATTTTAAATAAATACTCTGCCAAAGTATTATATTTGTTCAAACCCAAAACGTAGCATGAACCCCACTCAATATGTTTATTGAGACATTTCATTTTAGGACACCGAGTTTCCAACAATTGCTAGAAGTTCCGTAACTTTTATTTAAAACAAGCTGTATGTCAAGTAAAAAAACATGGTATGATTAAGCAATTGATGTGATGAGTGGTATTGCCACTATCGTAATTACCAGCCATTATCTTGTTATTTAATTAAAAAGAAAATCATATATAAAATATATAATCCAATAACATTAGTGAGGTTTATAATGTGGGAATACTCTCAACGCACTTACCATGCTTTTAGTTCGAAATCTATACACTTAGTTATACAAACATAGGTATTAAATTTTTATTCTCTTACTTTCCTTTCAACGTTGTGGTTTAGAGTAGACTTACCCCAGGGAGCGTTGATAACACTTGAAAGAGGAATACGCCGACAGTAACTACGGTGACATAGTCGGGTTTGATTCCAGCTTCCAAAAATATAGAATCAGAAAAGAATAAAACGTTGTTGAGTCCGTTTAACATCAAATTGGCAAATAGAAGAAGAACCATGACAAACTGGCGTCTGGAAATAAAAACATTGTTACTTAGCAACATAAATTCAGATGCCACTAGGTAGCAGCATACGTCAGAAATTAAACGACGACGTAATGTTACATAGAACGGGAGTTCTTAAACTTTTGGTGTTATGGAGCTCGTGAAGAGATGGACTATTATTTACGGATCCCCACAATGAATTTATAAAAATAAAAGCAAAAAAAAAAACATATTTCTACCTACCGATTAATGGGTGCTCCAAAAGTATGTGTACCAAGATGGCGCACAACCTGAACATAGTATGTGTACCAGGTTAGGGTAATCAGGTTGTGCGCCATCTTGGTGCACATATTTCTAGAGCGCCGATTATTGTTTCTAATTAAACTAAAATAACTATATTCATTGGCTCGGATGTATTTGCTGCTTTGTATTTAAAAAATATTAAATATTTTAATAAGTAAACAAATAGTTCGCAAAGCTCCAGGTTGTTCTCGCCTCGATATGCAATATGTGCGTATAGATTATGGAGTGAATCAAAAAATCCCAAACGTGATTCAACCTTTTTGCATCTGAGCGATTTCAGCTATTGTGAACTTTATAGTATCAGTACCAGCGCTCCAAGAAAAGAAAAAATTGTTCTCTGATTGCTATGCCGTAAACGATTTTTATTGGGTGTTCACATATTTTTGCAAACAAGGATCTAAAAAAGTCTCTGCTGATAGGTAAAAATGTTTCAAATATGTTTTGTTGGCAACTGGATCATAGTTGCAAACTATTTGTAGCTTTCCCTTTTCCTAGGCTTGCCATATATATGAAACAAAAAAACCGGGACAGTGTAGATCGGACAAACCTCGGATCGAATCAGAGGTTTAGTAATATTCAAATCTTAGGAAAACGTAGGTAACTGTTGGAATATTATTGAATAAAAATATATTTTTTACTGCCATACTGCATGGCCGGGACATTTAAGTCTACGGGCGAGACGCCGGAACAGCTTGTCAAAACCGGGACCGTCTCGGCTAAATCGGGACGTATGGAAGGCTACCTATTTCTAGCTGATATTGGTTTTATTTAATCAAAAGCACAACATGCGTACCATGACCCGATCGTCTAAACCAGGGGTGGCCAACCTATGGCGCATGCGCCAAACGTGGCGCATTGCATGATTAGAGGTGGCGCATTGCATCCTTAACCCTTTTCATGCCAAAATTGTTAATTGCACTTGGCTTCTCCACGCCAAGCCGTTTTTTTGCGATTTACATGGTGACTTTTGATTGTACCTAAAATCTATTCTCCTTACTCCACGTCGCCCACTTACGGCTTGTTGGAATTAGAAACAACAGGCGATTATCGACGTTATCTTTTGGACGGACTTTATGACATTCATTCTAGACATTTAGCAAAAATTAGTAAAATTTACTATTTTTTCCCTACTGAAGTAAAAAGTTCAGAACTTCTGGAAAAATAGAAAATCATCATTTATCAGCTTGAAACATGGATTTTCCATTGCCCAGACTTCCGAAATATCTCTCAATAACCATTGAACAACCAGTTGAATTGCCCAAGCTTAAAAAATTTATTATAAATCAACCCACAACATAATGAAAATGACCCCTAAATACCACCTTTTTTATCCAAACTTTAAATGACCGTTGTCAACAAAAGCGAAGCGTAAAATCGCTTGCTGTGACGCAAGTACTAATCTCGAAGAAGCCTGGAGTAAAATCACGCGACGCTAGGCCAAACAGCTGATTAGCAAAGTCCAATTAGAATCGAGGGTAGAGTAGAGTAGATATTGATACTAAAGGCCTGTTGTCACAATATTACGCCTAACTTTACTTCTTAATCGTACCTTTTTCTCTTCGTTATTAAAAACAGCTTTATTGCGTAATACTCATAAGAAAGAATGCGTTTTTCTCCTATTTTCAGGAAGGCTGTAGTTTTTACTTGAAGCATGGCGTCACAATGGTTCCCTGTTTCGTAATCAATCGTAATATGTTTATCGTAAATTGCTCGAATTTTTACGTGGATACGAGAATTTTCGTTGAGTTAACTATATATATGCGGCTGTCATTGAAATTTATTCATTCAGTGTTTAATTCAGTGATTCGGTAATTCTCTGAGTGGTTTTCTGTAAACTTAATTGGTAAAGTTTCTTCTTGTGTGTATTAAGGTTGATTTTTGTTTGTAAACATTTGCAGTTGTGTACTTTTCAAGATGTAAGCATTAAGGTTACAAGCATTGATGTTACTAGCCATCTCAATGATCTAAATTTGAGACTGCAAGGCAAAAGCAAACTATTTCCAAGCTTAGTAAATGACATTATCGCATTCAAGATGAAGTTGAAACTTTTCGTTTCCCAGTTGGAAAAAGAGGATTTGTCCCAATTTCCTCACATAAAAGAACACCGTGAATGTGCTGCTGGTAATGGCAATTTGGCAATATACACAAAAAAAATCAAGTTATTGCAAGAGTCATTTGAAAGTCGTTTTCATGATATTTCAAAAGAAGAAGACTTTATACTTGCTTTTATAAACCCATTTTCACTTGGTGAACTAACCGTAATGAAGATGCCAAGCAATATACAATTGGAACTAATTGACTTGAAAACTCATCCATCATTGAAAATTAAATTTGATGAGTTTTCTTCAGTCCCAAGTGCATCTGACATGATCAAGTTCTGGCAATCGTTACCCCGTGAAAATTTTCCAGAACTGAAAAAATTTGCCCAGGGTTTTATATGTCGTTTCGGAACGACATATAGATGTGAAAAAAAAACATTTTCTGTCATGAAACTAATTAAAAGCAAAGCGAGGTCAAGACTTACAGATTTAAATTTGAAGAATGCACTGCTCCTCTCAGTAACAAACTTAACTCCAAGAATAAAAAAACTGGCGAAAGTAAAACAGCAGCAAAAGTCTCATAAAGGCGGTACTTAGATAAAATTGATCAGTTTTATTTATTATACTTCCTTGCTTAATTTCTATTCATGTGAAGTTGTAAATTGTAAAAACTACATATACGTGTGTATATATGTGTGTGTATTGTAAATTTATATAATTTCAACAAGAAGCGGACATTAGGCGTGAGATTTACGGCGCATCTGAAACATTATGTTTAAAACGTGGCGCATGGTATGTGAAAGGTTGGCCACCCCTGGTCTAAACACTGAAGTGAATAATATGGACGCCTGGTATTTTTTATAAGAGGCGAATCGTTAATTTCGCGTGATAATAGTTGTCTGACTTTTGATCCCCTCACCTATATTCTACAGTCGTCCACACGGTCTTCAGAGTGATATCTTGAGAAGTTTGTTTCTGCTCTGTAGATTGGTCATAATTGTTTTCTAATAAAGATTCCGATCGCCTGGTCGTTTGTGCTCCCATCATGCTTCTGATTTCGGCCGCCACTGCTGACTTTAAAAAGAATGTAAATGTTAGATTTTTTACACATTCTGAGGTAACATTTTACATAACCCTTAACTCACTAAGAAATATACTGTTGAATCAAGTCCTGTTATAGTAATTGAAAATAAATTATATTATAATTTTAATATCCGTTTCGGCGCGAAAAATTTCTTTCTGTTACACTCACCTATATGTGAAACTTAAGCCTCGCTGAGTAGGCCAATCAAATTTGTGAAATAATGAACTGTTTTGAGCGGGTCGGATGGGTGTTTTTGAAATCATTCTAGAAGAGTGGAAATACGAGAACGGCCCGCAAAGCTATCTCTTCGAGTATTATAATATCCATCCGTCTAGATCAGTGGTGCACAACCTAAGGCCTCCATGAAATCTGCGGTCGTGCTGGTGGTATTTTAATTGCAAAATAAGCACAAGGCAAGAATACCTACGACCTACGACGTAACGAACACAACTCATATTAAAGGCCTTGACCTTATTGGCTGCAGTTATTCTTTTGTGATATGATCTTCCGTGTTTTGCCTCTCCACTTGTTTTACTTTTATTTGCTGTTTTAATTGAGTGTTATAATTGCTTTTAATTGTTTCCGCAGGGCATAAAATGGCACAAAGTTGTATCGTGGCGCGTGTTGCAGAGGGTCAATAGAGTTGACTTTTGTGTGGAGCACGTCTGTTTTTGTTGTTGTTTATATATTTTGATTGGTTCCATTACATTTGAACCCATGTACATTTGAACCCACGACAATTGCATCTATATACTATTGCACCTATGGATTTTTGTTTTGTTTTACGGATAGTTGAACCCATACTAACTCTAACCCATGGGTTTTAGCACCCGCATATAGATTGAACCCGGGGATATACACATGGGTTCAAATGTACGTGGGTTCAAATGTACGGTCACCATTTTAATTTATACAGGTTGATTTATGATGTTTTCATAATATAGTCGCAGTTGGGAATTGAGTTCCTCTGATTTTACCGTAGCAGATAGAATTTGAAAGTTGAAGGGGGAAAACGTGCGACACTTACAAAAACGAAATGCGGCCGGCTGTAGAAGAAAGATTGTACGCCCATGGTCTGTATGCACAAAGATCCATCCTATGTGGTCTTGTCGAGCACCATCGATGATACGCAGTATGTTCCCCAGCTTTTCATTTTAGGGAAGGGGAGATTTCAAATTTAATTTGTTTTAGTGATAAAACTACTTGTAACTTATAAAAATGTGTTGTGTATTTGTCTGAACATCTGCACCGGGATATAGGCTACTTTCTGGATATTCAAATAAGAATGTATTTACGTTAAGAGATATAGTGTGGTGTCACACCTCAAGATTAGGGGTGTGTTTGAAATTTTAGTGGGCGTCGACAATTTTTCGAGGGGGCGTGAAGCTAATATAAATAAAAATATTTGTTAGATTTGATCTTGCCCGCCTTATTTTGGATATTCACATTTTTTTATTTTCAGATATTGGAGAGAGCTGTTGTGCTTATATCTTCATTATTCTGGGCATTTTCAATATTTAAGTTCCATACACGTTTTTTCAACGTGTTTTTGAATAAAACTTTCTTTCGCTTTGCTATCAGTTATTTTTAGCTTATTGTTAGCTAGTTATTTTATTGACTTGACAAATTCTAAAAAAGGAGGAGCGGCTTGAAAAGTTTGCAAACCATTGATCTTAGACCGATCTAAAATTTCCACACAAATACCCATTTATCCTACCTCTGGTCCATCCCGCAATTTCACCATAGTTTTCATGAGTTCGGCTCTGTCTCCGTTTCTCATGATGTAATACGGCGTGTCTGTTATCCAGCGAGACATTGTGATATAAATTGCAGATGGTATTGCCGGGGTTATGATGATTAAAGGCCATAGTTCAGGAGTTCCGAACACCTGGATATACAATAAAAAGTTTGTGAAATTCATTCGCTTGATATCAAGATATAGCATATTCGAAGATGACGAAAACGTCATTCCCACAATACAATTCCCACGAGGATGAAAATTTAAAAAATGAAAATTAGCAAAAAGAGTAGTTTTTTGAATTGGCCAGTGTTAGGTAATTTTAAGTGTAACTTGATTTGTAAAATAAGCTGCAGATTGTAAAATACATTTGTGCTAATATCAATGGTCAATTATTGGTGCTCCCGAAGTATGCGAACCAAGATGGCGGACATCGGAACGTAACATTGGTAACAGGTTAGGGTTAGGCGATAATTTTTTTCCAATTTTCCTTATTTTAGTCCTATTATCAGTTCGAAGACTAGCCAAGAGCCTCCCGTAGTATTTATACCTAAAATTATGGCCTAACCCTAACCTAGTACACATATTACATTCAGATGTCCGCCATCTTGATTCCCATACTTCGGGAGCCCCCAATTATTTTTATTTCAACCACTGGAAACAATTATGAAGCTTTCAAATAGAATACAGACATATTTCGTATGTATTTCTGCGATCTCTACTTATGACATGTCGGGTCTGAAGTAATCCGTTGAGACTCGAGCTCTCCTGTAATAGCAAATACAACAATACAATGCGCACTAACCTCTGACCATCCCAATATGACGCCAAACAATGCTCCGATCGCAAGTAATACGCCAATCAGTCCATCGTAGACTGCACATCTGGACTTCACACACGTTTCGCCTATGATCACTGGTATAAGGCCTGTCAAACAAAAATGAGCAAACATTTTTAATCAATTAAAAAGACATACCTCATGAACAGAAATTGAAATAAAAAATGTGTTGGTTTCAATATTGATTATAAAGGCATTATAATATGCGCTTAAATAAGATGCTACTTTAGAAAATTCGAGTGAAAAGGAATTTTTAGAAGATCCGCACAACCGGTATAACATTGGGCCTTGGCTTTTCTTGCGTCCTAACCAAGTGGCCACGATCACGCCCCAGTACATATTTAAGTAAAACTATTTAATAAACTTTCACATAGCAACAAAAATTTCAAGCTTTGATAAAATAACCTTGGATACCTCGTATCTTGGAAAATTTGGGATTGATTAGGTATTAGGTTTTCTAGCAGAGGAACCCAACCCGTGAACTAGGGCTGGGCATTTTAAATCTAATAGTAAATTGGTCAAATCGATTCAGACAAATTTTGAACTGCCGCCATCTTGTATCGAGGTAAATACCTCATATTTCGTTGTGAAGCCATATTTTTAAATGCAATTCTGACACGTGATTCTTCTCTTACTATAATTTATTATTGAAACATGTTCATGCGTGCCAGCTTAGTGAACATAGTCGTAGGTAGACAGTGACAAGGCACGAGTAAGCGTTGTATTACGTCCTTATACGAAAAATATGCCCCCTCCCCCTCGCCAATAAAAAAATGGGGCTGGCTACGTTCTTGTCAGCGAACTGACTGAGTGATAAATTCTTGGTTTTCAGTAATTGGGTGTCGGAAAGACTCATTACAAAAAAGCCACATTACGTCGATTATTATTAGATTTATATATCTTATATATCCATTATTATACATCTAAGAAGTCAAGATTCGATTTGAAAAAATATATATTCGACTCGATTCTGAAATTATCGAAATTGTCCAGCCCTATCCAATTAAAGAGACGGTTATTGCCTAGTTAAAACTTCTATATATATATATATATATATATCCATCTTTGGCTCGGTGCTTGTCAAATAACTCATTCGGAACGTGCCCAATAGTTTCCTCCACGAGAGGGTATGCACACATGAACTTCCGTGTTTTCAAGCTTAGCCGAGACCAAAACAACATAACAGCGGAAGCCCGACACTAGTAACCCGAAAGTGGATGACTCTTATTGAAAGCGAACAATAGCAATCAGTATGACGTCACATTGGAATACCGCTTGCAGACGTCTCGCCGGTCACGTAGTCGAAAGCAGGCGTAAATACGATCACGGCGTTGCCGCCGACATCGGTGTTTTGACGGGAATCTGTATTTTTGGGAATATCACGCGGGACCTTTGTCAAGAGGGACATCTGGCGACATTTCCAAACGCGGATATATTTGATTCCCCCGGGGGACTTCCAAAGTTCAATTAGAATATGCTGTCGCTTTGGTCGCATGTTAGAATAAAATTTTTATTTTCATCCCGTGGGAAAGGAAAGCCGATGCAACGGCTTAATCATATATGTATTTATAGAAACGCGGCCTTTCGCCCGGTTATCAGTCCATTTGAGTATGGGATTAGTTTAATTCGGCCCCGCATTAAATTGAACATCATACCAGCTCCTACTCGGTGTTTATGTCAAAATGATTTGTTTATGTAACCTCGCCAACAACCCAATTCGACATATGTTAGCAAGCAAAGATAGAACATGTAATAAACCAAGTAGGACCATGTTACATTACGTATAAGCTTCGCACTTATGAAGCAATCGCACTTAAATCAACTAACCGAAATATTTAATATATTTAGTAGTTACACTTTGTACGTGCATGAAAAAACGATTGAATGTTTAATCCGGTATAATTACTTGTAGTTATATTTGCAAACTGGTCAGAAAATACCCCCAATCAAACGTGTAATGGATATATATAAGGTCTATGACGATCTTCTAAGCTCCATATATTTTTCCATGTGTTTATCACGCGTTAAAAGCGTGACAGATTGGGTTTCACGTGACCACGGTTGAAAAATATTGAGCGCATAAACGCATTTGAGAAGATGGCGAATTGAACTGTGCATTTTTTTCTGGTAATTTTGCTTAGCGCGAAGTGCAATGCATAAGCAAGCTTACACTCGTTCTACGTTATTAACAGTTTTTAAATATACAATTTAAAAAATATAATATCGGACAACACAGATAAACAAAATTTTCTTTGTATGAAGTTCATAGATACACGTCACAGGAGTAAAGAACTGTGTAGTGGTACAACTTATCCCTTTTCGAAATGGATCGCACATATCATCTACGAGTGAAGACTGGTCATAAATTCAAGGTGTCCCAAAATGTTCATTCATCCTCAAGTATTCACATCCAATTATTTCACATACAGTTTATTCCAAAAATCAGTAATGAATACTGTTAGCGATGGGTGGTCGTAGTAATGAACTATATTTGTACGACGCTCAAAACCAGCTTTGACTAGAACAGCATTGTCACATAATTGAAGCTTTAAAAGAAACACTCTATTTGACGCAGATAGACATATTAAATTACGAAACTGCTGAGAAAGGTCGAATTAAATGAGTTTCACTATAAATATTTATTCTAACTCTATCATACCAAAGACATTAGGACACTAGTCTCGTAGTCATGTCACATAGATATTATAGATTTTGGAAATTTTGTGCGAGTTAAAATCATTTACTTTAATCCCTTCGATACCTGTTTGAGTGCTACTTTGGTATGAAATCTGAGAAGTTGTGTGATCTCAGTAATAACCTATTTTAACCCCCCTAACCCAAGGATGGCAGAGTTAGGAAAAGAATCATATGAGAATGTGTTTATGTGATTGCGATCACGTAACAAGGTAAATGACGTTGAGATCGCATATTAAAGTGGCACCTCTGTTTGTTTGACATATCTATTATTCTATGCCTCTGACCTCCTTTGAAATGAGTCATTGGATTACATTTCCGTGATATTCTATTTTTTTTATATTTCGCGTGCACACTAGAGTCCACCTATTCGACGATTTCGGTTCGGTGGACGCGCCAGTTCTCGCCGCCAACTTTAGTTGTTTATAGTATAAACTTTATACAACGAACTTTACCAGACTACTGTAAAAACTCAGGCTCCACAATGCCATCGGGATTTGCCACTTTCGGCTAACTTCCGAATCAAAGGGTGTCGTTCCATGACAAAGTCCTTGTATGATTACGCGATTTGTTTCAGACCTATACGTCACCAGTTTTACGACACATTGCGTAATGGTGATAGACCACGATGATGTAACGAAGCATACTCGATTCAATACGTCACATTACACTGGAGACCATAATGCTAAATTTATAACCTCTGATAACGTGCTCAATTCCTTATTATTACTCGCTAAAATACCTTTAAATATGGGAAACCGTTGGCTGTTGCAATCGTATTGATTACGTGAATATTTGGCGTCACAGATATTTTCCCCGCCAATGTCAAAATTACCATGATAGTGGCATCGATAAAAGCTACGGCGACAAAAACATCATTGATTTTCCTTCGAATGGAGGATGATCGGCATTTATATGTAGATATTCAATTCTGCGCTCCACCGTTATTGTAAAAATAAGTATATTACAGTGGAGTACAATAATCTACAAATTGAAATGGGAGAACCGAACATACACGACGTCAAGCTTAGAATTAATGCTATTAATCAATTCGGAAATGAAAGTACGCGATCGGTCAGTTGTCGTTTTTTTTTATGTAACATGAAGATTTTATTACCGAACTTGCGTAAAAACTCAGGCTTTAAAATGTTGTCCGGATCTGTCACTTTCGGCTAACTTTCGAATAAAGTGTGTCGTTTTATGACAAAGTCCTTGCATGATCACGCAATTTATTTCAGACCCATACGTCACCAGTTTTACGACACATTACGTAATAGCCAGATTTGTGACACATTGCCTAATGGTGATGAACAACGATGATGTAACGAATCATTCTCGATTCAATACGTCACATTACACTGGAGACCATAAGCACAAATTTATAACCTCCGATAATACGTTCCATCGATTATTACTTGCTAGAATACCTTTCAAGAGAGGAAATCGTTGGCTGTTGCAATTGTACGTAAATATATGACGTAACAGATATTTTTGCCGCCAATGTCAAGGTTACCATGATAGTGACATCGATCTCCAAAGGCGACAATTCATTACATATATTTCCTCAAATAAAAGATGATCGATATTTCTATGTTGACATTCAATTCTACACGCCACCGTTGGTGTAATAATATCCCTCACAATTTCATTTTTGTTGTGAAGTCAGTTCTCAATATATTTAAATCATTTTATTTTTATTTTTTTTATCAGTAATTGTTTAAGTATTTTTACTTCATTTAATACGTCTGTGGGGTGCAAAACAATATATGGTATGGGTAAATTTCTTTTGCAATTTTAAAAAAATTCAAATATTTAAAAAAAAGACTTCATGGACGCCCTATGTATATATATATAATTATAATACAATGGAGTACAATGAGCTAAAAATCGAAATTAGAGAGTCTCGTCTAAATGTGATCATGCTTGGAATTAATGCTATTAATCAATCCGAAAATGAAAGCGCACGATCGGTATATTCGACGAAATTGGTCATGTAGCGCAGGAGATAGAAAAATCAATTTTTTTGTCGTAACATGATTCATTCATTGCTCGTGAATTTTCACAGCAACGAAATGTCACGTGCACAGAAGCAATGACATTCACACGTGTTTATTTATCAGCGTTCGTCACAAAACCCATGAGGTTGGGAAATTGCAAAATATTATGAATAATGACCGTGTTATTTGATTCTAGAGCAGTGTTCATTTGATGCTAGACTAGCGGGCCGTGTGACGTGAAAGTTACATTTATGAGCAATATTTACGGTGTTACGAAAGCAAATGCGGAAAACAATAAGCATGCGCCAAAACTAAATTTAATTGCAATCTCAATTTGCCTAAAACACTAAAATTTGGTTGTGGCAGCATCAGGCGGGCCAGATTGAATCATCAACGGGTCGGGTTTGGCCCGCGGGTCGTAGTTTGCCCATTCCAGTTCTAGAGACTTGCTTCAAACCAGCACAAATGTATTTCTGGAACGTTTCGTCTGACCGGGGTCAAACTCCTCCAGACAATCATTATTCAACTACGATAAGAAACACGATGGCGTGCACATAAATTTACTGGATGTTTGAAATAATCCAATTAAGCATGGCGTTCCAATTTTATTGAAGACGTCAAAGCGACATGTGCGATATTTATACTTGTCACCTTTTATTGATCGTAAAACACGACACGCCGTCCAAGTAAGCAAGAAATGTATGTATTGCTTTGCTTTTCAATGACAAATAAAAAGAAATTATCTAACGTTACAGAGACCAGTGTCATTCATAGACGTCGCCAGGGGGCCTGGCGGGCCATGCCCCTCCCCCAAAATATTTTTTTCATATTACGTCATTATACAACAAAACACACACACCCCAAAATAATTTTTAGCTGGCGCTACGCTACTGGCGTCATTCATATGAACAAAGGGGTACGAAACGAAGTAACTACAATTCTTTGGCAATTAAATTAATTCAGAGAGGAACGAATCATTTACAGCGAAAGGTAGTAATTCTTATTGCTTGTACTCTTTAAATGCAGCATCCATGGTGTGCTGGAACCCATTGCGTGAACGATTTTCATACATTTTGCTATAGGGATCAGTAAAGCTCTGTTTAAATTACAATCCACCATTCTAAAGCCTTACTTAGAGCGTTGACGCTTATTTGGAAGTCTGGACCGAGTTTCGCCATTTCCTGCTAGGAATAATCCTAAAAATCCGCAATCAGGTATTTTAATTAAAATGATGATTTACGTCATCAAATTTGTAGAACAGTTCACATTCACTGTCTATAAGAAGAATGATTTGATCATATATTTTTGATCGAACACTCCACGAATTGAATTAAATTTTTTATTACTGAAGATATCTCCTTTAAACTTGTGTCAAATTCAGAATCTTTAAATTCTCACACTTCACGGATTGAATTAAATTTTTCATTACTGAAGATATCTCCTTTAAACTTGTGTCAAGTTCAGAATTTTCAACTTCTCACCGCTAATGACTATGTTTATTTGATTTTAATATTCGTACAAGGCCGAGCCAAAGGCGTAACTGACATCAATCACTAATTGTCATACTACAACAATGTCACATATAAAACTGAACTGAACAACATGAGACAACAACAAAGGAATTTTTTAAAAACCTGAATATATTACCGAGTGCAAGTCCGTTCGCCAATCCCATCACGAATCTCCCGATTATCATTGGTTCGTAGGCTTTACTGAGTCCTGCACCAAGGCATATGATGAGAGCACCTGGGAACGATTTTGTAAAATTGGGATTAATATCTTCCAGACGAAGTTTTTAGCTTATCCATAGCAAAAAAAAAAAACTTTAAACCCTTTCATAACAATATAGCACCAGTTTAAAAAATAAATAGCGAATCTACACTGAGATTTTTTTTTTGCTCTGAAAAGAGATAGAAAAACTTAACTATACTCTATTTCAATATTTATAAAGCTTTATCCTTTATTCTACATTTTTGTTTAACGTATGAAGAGCATATTATAGCTTTTCAATGATACACCTTTGGCGTGTTTACTTTGTGAACAATTGTGTCATATACAATTTATAATAAAAGGCATACAACTAACTTTCGTTTTCGATTTGACTGTTTATAAGTTTTACTGTATACTATTGTTCACGAAGGGCGCCACCCAAATTTTAATTTTATTTTTATTACGACATTTATAATCGTGACTTTCACTTCGAACAAACGATATTTTAAAAAAGCTCTCCGCAGTCTTATTTCGATGTCGAAGTTACCCAAGCTATATACAACGGCACAATTTTATCTATCTCGGTTGGTTCGTTTGGAAGGATTAAAAGTAAGTCAAAGAATGTCGGTTTATCAATGAATCATTAAAGAATAAAGCCAAATAGTGTTGTAAAAGACGTACGAGTTTGTGTCTCAGCAAATACCGTAAACTAGCTTTAAAAAAAATAAAATGTTGCAAATTTAAGAAAGAGGTGGGAGGGAGGAAGGTCAGGGGCCCCCTAGTCTTCTCGTCTACACCCATGTTACTCACCCAAAATGTTGATTCCATGTACAGCGATCATGCATTGCTTCCTGCTGAGAAACATCAACACAGATTTTAGACTGAGTGATCCAACGAAAGATCCGGCAACGATCATTGACATTGTTAGAGCTTTCAACATCTCCCATGTAGAATCCGGCATTGGTTCGGAATATCGAGACTACAAAGAGATGAGAAATCAATTATGAAATTCTTAATGATTTACTGTGGATATTTGCACATACTTCCGACTCAAGAGCAAGTCTAAGAAAGATTTCGCCGTATTTTGTGTATTTCTTCTATAAATCTGTTATCAGCATATATTGTCGCAGAAAATATCGTGAATCTCGCCATTTTTATGCCATTTGGTATTGCTGAACACAAAACATGAGAATTTTTCAAATTGTATTAGTTCGAAATTTCAAATTTTCGCGATATGAACAGTTACAATTGTCTGCGATTCTTCATCATTTCTCAATATATTTCATCTCATATATTTTTGGCGCAAGAAAAGATCAATTCGAGTTGAAAATATTGCGAACCGCGCCGTTATTTTTATGTATTTTTCCTATGAATACAAACATAGATTTTTTTTATATTACATAATGTGAAATTTGATCAAGATTTTGAAGCGCAATTTTTAAAAATTACATATTTCTCACGCTTCGATATTTCCATCTATTTTATAAGGCAGCGGTTCCCAACAAAGGGCCCGTGGCCCCCACAAGTGGGCCATAGAGCAGTTTGAGGTGGACCACAATGCTAGGCACCAAACTGCTTTTACATTTCCCTTATGTCCTCGTTCTTCTTCCTTTCATTATTTGATGAGGTTATTTCACAGGGTGTTTTCAATTTATTGAGCATAAATTATTTGAACCTAATGGGATTAGGGGGGTCACGAGTGCTAAAATCCTTCAAAGGGGGACACGAGCTATAAAAGGTGGGAACCACTGTCATAGGGTATAAGATAAAATTGCAATTAAAATGTTCTTACCATATACGTGTTGTTATACATCTCTTGCAGGACAGGAATCGTAGGATTAAGGCAAGTTAATCCGTAGTTGATCATTGGTACAGTTGCTATTATCGTCATCAGAAGAATTGTTGTGCAATAACTTGAGTTTTGAAGCTAGAGAAAAAAGAAAAGTCAAAGTTTTAACAGATCGGAAGTTTTTCGTTGGGTTCGTGTTTTAACAATTTTCATTCTACGTTAACTCTCGTCTTGCGCTCTGAGCAAGGCCCTGTACCAGCAGGTACAGCTATAAGGTTCTCTCATCTTTCTGGTTCGGCTTTGTCTGCCTAATTTATAACGCCCTTGGGGGGCTCGAGATATGTAAACGGCAAAGCGAACGTAGTTATTTCTAACGCTTTAACCTCTTCACCATCGCAGGCAAACAGTCAACTGAGAGGCATTCTTTTTAAACGTGTGTTTGAAGGAATTAATGAGAATAACTTTTTGGACTAAAATACAGTGATCGCGGGTTAATAATGTCAGGTTCAAAACCAACACCTGGTCCTAACACAGAGTATACCAATTTAGGAAAATATGAATGAATATATTGGTCATTCTCAGAAACGTATAGTGCGAGTGACCATAAGTACAAGTGGCGGCTTCGGTTTGAACACAACAACAAAAAATATTTGAAGTCATACAAGAGTCGATATTCCGTAAACTTGGTATGTACAGAGAATATCAATCATGCCGGTATGAACACATTACAGAGGTGGCGAAGGGTAAAATAAATACGGAATTTGTTAGTCTTTTGTTCAACATAATTCGTGTTGAATTCGTTAAAATGTTGAGTTATTGTATATATACTCGTGTTAGGTTAGTGTTCAAGCCGATACCAATTTATAAGCTATTTCCATAATAGCCATTTGCATTTGAATATTGATATATCTCAATCTAAAATCATCGATATTACGAAATTATCGAGACTTTATTTTTTGACATGTCAACGATTAAATATGTTTTGTTCAAGTGCTTTTAGTCCCCCGAACAGAAAAAAAAATGTAGTCAAAAGACGATATTTTAGCCAGACGTAAATATGTCAAGGACTCAAGGTATCTGATTAAATATATTTTCAATACGAGACGACTGTGGACGTGACTGAGAAAACGTTTGCTAAGGCTGTTTAAAAATGCGCAAATGTACAATTAATATTGATGTAATTCAAAATGTAAATGAAATCACCTTATATCTTAAGCTCTGCGCTACGCTATCTAAGGTGTTCAATTATTTATATACTTTTAAATTTAGCGAATTTACTGATTTTTGTTTATAGCGAGTCAAGTTCAGTTCTTAATGCATGCAATATTAATGATGTTAGGATTTCAGCTTCTGATTCTCAGAAGCTAAAATTGAAAAAAGTTTTTTAAAAATAGCGATTTTATTCTCACAAATTTGATTGAGGTATTTTATTATTGTGTAATCCTAAATCACTTGACTTTATTTTCTTTCGAACATGTTCTTAAGATTAAATACTGATTTGAAAAAGTAAAATTTTATTCTTGATTACGTGATGATTTTGTTTAATAAAAGTTTCTCATTCCATATAACTTCATAAGGAACTGAAACTTTGAAAAATTATTTAAAACCAGACGTAAATTACAAATGCTTTCCTGCTTAAAAACTAAAATAAATCTTCATGCAGGAAGTTGTTGATTCTTGAAATTTTATTTTGCTTGTATTATATTTGTTTTAAAATTAAAGTTGGATAATACCCGCTTTTCAAACTGGAATCCAAACCCGACTCCGCAAAAAGCAAAAAGTCATGGAATATCAAAAAATGTTAAGGTCAATTCTGGATAGGTTAGCTTACATTCTGCATTTAACTGATTATTCACATATGACCCGATTTAAAGTAATCCATAAAACATTCAACGAGATAGCGATCAGAAACCGCCGACTTATCGATCTAGCGGCGTGTATCCTTGTCTGTCTGTCTGTCTGTTAGATACACGCGATATCTCACGACATCAAGGTTGAATCTGCTCCAAATAAGCTATAGATCCCCGCATTAAACCTACAAATCATTGCATTTTTTTCTACAACATAGAAAATTCAAACAACAGACAGACGACATATTTAATCATATGTTGTAGAAAAAATGCAATGATTTGTAGGTTTAACGCGGGGACCTCTAGCTCATTTGGAGGAGATTCAAACTTGCTGGCGTGAGATATCGCGTGTATCTAACAGACAGACAGACAGACAAATACCTATCAAGATACTAAGTAATAATTTCAAAGGGAAGTCTGAGTCCTTTTTTCGATCCAAATTCGGCTCCCAAAACTTTTTAAAGCCGAATCTTGAAATACTTATATCACGTTGAAGTGATAACCATGAATTGTCTGTGAAACATCGAAACAATTTAGTGATAACTGGTACCTAGTTCCAAATAATTCGCAATCCGCCAAACATCCAAATATACATATACAGGGCAAATATACAACTAAACTGCGACAAACAATATTTGTACACTCGAGCATTAAAAAAAATACTGAACCTGAAGTGTGACTTCTGTATCTTCGTCATCTTCTCTTTCAGAAATCTCTTTTTCCTTCCCGTTTTCTTTCGATTTCATTTCCAGTAATTCAATAGCTTCATCCCGTAATTCAGTTTCTATTTTTCCATTCTGTTTTTCGTCGACACCACTCGCCATAGTGGTTTTATAAAATATTCTTTTAATGGTAAAGTAAATCTATATCATAGGCTGATTAAAGGGAAGTAAGAATATATATAAGAATTGTTTATTCGTTTAATTTGGGCAAATGGGTTTCAAATTTTATGGCGGAGCGGAACATCAAACAGCGGAACATTTCAGAGCAGTGTTTCTCAATCTTTTTAGTGTCAGAGCCAAATTTAAAACCTTGAAGTTGTAAGGAATGGCATACAAAAACAGAAAATAAAGCAGCTACAAAACCCAACTATGTAATTAAAAAACATCAACAAAACTCGTGGTAAAAACCAAATTTTCACCGAAAATAATTAATATTTTGAAGAATAATGAGAGCTGCAGAAAGAATAGTTGAGAACCGCGGTTCAGAATCACTGTTTAAGAGGTTCGAGAAACACATGTGCAGTGCTTTAATTATCTCATGCAAAAACATCCTTTCATTAATAAAATTGTATAAACCAGGGCTACTCAACTATTTTCACCAAATGTCCGTTTGGGAAAATTCAAAGTTACTGGGGTCCGGGCATTATAGAAAATTTATTTCATTACATAAACGAAACTTCAAATGCAATATTAAATTAAATACAAGAGTAATGAATGGCTCGCAAAAATAGACACAAATGTCGCACATCGGTACCAGTACGACACACTGTGTATGTAAATGTTATCAAAAATCAACTAAAACTATAAAACGGTAAAACTGCCAAAATAAACAAGAAGACGCGGTCCAAATTAAATGGTCGAAAGGTCCGGATTCGGACCGCGGTTTGCAGTTGAGTAGCCCTGGTATAAACTATGAATACATATACAAAATACAAGCTATTACTGGCAAGGTATAGGGGTTTAATAATAGTGGCAAACATATTGTATTCAAATAAATTTAAATAATATATTATAATATTCGGGCCTCTCGTATTTAAATATACACTTGCGAAACCCTTGGACTGCGCAACCCTGGTTACTAACCACTTGTTTAATTAAGCAATTACAACTGAGTTTTTTACCTTGTTTTTTAATAAAATCCTGCTTTACGGTCGCGATCGAACCAACTCCGTTTTTCGTTTTTGGTGACACATTTTGAAATCATTTTAGAGAACAAGTCTGTACATTAAAATCTGCACATAGTTGCCAGTGAGCACTTGGTGTAGCACTGTATCTAACCTAAAAATCAAACCCTTGATAGCCCTCTACAAGACAGTGATTGGCGCCATATATCCTTCACAATTCCTTACTTAAAATCGATAGTCTCGCAGACGATTTCCAAAAGTACTACTTTTGACAATGTATATTTTAAATCGAAAAAATCGGCAGCGAACACTCGCTCCCTAACTGATTCTAATCCACGAACATCATTTTAAATGCCAAACTTCAATCAGGTGTTCTGTTTTATATCACACGTTACATGAAAAGCTTGTACGTGAGAATCGTAACATTTTACGTGTCTATAACTCTTTAAAAACTTACAGTGAACGTTCGAGATGTCTATCAGCGTCAACAAGGGTTCAAGGGCAGTTAAATCTACGAGATACTCTCGGAAACGTCGTAATTCCGACAAAACGGCTCTCGAATTTACTATTTTGACTGTTCGGTAAACAGTCTGGTAATGCTATTAATTTCGAAAACAAATATTGTGTGTGAAAACGATTCCGTACATGTTATTGGTTATTTTTAGAAAGCGCTAAAATTGACAATTATTTGTACAGAATGCAAATATTTTGAAATAGATTGTTTTAAAATTCAAAAGTGTAAAGAATAAAATTAAACTTAGACAATACAAGTACCGGATCTGAAATTCGCTTACTCAAACTACGCCTTTGGCTTGATGTTAATCATACATTTTTCGAAAACATACAATGATTTGTAGGTTTAAAGCGGAGATCTCTAAAGTGAGCATAGTTGGACGACCGTGGCCAACATGGAAGAAATCTTTTAAAATGGAAATGATTGGCCATTTTGTCGTTAAAGAACTTTTTTATGGCTTGTAGAGACCACTCTGGCTCATTCTAGTATCGAAGCAATATATACGCAAGAATCGGTGTGAGAGTTTATTCGTCGAATGCTTAATATTTGTCAATTTGTTTTCATTTACATACCGGTGATATATATATATATATATTATTTACGACGCTTCAACAGCACGTACTTGCTTAAACCAATATTTTGAGCAAATAATGATGGCTGGACACTAGAAAATACTAGAATTCTAAATGTTCAAAACGACTTGCTTGAAAATGTATCACATCCGAGCTGACACTACTCAAAAAGATACTTGACTTGGGAAAGTGCCCGAGTCTTTTGATGCTACTTGAATTTATCAAACTACGCGGGGGTAAAATCAAGGTTTCTGATACGAGACTTAACCTCCCGGCGCTGAGATAAATCAAACGCGCGGAACGCTACATTTAATGACGTCTATATGAGCACCAAGATGGGACACAACATGACAACCCTAACCTGGTACACATACTATGTTCAGGTTGTGCGTCATCTTGGTGCACATACCTCGGAGCACCCATTAAATTACTATATCTCACACCCGAATTAATCCATCAATCAAGATGATATATCTTTATTATTTGACATATTTTAAAAAAATAAAAAAATTCTTGAATTTGATCACGGGCTTATATATATCCTTGTCTTATTCTTAACTCATTCCATGACACGGGAAGTAATTCGATTACAATCAGTTTCTGTCATTCCGTGACCTGACTAGCCGTCGATGCGGGAAAAAACTGAAACCTACATTTGTCATATCGTGTATGATCAGCTTATAAGTGATGCTTCAAGACAAGTTAAAGATATTTCAAGGACAAGATCGTTTTCGCGATGTTTTGATAGCTGAGATTCAGTCTAATGTAGTAATTTTCAAATGCCAGTTTAATTCATGGCGCTCCAGAGGTGTGTGTTTACCAAAATGGAAGGTAACTAATTTTGCTACCAGTTCGGAATAAAATGATGGCCTAACCCTAACCCTAACTACACAAACTACGGGTGTACTCAAATCGTATTGATATATTGGCTTAAGGAATTTTATCGATTTTTCACACCAATGGGGGAACTAATCTATTTCACACTCTTGATGTATTCGTACTCTTTGTGCAACTCGATCGAACCCCGCAAAACCAAAATACTGCAACTAATTATCAATTCTACAATGGCAGAAAAACTGTGTCCACACTCGGTGTGCTACGAAACCTATCAACAGAACCTATCCTTATATACAAAATACGGCGCTCCAGATGTGTGTATACCAATACGGAGGTAACTAATTTTGTTCGCTTACTTTACATCAAGTTATGTAAAGGGACTAAAACCTATGAACAGGGGGTATATTCACTCGGCTAACACAGACAGTCTCCAAACTCGTAATAGAACTAAAATAAGGGAAATTGGAATAAAATTATGGCCTGATCCTAACCTAGTACATACATTACGGGAGTACCCAAAATACTGGTATGGGACTGAAACTACACTTGAAGTATAGAGTAATTTTAGTCCATTACGAATTGCCCTGAATTCTGACATATTTACATGATTTTGATACGTATCACCACTGCGACATAAGTTGACGAAAACAGAACAATATGATTTGCCATCGGCTGTAAAATCGAATATACATCATTAAAATACACGTTCATTGCGGTTCATCGTTAAATTCACAACAACCTATATTGACAAGACAAATAAACTAAACCCAGACGAGAATAGGAATAAATATAGAGGGTGGTCGCTAGGAAAGCAGAAAATTTGAAGGTCGAATGAGATCACGAATAAAATGCGTATGGATGTAGCGTGTAGGTTGAATTGGAACGATATTCCACAAGTTAACCTTCAGAACGTTACATGAGCTTGGACGGACGACTTTTTTAATCAGTAATTGTTTAGTTTTTTTTAAATTCATTTATTACACCTGTGAGGACCAAAACAATATATAGTATCAATAAATTCTCTTTGTAATTTTAAAAATTTCTTAAGATTTTATGGACACCCTATATATCCAGATATGGGATTGTAGAAATTGTCGTCATAGCGAAATTGTCGTCATAACTCTAAAACGTCACTTATTCAAATTCGACAACTCGAATGATAAAAATTGAATGATTGACTGTTTGATATAAGCCTGCTTTTATTTTAAGGAAACGTTTCATAAGTATTTTGCCCCGTTTGATAATTATCTCTTTTGCTTTATAAAAATTAGTTTTTTTCCATATTATGAATATTGGCTATAGGCCATAATTTCATTCCAATTTCCTTATTTTAGTTCTATTACGAGTTCGGGGACTAGCCAAGTGACTCCCGTAATATTTGTATCTGAAATTATGACCTAACCTGGTACACATACTACGTTCCGGTGTCCGCCATATTGGTTCACATACTTCGTGAGTGCCAGAATTTTGGACGTAGATGTTTAAAAATGATTGCATTGAGATCACTTACTTACAATTAAAGTACAATCATAAATAATAAACATTGCAATCCCAACAAGGTTGCAATCTGCTCAAATTAAACCGCCAATCTAATTGTGTACTAAATTTTTTTGATTGCAGGACAGGTCCAATTTACGCCGTTTGAGAACATCAGCGCTATCTGTATGAAACCTCACATTCCAATTGAATAATTTATGTTTTGGTTTAGGATTGAGCGACCCAGAGAGATTGCCTTAAAACCACGGATAAAATTTGCCTACAAGTTAGCTGATATTTCAAAATTTTTGAATTGTGTCCAAAAAAACTGGAAAAAAAACATACTGATACACTGGAAACAGCAAAAATAAAAGAATCTTATTTTTGAAGCGATATTATAGGCCAGGGTGTGCAACCTTATTACATGGGGGTCGTATACAAATAACAGGGTGAAACTGCGGGCCGCACCTTTATCCAACGTAGGCTTCCTAGTAGTTGCAGACACAACAATTTGGGTTATTGATCTTATGACATGCCTTGTTCGCTTCGCACAAGCTAGCCGTTTGAACATCGTAACCTCATAGGCATAGATAATAAGTTGAACTCTGGTATACGCCTTGCAGAGCAAAAA